TGCGAGTCGTGGGTGATTGTGGAGGGCGCGAAGAGGGGTTCGCTGGGGGGCTTAGCCCTGCCTTTCATCTTTCATGGGAGGTTGGGCAGAGAGAGAGGATATTGGGTGTAGCTCTGCTCTGCTCTGGGTGTGCTGGTCTACTGGGGACTCACCTGATGTCGAGGAGATGCTTTCTCTCGTCCTCGTTTAGGAAGTTCTCTAGATATACGACCAGTGGCGAGACGCGCAGGATCTGGGCCCTGTATGTGTCAGGCGGGCATTGGGGGATGGGGTCATTGGGATGGTCAATAGCGAGCATGGACTCGTTGAGGTGAGGCCTTGGCGAGGGGCCGGCGGCATGCTGGCTGCCGAAGAGGAGCTGGCTGATGGGGTTCACGAGGAAGATGAAGGCGGCGATGAGGCCGACTATGTAGGACAGCATTGCACGGGCACGTACGCTGGCAGTGCGCAGCGCAATGGGTGGTTGATGTTGGCGGGATAGACGGATGGATGGGTTTTGAGGAAGTCTCGGGCTTGGATGTGGTTCTCTCAAAGCCACACCCCTGTGGCTTGCGCGGCTTGGCTTGGCCTTGTACACTCAACGGCACTTCTTGAGGGCTTCCAGAAGCCCTGGTGACGCGGCCGGGAGATATTTCAAATACCGCCCGTTCCCCGGTGGCTACTGTGCAGTTATTTACATGGTACGGCTTTTTAGTGCCGAGCGTTGAAAGATGGATTGTGTTGCAATTTGCACAAGACGGAGTGTATAAGTCAAAGAACCACCCTCATGGATAACAAGCACAAGGGGTGACGTATGGCTAGAGGCACCGCAACCACAGAGCTCACACAGATTAGATATTTTCTCATATTATTGCCAGGGAGCGAATAAGGGGAAGCATTTAATCGCTTAGTTTTGTTGTTTTTCCTTTCTTGAAAAGGGGGAGAAAAACAAAGGTATGGCTCAACGTTGGCCAGTGCGCTACGACACATTCGGGGCCACGAAGCCAAGGAGGTGTTGGGACGGCATTTATACAAAGTTATGAGGATCTCTGGTCCGAGGAACGGACTATCAATCGAAAATACAACCTAATCATACCTAAGCGTGGGGGCCATTGATTTAATACTACCAGCCCAACACAGAGGAGACGCCCGAAAACGCTGCCAGATTATTAAGGCCCACGACGGGACGGAGACTATGGGCTCGAAGGAAAGCCGTGGGGTCTAATCTGGACCTATTCGTCAACCTGGGGCCCTAATCACCTTTAGTAGGCGGCATCGCGATCCAACTGTGGTTGGGCATACTGCAGGCCAAGTTGAAATGGATCTTCGGTATGAACAGTTATGAAAACAATCACAAGTTCTCGCCTCGTATTGCCGATGAGGAATACCCTCCCGAGCTGAGCATAAGGCTCGTTGGCCATCAGCCCACTTGCGGTACTTCAGGGCGACGCAGAGTGCAGTCAGCCACATGCAGGCTCATTCATACCAGCCAACGCGCATGTTGCATCCGCAGGCTCCTTTCATTTCTGCAATCCAATGGAGGCGGCAGAACGTGCGTATAAAGCCACATTGGAGATGCCTCCATCTGCCGGGCTCAGTCAGCATGCAACGGTCCGTTGGTCGATGCCACATGCAGTCTAACGCACCAGACTAAGAATATGTTTCAGCATCCAAAAATAACATGAGCTCCTGCGAGCTGGCCCGGGATTGATTGGCCCGCCCAGAGCCAGGAACCTGCGTTTGGCTAGGCGCATTCCGTCTGTGGGATGACAGCCGGAGGCCTAAATGACAGATGAGATGCCCTGTCAAAAATGAAGCCAACCGTGCAGCCAATTCTAAAAATGACCATGGGCTCACGCTTACCCGTGGGTAGTTCGTCCATGGCAGATAAAAAGGCTATAAGGAATGGCCCGAAACGTCCCTAGTGGTTTAGACTCTCTTCTTCGTCAGAACCCAGCATCAAGCACGGCATCGAGACAAGCTTCCACGGTCGCGATCGCCTCCATCTATGTTTTCATTTTCTGTTGAAGCGATTTAATGTTTTTTTTTCCTGCTCTCTGATTAAAAAATGAAGTTCTTCATTGTTCTTCTCTTCGGCTTCATCTGCGGCACCTGGGCCATTGATTCGCACACAAATCCCAACCCATCCATCATCTGGGGCGTAAGCCATCCCTCGTGCCCACCATATGCTGGGCCACCAACATGAGCTACTGGTCATTGCTAATTCACGTCTGGACCAGAAATGCGTGCAAGCGACAAACTTCTGCAAGTTCAAGATTTACACCAAGAATGGAATCAACAAGAAGAAGAACATGCAGCGATGGGACTACTCCCGGACTTCACGGGCTTGCGGCGACAGCAAGGTAAGTGATCGACTAGGATGAGGAATACGCCAGTATCCAGACTTGACGAAATGTATCCCTGGAATGGGTCTTGCAACGTGCAAATACTGACTAAATCATTGGATAGTGCTCAGCGGATGGCGTCGACTGCAGCTATAGTACCACGTACAAGAACACTGAATGCTATTAGTGAATCTGATTCGTGTTGCTGCCCACTTTCGGCGGACTCTGTAATGATAAAATGCTCGACCAAGAGCTGGAATGCATGGAACGGGCTTGGAGGCGTATTTGTATCCTCTGTTTGAGGAATGGCGGGCGTATTTGATTTTGAATTAACGGTTAATGAGAAATGTGATGGAGCGGAAATTATCATCAAAGCATCTGATAAACCTGGAAAGGGTAGCGTCAATATAGGTTCAGGCTAGCCATGCTATGTAGGACACCACATGGGACCCTTTGATTGACTAGCGAATAAATCACTGCTGTTTTTCCATCTCTCTAGGTCTCTGTTAACGGATATATAGTTCTCTCTACATCGCCGGGTTTGATTTAACTCCTGGGCAGTTTCGCTATCAGAACAGGGAGAACTAAGGGGAAGATCTACAGAGTGTGGGGTAGGGTTGCAATTGTTCTCTCCTCAGCTAGCCTACGAACGAACAAGGATTCTTCAAGACGCGTGAGATTGGGACAGCAACTTAGACGTATCATTTATCAATTGCATTGCACATCCAAAATCGGTTTATATCACAACAATGCAGTAAGCATGATCTGCTCGTCAAAAACTTGCTAGCAAGTACGTTTATTAGGTATCCTTAAATAAGACTGTGGTCGCTCCTTAATCATGTACTTCTCTCACACTTCAGCGTCTTATAGTTTCTGTTTCGTCTGTTTCTTGAGCTCCTCCCATTCTTTGTTAATCCGCGCATTATCCCACAACCTCCATGCCGCCACAGCAACAGCGAGAGGGGGGCATGCCAGCAACAGATACGACCACCACCCAGGACTCTGCGTCTTCAGCTGAGTCAGAGCCGCATCCACCTGCACCTGGAGCTCTTCCTTTGAACCGTCATTCCAAAGAACAAGTCCCCTTCCACTGCCGCGTGCCTCTGCTCGCTTCGCCTTGACTCGTACGTCCGTTTGGCTCCGAACCCTATTTTCCGCATCCTCGGCCGTAAGGTGTGCGTCGCGAGCCCTAAGCCTCTTCATCTGAATTTCCGGGTCGCTCACTGCAACAACCACGGCGGTTCCGCAATACCTGTCCAGCCCGCTCTCAAACAAGAGAGGGATATCAAGCACGACAGCCCAGTGGCCCCTCAGGTAGTTGCCAACCACGCCCTTGAACATCTCCCACCGCACCTCAGGATGCACGATGCCATTCAAAACGTTGCGGTCTTTCTTCCGCTCCTCACTGTCGCCGAACACGCGCCTGCCAAGAGCCGGTCTATTCAATGGTCGCCCCTTGCCATCTGGGCCAGCCTCCGGCATGGTGTCTGACGGCGCCACTAGCAGGTCCGGGGTGGTGGGGCCGAAGTACTTCACGATGGCATTATACCCACGGGTGCCGGGCTCCACGACCTTGCGAGCCAGAATGTCGGCATCGATGATGGGGAGATTGTATGGTGGTGATGAGAGCAGGGAGGAAACAGTGGACTTGCCCGTGGCGATGGATCCCGTCAGCCCAATGAGAAGCATCGTGATTATGGATAGTGATAATGTGCTCTTTCTAGCTTGGTTTTAATTAGATCACAAAAAGGGCTCATAAAAAGAAAAGGGATAGATCAATCGATAGAACTGCGATTACTTGAAGTTCAATCTTGAGGAGTCACGTCATGCCATATGATTTGCAGCTTCTACTACCGAGCCACCGAGGTATGTATGTCTCGCTTAAGTCAGCGGATCCACTTGGGGAAACCTGGGCAAGAGCAACGTGGGGTCCATCCCGGACAGGGTCGGACACCGGCCCAACGTCATTCCGTCCCCCTGTATCGGGTGTCCCACCCGTCGCAATGATGCAGTAATTTACGGTATCGCACGTGAATTCGGCAAGCTCCAGCACAGCATTGTCAGCATCCGTCTACATAACGTATACGGTTTACGGTGCGCTGTACAATCGTGGTCTGGCGATGTATGTCAGATGAGATCCGCGTATAAGGGACAATTTTTTCTCATCATCAACAACTCACACGCCGCTCTGTCTCGGACTTGGATCGTTGGAGCTCCGGGCCACCGGTTGCTCTCTTTCACGGTGCCAAGCGGATGATCCAACGCCACACGCACTTCACTGACGTTCGCCGGCACCATGGGCGACAGCCTCCAGACGGGGAATGACCCTCTGGACCCAACGTCCAACACCGGCACGGAGTCTTTGGCATGTGTGTCATGTCGGTCACGGAAGCTCAAGTGTGACCGAATCAAGCCCGCGTGCACTCGCTGCTCTAAGGCCAGCGCCGAATGCATCTATCCAGAATCAAGGCGGAAGCCTACGTTCAAACGCCGGAATGTGAGGGAGCTTGAGGCTCGTTTAGGTAGGTAACCGCATTCATGGTCTCACATTGAGCCATCTTATTCCGTTGTAGCACACGGGATGTTAACATTATTTAGCCCAGGTGGAGGGTTACCTCAAAGAGGTTACGAAGAGTGGTGCAGTCGATTCTGAAGAACAGGTTGATGATACGTTCATACATCCTGATCCAGAAATCCATCAGTTGGGTGACTTTGATTTCTCCTCGGCATTGCCAAATCAGAGTGCTGGTGTTGCCGTCACGCCAGGGCAGTCTCAAATACCTTTAGATATGCCTTCTGACCTTTTCGATGACCAAACGAATGGCATGCTCGGCGGTGAATTGATGGACCTAGGTCTGTCTGAGAGCCTGCCTCCTTTTGAAATGATGGAAGATCTGTATGAGACCCCATGCTTGCCCCTTGCTTATTGAACCTGGCCATTGACACCTTGACAAGAAACAACATATATTTCAACACGCAACATTTCTACATTCCCATTGTACACCCAGGGCGATATCTCAAAGCATTCTATGGCGGTCCCTTAATGAAACCGCCCATGTGTCTACAATATTCGATTTGGGCATTGGCGTCGTATCTAAACGATAAGTACGCCTCCTTCTCGGATATTTTCTACCAACGAGCGAGGCAATATGTCGAGGCCGACGAGTTAAAGGTTAGAATACCATTCAAGTCAAATCATGAGATGTGGTCAGGAAATGATAGCAGTACTAATTATCCTAATAGGGCGTAGGTGAATACTTTATCACCCTTTTCCACGCCCAGGCCTACATTATCCTATCCACCTTTGAGGCAAAATTGATGCTTTTTACGAGAGCGTCCATGACCTCGGCCAAGGCCGTTCGGCTCGTCCAGATGATGGGTCTGGATCGGGTAGATGGCGAGAAGGGCAGCATCCCCCCTAGCTTGGCTCCTGCCACGTCGTGGGCTGAGCTCGAGGAGCGCAGGAGAACATTCTGGGGCGCCTATTGCATCGACGCCCATGCCAGCATCTCCGCTGGGTGGCCGAGCCTGATTAATTGTGATGATGTCTGCTTCCCCCTTTCACTTAGATATTCTTGCTGGGTACAAGATACTAACTTTAGACTCAGATCGAATCGAGACTTCCCGCATCAGAGGAGGCATTTAATTCCGGGAAAGAAGAGGCGTCTGTCTTCATTGACGAAGCTCTGAAGGGTGCCTCCTATTCCGGATTTTCCAGTACCATTGTCACATGTCGGATATTCAAGAAGATCTTGAGTCATGTCCACAGATCAAGGGCCAAGGACCGCCCGGAGGATTTGGTGAATGGCCCCTTCTGGGCACGTCATCGCGAGCTTGACAATGAGTTGTCCGGGGCTTTCATGTTTCTCCCAGAAAAGTTCTCCCTCCCTCGCCACTACCGCGAACCTCCCGCTATCCATTTGAACCTTAATCTACACGCTTCAGTCATCTGCCTCCATCACGCCGCGGTCGAGAAGGCAATGAAGCACGGCCATCCTCCGTCAGTCAAGCAGGCCAGCGTGACCCGCCTCAGGACCGCGGCCGAGGAAATTGTTAATATCATCAAATTAACATCCCATCAGCTTGCACTATTCGTATGTTTGCGCTCGAGAACTCAGAGTTTATACATCCCCGTTTGTCCCATCAACTAACCTTGTTCCATATTCAGCGAAGCCCACTATGCGCCTTATCCATGTATTGTGCAACAACTGTGTACATCTTCATGGCCAAGGAGAACCCCGAGAATGGATTGGATTCCATTGACACCGCAAACCTGGAACTCATCATTCAAGCAATGGAGGCTATCGCAAGAGCCCACGAGATTACTCGGTCATTCCTGCAGCAGGCATGTCTAGATGTCGAACGTAATGGCCTAGATGCAGTCATCCGACTTCCTAACCTGAGCAAATATCGCGACAGTTTTGGCGGTCCTGCTTCCAACATCCCCTTGCTAGCTCGCAACCATACAATAGGGAGCCACACAAAGATCTCGCCCGTTCTTCCTGGGCGGTTACCTCTAGGCAAGCCAGAGGGCAAGATTCGACCAGGCAGTCTGCGGCTTCCAAGGGTACACCCTATCGCGGAGGATGTGGGAACCACAGGGCAGGCTATGCAGTGCTTCCAGGGCATCCTCGGCGCTGCCACCCGAAATAATAAGACGCAGTCCCCAACACCGTCCACGGTGCCGCATATGATGGAGTCCGAGGCCGGATCAGACACTACACCAGGGAGCCAACCACCCAACAAAAGAAAGAGGACGTCCCCCGAGGAGGCCAACCTGGCTCAAGGCACTGATATGGCGAGCATCAGCATATCAAGAAGTGAGATTGTCAACATGAGTTTCCTCGCGACCGAAAATGACGACTTCTCACGCGTGCTCGGAGACGTGGGACAGTTCGACCTCGGAACCGCCCCGAACCCCAACATCATACTGGCGCACAGGACCAGCTCGTCGACCGCCTCGTCCTCGCCAATGAACAACATTATCAACAGCTTTGGCACGGACACACGATCCGGCAGTGACGAAACATCACCAGAACAGCTGTCGAACAAGCCGCAGCAGATACCTCTCTGGGGTGCCACGGATGCTGGTTTCTTTGGCCAGTTGAATGATGGCAGTAATACTGAGAGGAACGAGATATGGAACATGATGAATGTAGGGCTTTGAGGCTCGGCTACGGACCGGAGAAACTATGATTTTCTTTTTCCTTTTTTCTCTTTTTGGAAATTCACTTGACATACGGCGACGATTTTACTAGGCTTTTAGGGCTAGACATGGGAAACGACCGGATGCAATACGGACGGAGGGCGTTTGAGACGAATGGATGGGTTGATGATGGTATGGCGTTTTGTCCAGGAGGATGATATATAACAAATACCCCTGTAAAATATACCTCCAAAAATCCTCTGTGAGTGGGAGAGTTTTGTGGAGTTTCCTCTCTTCAACGTTGCAAGTCTGATGTTTAAGTTCATTGACCTCCGAGGCGTCTGTTCTCTAGGTAAGGTTATCTCTGATTACATCAAATGTACGTACTACCTCCACGAGCTCTTTTCGTGCAAGCTAAAGATCCCGCTTTATTGTTTACAATAATTGATACAATAACGGTGAAATGACAAATTAATCTATGATAGCTAGCTTGATACTATGTTTATTAATTGGTTGATTGTTTTGATAGTGTCGAAATTTAGAGCTGGATGGAGGCTTTGGTGTGTCATGTTTTAGTTATCTATTTTCCACCGCCCAGTGCCGGTCCTTTACAGCTACTTATCGACTTGGGCATAATATGCTTGTCTTCAAGGTTATTTCCAGAGTCAAATAAAAGTACAATCTCGACCAGGCAATACTGGCTCGTGAAACTGAAACGGCAAGACGGCACCCGTGCCCAGCCTTTCAGGTCGCGCACATCAAACTGTTGAGCTGTGGCCAATGCCTAGCTCGTTGTCTGATGCCAGAAATATATCTAGTCAGCAAGAGACTATACTTGACCGGGTGATATGAGCCGGGACCCCAGAATCCTGGGGTCCAAAGCTACGGGTACACCATTGCCGGGCGTTCGTGATGGAATTGTGATGGCCATGCGCCTTGGCCGTTAACAGTATGTGATCCTGCATTTGCATACGCCGCGCTATCGCTCGTGGCGCTCATCACATGGCGATGGCTTTCCCTGCCACCATCGGGGGGGAAAGCCGTGCGGCAAAATCCGTGTCAGAATGCTATGCTGATCCCTGTTTAATTAAGGCCTCGCATCTCCTTTCTTGGTCAACCGAGAGTCTGAGGTGGCCATGTCCAAGGTATGAGATCTTGAAATCTTCATGTTGTTTGGCAGGGGACCCCACGAAAGTCCGTATGCGGTAACTCTTTCGATGATTTGGCGGACGGGCACAGCCGGACGTTTTGTAGCGGAATGCCTCCCGCCGGCTATAGCAGGTGATATATGAACATACAGCTGTCCCATTTGACTAGTTTAGGCTCTGGGGTCCTGTGGATCTGGGACGGGGTCCAGGCGTCGAGTCTTGTGACAATGACAGCTCTCGCCGCCGTCAGGATGCTCAGAGTCATGTCAGATCTCGCTGCAGATGGCCTGTCTTTACCAGCGCTGTGGAGGAAGCCTGCCAGGATCAAGGCACATGGGTGCCATGCAAACTATTCCCAAGGCTGCAATGCGAAGCGAGGCATCCACTGTGATGCCCCTCTTGAATGATCAGGCACAGGAGCCTAGCCTAATAAGAGGCGTGTACAACGGAGTGCCCACTCTTCTGAAATTCAGGATGGGCCAAGACATGGCCTACTATTCAGCTCGACGCTCATAGATGGCTTGCAGAAAGCATCTCGATGGATTTGATCAGCATGCTAGCCGCAATTCATAACTGATCGCCGGCCGTGCTATTAGGAGACAGACCATCAGCAGTAGTAGTGGGCTTCGACTTCCTTAGCAGATTGGTTTGGCCTGCTTAGTAGGATCAAAAGCTGGTGCAGAGAGGCCACTGGCGAGGTTCCGCGACTAACCTGGGTTAGTTCTGTAGATCTCTGCCAAGATGCCAGATGCACTGACAATGGCCAAATAAAGTGTGCCAGGGAGGGGAGTGTGCTGCCAGCGTGGTTGTTGGCTCTTGGCCGCCGGGATCGAACCCGAACTGGTTCAGCTGCGTGGCAGTCAGGTGAGCAGGCAAAAGAATCAAGTACGTAACAGAACAACAGAGGGCTAGGAAGATAATAGCTTGCCTTAGCCGCATGCAATGCAGAGGGAAGCACGCGCGCACAGATGGATAAATCCTCCGATGGGGCACGGAGGCGTTGATGCCAGCAAAGATAGTAGATGTCGGGTGCTGAATTGGCTCTTGGCAGTCGCTAACTCTCAGCCTACCAGGGACCTGGGGTCGTTTGGCAGGTGCCAGTTGGAAGCTGGGGCAGGCACCGCTCACCTTCCTGCCCAGGCATTTCGACTATGTATACCAACGGAGATCGAGTCTTGACTGGGAGCGATGACTCGCACCTGCCCTGGGCGAGGGCCAGAGCAGGTGTGGTAGGTGCTACCTGGCTGGAGTAACGCCAAGTTGTGGCGCCTGCATCATGTAATGTACAGACCGTAATATGTTTGTCATGAGCATCAACCCCAATCCTCTTATTCCTTCAGATCAGCGACGCGACAGCCGGCCCTAATCCATCTTTCAAAAGGGACTACGCCTTCTGGAGCTTAGTCAGTTGCAGCTACCATTGTCTGATCTTCATTATCAGATATCGGGCGTCCTAAGCTTCTCGCAGCGTAAGCGAGAATGTCTTCAATGGCCAGCGACAATCTCATTGGCCTCTAGATTGTAAGGCTCATTACCCTGCCGAGGGCTGCAGCAGGGCCCTCGAGTCAGAAGCCCCATCCATGCACCATCCTTGGGCCCAGCTGGCCCGAGAAGTATGGGGTTGATTACGAATTACCTCCCACGTCGAGAGAGTCATGCAATAACGGAGGGCCAACCAACGGTATCGTCGTACCAGAGTGGCAGTCAACCATCAACAACATGGATGCAATGACGCTTGCACGCAGATCACATTTGACAGCTGGGCTAGTTTCGAACAGTCAAACCGGAAAAGGAGGTGGTCGGCCGACGACCTGTTCACGCAATTGAGCCCTCTCCGGCATTCAATTAACCATGGACAGCATCAACAACACATGGCAACCCACGCATAGCGGTGGATTGCCATGCTTCATCTGGACTGTATTCTTTTCGGTCTTTACTCTTGTCCGGGTCGGACCCTCTCAGAAATCTACAAGATCTTGCAGGATTCCTGCACAAATCACATGGCACAAAAGCAATGACAAGCGCCTGCCAGTTTCCTTGCTTGGCGGGTTTCCCGCCGCTGGGGTCTCAACAAGCACGACAGCCGCACGAACGAGTGTTTCCATCAGCACTAGATGAAAAGCAGACCTCACCGAATGATCCTAGGAAGGAGGGTGGGTTTTATTGGGGGCGGGGAAGAAAGACCCAGCCGATAAGTCACTACTGCGTCTGTCAGTGTTTCACTCCTCAAGCCTACCTAGTTGGCGCGCCGCCCCGACGGACGAGGGACGGCGTGTTCCATACCCCCTTGCCATTTCATCAGTCTTTGCCCTGATGGATAGGGTGCCACGCCATCAGTCTGGGGCAACTCTTCCTACATTAGTAGTTTCCAGCTAGCGAAGCCGGTCCGGAGCAGTCGAGCACCGGGATTGGTGCATAAAGGAAGGAACCACACTCTCCCGCGTGTCGCATGGTTGTCAGACAGGGATACGCCCCCCTTTTCCGTCCGCTGCTGGTTCTTTTTTCTTTTTTCACATTGTCTTTCTAGCCCGATTATTTTCGGGCTGAACTCTGCGTTCTATGGCGATTGCCCAGGCTCCAGATACCCCGGTACCGAGCCCAGGGTGCAATGCCAACGGTCAAGCCCAGCCAGCCAGTGCCTTTTGTATGAACACCCCCCTTCATTGTGCATGCGGCTAAGTCATGCCTGTCAGGGAGGCAGGGAAGTCGGGTTAAGCTTGGTCAACCAGCTGTCAGAGAGAGCAAGACATGCAGCACGCTGTGCGCGGAATCGGCCGCGTTACAACCACCCTACCAAATGTGATATGTTGGTCTCCCACCCCTCTCCCCTCTTTTTTATTATTTGGCTAATATTTGAAGGGGTCTTGACTGACTTATGATGTGCAGAGAGTGACATTCGTGCGCTATGCCAATTAGGCTCGTACGTACGAGAGATGCCATCCAGATTTGGGTAACAGGAGGAGGCATACAGCTCATTACTCAAACTTGGTGTTTATCTCTACCTACTTCAACTCCATGAGTTTCAGCTCGAAAGCCACCGTTTTCACCGTGCGTGTGCAACCCACCCCCAGAGCCCGGTGTGGAAATACCAGCTTTTGCCCCGTGCTCGTCAGAGACTGAAGATCAGAACTGGGATCTAGTGCTGGAAAAATGAAGCTCGAGTCGATCAGTGCTTGAACGGTGCGGAACCTTCCGAGACAAAACACAGCCTTTGACCCTCAGCAAGATGCCGCTCAATTCCCAGATTTTTCGGCCAGGCGTTTCAGAGGCGAATATTCACTATATAACCTATAGACTTGAAGGCAGAAGAGCTTGCCCGCAATAACCAAGCATGACCTACGCTATGTTGCTAATCTCTGCACTCCCTAGCTCATCAACATCAGTGATAGCTTCACTGGCTATCCATAGTTTTTTCCTTTTTCTCGGACAAGTGGCACCCCTGCTGATAAACTTTGGCTTACACTGGCGTGTTTCATTGCACAGCTCAGAGGCTTCTGTCATTTTGGTTGAATACAGTGGGCAAGCATATGAGACATGGTCTTTCTCGAGGTAGAAAATGCTCCGATCCGAGACATCTCAGCTACCAGGCTTGATCACAAATGTATTACAGCTGCCACGATGTCATAGCCAACTTGCCAAGATGCAGAATCCAAGTTGCTATGCCTAGTCATGTGCTCATATTGCAGGTGATTTGCAAGGTATGTGATTCGCCTCCTCTGTTTCATTGGCACACAACACATGCATTCTGGTAGGGGCTTGATCCGGCTGGTCGAGGGAGCCTGCATACATGCCACATGAAGTCGCTCTATTGGTCGGCTGAACCCAACGACGCGGATACTTCCCTCATAGCACGGAAAGACACACACCACCACCATCATGGTTGCCACTCATACCTCTTGGTTCGGTTCTTTGCTGACGTCCTACCCATGGGTGGTTCAGAGACCAAACCCACCACCAGACGATGAAGTTTGCGCCCCAGCCCGTCCTCATATCCCTCTTACGGAACATGGGTGAGGTTTGACAGCAATACAAATTATTCATTTACCTGCATTGGCTCTTATCCGCCACGGTTCGTTGACCAAGTCAACACCCCACGCCCGGATACGGCCGCAACCCAGCCTGCTTGACCCATGACCCATGTCTGCGGCTGTCTTCATGCCAGCTAATACAGTAGCTACCTCCGGAGGAGATGGTCAGGTATGTATGCAGACCGCTGGCAGTTATACATTGATTGATTAAGCAGCTGGTCGCAGCGGATCGCCTGGTACCCCCTTGAGTAGACTACGGTACATTGATTCGATTGTGCAGTAGTAATACTTCTTGCTACTATACCCATCCCTTCTAACAAAACCATGCTGCCGGTGCCAGCCACTTTGCGGTATACCGAGAAGCGTGAGTGGTTGAGGATAGCAACAGAACCTAGCTTACAGCCGCTACTGTCGTTGACAGTCGTAAATCCCCGAAAGTCCCAAGCCCGCTTCGGCGGGACCGGCAGCCTGCTCTCCATCCATTGTCTCTTCACCTCGCCTCAACACTACAGCATAACAACGACAGCCGGTGTCGATTGCAAACACCCCTCCAACATCTGTCGGTATTGACATGGGAAGCACACACCCCCGCTTTGGCCTCTTAGTTCGTCTTCGCCAGGTGGTACCTACCAAGTCTGAGGATTAGTTTGACCAACACATTCTACTATGTAAGCGCAACATGCCTCCCTGCTGGCTGGACGAAAGGCGATGAAAAGGAAAAACAGTCTCTTGGTGGCCCCAGTCGAGAAACAAACCACTGTCATCCGGGGATTAAATGATTCTAGGCGAGGTGGCCTGGACCATCCCACCCACCTCAGCTACCCCTATCGCTAGCGCGGCATGCCTGTCTTTCCTTTCCCGGGGCACCCAAGATAGATCTGTCAAAACTTGAGAGACGCTTCCAGGGCCTCGATGTACTTATGATGCATCCCACATTCTCCTCCCCCGTCTACAGATACACACAGATACGCGTATGCACGCTGTACAGACATTTCGGCACGCATACCTAGATCTGGGGGTGTAGTGAGATTGTGCCGTGAAACGTGGTGCCCCCTCCTCATGTATTGTCTTGCTGGGAACAACTTACTTCTTTCCCCCGGTTGGCCCAACTTAAGACCCTTCATTACCCAAGGTATCCAGCAAAAGCTCACCGTTCGGCCGAGAGAGAGCGATCACCCTCTACTTTGGGAAAGCTGCGCGATTCGCACCGGACCAACAGGCCCTGCTGATCTCCCACGGCAGACTAACGAGGAGAAAAGGCATCTTTGGGTCGAATGCAAGTCAAGAACCAGACTAAAACACTTAGCAACAATGCTACTAATCCATCAGAAGCCAGCTCACTAGCCGGCTCTGTGTCTAGCTTGGTGCTGCCTTGGAACCCCCTGTCGCCCCGAAGCCCTTGTTCTGGATGGGAGAGGACCCAACAACGTCAAACATCCTTGTCCCATGCTGATATGCATTGACACTCGCCGCCACTAGGTGGGTGGTCCATGGCACTAGTGTAGGTAAAATTCCAAAGCTCTCCTGGCATTGCATGGCATGGCTGCATGGCCATCTTTATGCGAATGCATCATCAGCTCTACAAATGCAAAGGTGCCAAGCATTGGGGAAAAGAAAAAGAATTCACGGATTCTAAATTAAAAGCAACAAATGAGCCCGGCATGAGATATGTCATGTCTAAGTTCCAAAGGAGCTATCCGGCAGGTCCCGCAAGCACGGGCGGGCGTGACTGGTTCGAGGCTGTGCAACAGATCAATAAGAGAGCCAAATAAGCAGACGAAAGGGTCGGATTGGGAATTGGCATAAGGCTACCCGCACAATCTCGTCCACAAATGCGTGGATCAGCACTGCCGAAAAGGGTCATCCGTCACCTTGGGCCCGAATCATGTATCAGCGGATTTACACGCCCTGACAAATGCTAATGTCTTTTAAGTGCCCACTGCAGGATGAAGATCACAGCATCATATCATGCAATGCTATTGAGCGGTACCAGCAGCTTGGTTGCTTGAAATGCAAGATGTGCCATTCTGATTGAATCATCAGGTCGTTAACTTTTGTTCATCCCGAAAATGGGGTCGCTTTCTATGTTAATGCCATATGTTTCCTCCCATGTTATATATCATTCGATGTTGTTTCCCAGTAAAGATTGAGCCGCCAGTCCAAAAGTCCGCCCCCCCCCGGTTTCCATTATGATAATGCTCCCAAGATTAACAAAAAAAAGTAAATGCCTGCAAAGTTTATGAAAGGAAAAAAATGTGGCCGGTGTGTTCCCCCGCAAGATGATAAACAACCCGATCATTATTCAAGAAAAAAAAAATGTTACACACTCCCCCTCTTCAGGTTGGGAGCTCGCTGTTGTTGGTAGGCTTTGATGTCCTCGTCGTAGCTGCCTGAGTCCAGGTCATGTCGTTCTGTAGTTGGAAGGATTTTGTTGTCGCCAGTTCTGCCGGTCATAGCATCTGTTTCGGCCCTCGCATTGTTGATCATTGTTGGTAGTTGTCGCCGCCGAGCGTTGATAAACCAGTTGGAAATTTGATCTATAGTAGAATCTTGTTAGTAAATTCCATTCCAAGACACCAATGGGTGCGATGCCAGATGCCACAGGTCTCAGCCAACTCACTCATTTGGAGGCCCGTTTGCCTCATTAGGTCTTGCTTCTCATCTTCGGTGGGGTAAGGATGAGAGAGATGGGCCATGAACCAGGCCCGCAGTTTATCAGTGGTCTCTTTGGGAAGATTGCCACGACGCTTGCGCTGCTTCGACTCGCCAGAGAGCGCGGCAATATGCCCCAGGTCGGTATAACTAGGATAGTCGCTAAAAGATCCTCTGTAGCCCCCTGCTGAGAATGGAGTTCGGTCATATGAATTGTGGATAGGGCTTGCCGTTACTGAGTGGATATGGCTGGGGCGCGGTGGTCCGTATTCATATGTTGATGAGCCGTATTGAGAGCCCGTCTCCAATGGAGGCGGGAGTCCATTCTGGAGAGATCCTGAGCGACGGTGGTCAGGGTAGTCTTCGTAACGGTCACGAGGATGCGCTCTAGGTGCTGCATTTCTGTCCAGGGAGGGAAGAGACGAAGGCAGACTGGGCAGAGTTGGTCGTGGTTCAACTCTCTCGTTCACTTCCATGGGAGGCGGAACCGTATCCTTGTGCGAAGATGAACTCTTCCGAGACTGGCTCCAAGCATCCACAGAATGATGACGGGCTGGAGAGCGAAGCCTCATTGCACTCCGGTCAGGGCTATAATACATTCGTGGAACATATCTAGCCCTCTCCCGCTCCTGCTCGTCGTCTACCGAATCTCTCCGGCGCTTGTGTACCACCGATGAGTGAACGTATCCTGGCGATGCAAGAGGCCCCGTGACTGCCGAGCTTGGTGAGGGATCGGTGGAGGAAGAAGAGTTAGGTGCTGGCTCCTGGTGCTGACTGTTGCTGCTACCGTTGGGAAGATGAAATTCAGGGAAGAACTGAAATATTGTCAGAAAAAAAATGGAGGATGAAGGTCAATACCAACTTTCAACATACCATGCGAATCGAAGGCAGAGACACCGACGCTGATTCCTGAGTTGGGCGAGTATATTGGGAGGGGATGCGGGGGGCATCCCAAGCATAATCTTGCCGGAAGCCAGCAGGCGGTGCTGGAGATGCTGCGAGCATGGCCATTTCTGGTTGTGTGGAAGATGCGTGCGATTGAGAGTTGCTGTATCTGTGGAGATGCCTCGAGGGGCTATAGTCCATTACAGGACGGACCTCAAATCGGCAAGAATGTTCCAACCGCCGTCAGAACCCTTGCCAACTAGTGTCGTGACGTCCAAGCAGCCTGTGATCCGAACCCCAAACAGTTCTCAACAAAGCGAGTAAAACCACGCACGACTGGCGAGGAGTCGTATCGCAAATGGATCAGGGAGGCTGAGGGAGAAGACGGGATTCTATGGACCTCTAAGTCGAGTATACGTTGTTTGGCGGGGACGGGGGAAAGTACAACAGAGATGCAGAAGGGCTACGAGCAAAGACCGGGTTGGGTCAAGGACGTACCATATCTTTAAAGGTCTCAAGATGTGAGTGCGGCAAGCTGTTGTGTGGGGAGGCGGAGACCGTTCTGACGGCGAGGCTAAGCCGCAAGGGACCAGGTCTGCGAGGCATGGACCGGGCCCGGCGATCAAGAGAGGGCAGACATGACGCTGGGACCAGAGACAGGGCCCCGAGGTTTACGAGTAACGGAGTACAGCACCTGAAGAAATGAAGACCACATACCTACATTTCAGGATCACGACCCTCTTTCTGGCTCCCGGGGGGGGCGGAGGGGGGGGTGTGCGCTAAGGGGATGGTTGGTGGGAGTGGTAGTGGCTGAATCTGCCACGCTTGATGGTGACACCTGGTGGAGGCTGCTGGGTGCTGGGCAAGACCGCTGGGATGGTCCTTCCCTGGGAGGGGGCGTGCGAGACGACAGGACGTGGACCGGGGGAAGGCGGCATGGATCATGGCCCCATGGACTTCTCCGGCCGGTGGTACGTACCTCCAGCACGGAAGGTACCATGGAGGAGGTAATTACCATGCCGTCCCCCGAAAGCCACATGCGAAACCTGCAGTCAGAGGATTAACCTCACCCCCAACTGGCAGACAAGGTGAGGGAGGTGCTGGCAAGGTTGGCAGACAGAGTGTCCTTGGCAGGCCCAGCCTACTCCTGTGTGTCCACCCAACTGGCCCGGCCTGGCCTGTCTTCTAGGAGGGAGCAGGGCAGAAGGGGTGTGGTCCAGAAGCTCAGCTCTTCTGCCGCGATGGCCGCGATGGCAAAAGACGCCTACTTTAACGCCTCCATCCATCGACCGCCTGGGTTGTTGACGCTGCATCTTGCATTCTAAAGGAGCGCCTGCACGACCTTAGCGCAGTTCTCCTCCTCCTTTGCCAGCCCAAGCCGTTCCTGGCTGCCAGGCTAGAAGCCGGTCGCTGGCGTTTTCAGCCTTTGACTTTGACAGCCATCCGTCATCTGACCCAAGCACCAGGTATCGGGCAGCGAAACCCTCGTACGTAGCCCGCATGCTGTAATCTCCAGTACGAGATGACGGGCGGTCATTTTGGTCCGATGCTTCGCGCTTGGCGGTTGACGTCTCTCTGCCAGAGCCACCGCTTAAGCAGAGGCGTTAGAAGCCGCGAATGTCACCAAGGAATCGATGAAGATCACCAGCAGAAGGCAGAACGGCGCTATGAATCACTACCTGGGGGGCGCTAAGGGGAACTAAGCTGGCAGAGCGGAAGGGGGCGAATTTTCCGTCCATGACTCTTGTCCTTCTGACTCCTCTCCACTTGGCGCTCGCGTTCTTGACACTGATGGCGAGATTCTGTCACAGAGACACTAGCAGCCAGCGCTAAGGCAGCCATGACACCCGCCATGGGACGCGAGTGTTACAAGTAGTTTGGAGCCAGACTTCAGCTGAAGAGACCATCAGCTATTCTCCATTTATTAGGGGAAATTGGCGAAAATCTTGGGCCAGGGCAAAAACAACGGAAGATGCCTTGGTCTGCCTTGATCCAAGTGCGCCGTCTCAAGCTGATCCAATTTCATGTTTAATTGAGCTAAATGTCTAGGCAATACCGTATCGTATCTATGATCCGTTCTTGCGGATGACCGTCCGGAGCAGGCAGTCCACGCAAACTCACGACACAAGTCTATCACCAAAGTTCACGATGTGCGGACAAGACAAGTTGGCGTTGATCTCATCATCTTGGTTGACCAGAAAGCTTAATCCATGGCCAGTGCTGTGTTCCAGAGCGTCGGGACAGCTGGCATGGCTACTAACTTCGCTTCACCCGCCATGGCGATGATGACAGCCCGTGGCGTGACACTTTCGCTGACTAGCCATGCTTTTTCTGGGGCGTCACGCGTTCCCAAGTTTATTTGATCAGCAGGTGTAGGGGGAGAATGGACGACGGAGGACGGGAACTGTAGGCGCCTGTCTACTGGTACTAGCTCCTCGTTGACAAGTCACAAGCGTGTGTTGTCCGTCGTGCTGCTCCATAGCTCACGTTTTGTCAACTTAGCCAGACAGGTTGGTTTGGTTTGTGGCGTGCACAATATGTGGTTGCGCCATGTTGTTGTTATCTGCTTGTGCCTTGTGTGCTAACGACCCAGTGCCAGGTTCTTGGATCCCAGGTTCTTGGATCCAGCGCAGTGGGCGCTATCGTTAGGAGCCACACGCATTCCGTCCCACGGCGTGGCAGTGCTTGCCGATTACTCAAACCCAAAATACCGTCAAGTGGTGTGGAATGTCACTCACTGAAACGGGGGGTTGCGTACTGCGTGGCTCTGCTTGGCGAGTTTGCTTGTTCTTCGTTGGCTTCAAGCACCAGGAATGACCCTGGACAGACAGCGAGATGTGACTTGGCCACGATATGCATATTCTCCATCGCGAGCAGTCTCGATCAATCAACAATGTTGGGCTCCAGCTTCGAATAATGCTGGCAAGGGAATTAGATCCGAGAACCCTGTCCAGATCCATGGTGTTGCTTGGCTCACAAATCGGGGAATAGTATTGTGTATGTTTTCTTTTTCTTTCCCCTGCCCCATTGACTCGAATCTCGTTGGTCTCTTTTGCCGTTTTTGTCAATGCCAGCCGCCGTCACTCCTCTGCCTTCCCAGCGGAGTCCCATTTTAGCCTGCTCGGTATTGTTCAAATGCTATCATGCCCCCTGCCGTCCCTTTACAGATTTAAAGACTGGTCTGCTGTCCAGAGGCTCTGCTTTCGTCTCAATCGCAGGGATCCCGTCCTGTAGTGTGTCTCATCTGGGAGGCCTTGATGCGATTGGCTCCTTGGGCTTGGATCCGGTCGTGCAAGGGAGGGGGTGACGATCAGAGCCGATCACAGGGATCAGATCGGTCCCGAACTTGAGATGGGGACTGCTGGTTGGCCCACCAGTCCCAATAGCCAAGCCAGCCCCAGTATCCACCAGACAGCATTTAATTACGGCCCTCCTCTCGATGGTGCGCCTGGAACCCATGGCAGCCGCCTGCCTGAGATGGGTGTCTGCTTGGCTTCGACTTGGCCTGGGACTTGGGCCATTGCGGACAAGCCCCTGTGCCACACCACAGCGAGCACACACACCACCTTCTCCATACCTTAGTGCTCCTGAGTACTTCCCTCCGTCCTATATTTACCTCTGCCAGAAGTAATAATGTTTAGTGCGGTGCCTAATTGTCTGCGGCAACCAACTGCCAAGCCATTGGCCCACATGTCACTGCACGAGCGGCCGATGACAACCGGCTTTGGAGCCTCTAATATTTAATAGCCGCCTCCTTACTCATTTCGCATGCGGCTTGAGGCGTGCGGCTGGCCTGGCACCTGGTCAGCGGCAGCTTGCACAACTCGTGCAGGAAAGCATTGCTTGATCCATTCGTATGTGCCGGCTAGGCTTGGCAGGCAGGGTTTGTGGCGTCAAGACGCAGCTCACTAATAGCGAGCCCGTTCCAGCCACGACCTTGAGTCTCGAGATCGACATGTTGGCAACTGATGCATATCGTGAGTGTGATTTGGTATCTACAATACCATTCTGTACTCGGTAGGCGCTCTGATCTACGGCCATTGGGACCACTATGAAGCCAGTCCGGAATTTCAATTGGATGATAACATGGGTCAGCAATTGGGGGCCATTGTATGTAGGTGATATTGTTCCCTCGGCCGTAACATGCTGGGTGTTGCGACAACCGGTTCTTCCTGCTGTTCATCCTTTCTACGTACATACTCTCTGTCAAAGTGCAGCTTACTAATTCTCGTCGATATGCTTGGGCCTTGGACAGGTAGAATATACGAAGTGCTGCCTGTAGGATGTCGGCTGTGAGATGAGCCCACCCTAATACATAGTCTGTATGTATGCATGTGGATCGTCATGTGGAGGAGCAACATAGTCGCACAGCCAGACTGAAGTCGCGACTCTTCCTCTTCCTGCAGCATTCAATCTTCTTCCACAGCACGGCGGGTATCGAGCCGTGCATTGTACATCATCTTGCTGGCATTGGGCATACGTAGGACAGAGACCTTGCGCTCTCTCCCAATGGATAACGCTTTCTTGGCTCTGTTTTGGGTGCCTACCTTAGTATTAGGTAGGTACCTAAGTCGTGATATACCTATGAAGATCCATATCATATAGGGGCGCCTGCGCGTCCGCCAATCCGGCGGAATACTTGCACAGATGTCTTATACAGATACGATGATGGCGCCCAGAAGTGCCTTGTTTTCTCTTCTCGGCCGCAGAACCGAAAGCGGAGAGGGGGAACCGATGGCGAAGAAAGCTGGGCCATCTCTCGATCTTGAGATGGTCGTGCTTACTGCTTGCTGGGAAGGCGCCTTGTTGCCTCCCAAGGAAGTGGCAGGAACGGGCGCACACCGCCATCTCGTAATGCCTCTTCCCAGCAACTTGCTCACCAGATCGCCAGCACTTAGACCTACACCTACACCTAGACCTGCATAGGATGGGGGCCCTATCCTCAGCCCAGCTTCATCGCGTCGAATCATGGATCCTAAGCCGCCAATGGCCTACTCCTCTCGCCCGAGAGCTGCCGGCATGATCCTCCTCCGGGGCTCACCTTGTAAAGTTTACCATCCGCGCGCACACACAACCTCTTGATTTATGCATGCAACGCCAAACTGCACGCACGGATGGCGGCGTCGAGAACCCACGCACCCAGAGCACCAGTAGGCACGGCAAACTCCATCACCCCCCACTGCGCTATCCAATTCGCCCCATCGTGGCTGGAAAGAGGCCGACACACCTGAGGCCACCTAGTGCCCAAGGCCGAGATCCTCAGCCTTCAGTTGATCATACGCTAGGTAGGTAGGTACCAAAAACCCGCAAGGTTGGTGATGGGCGACCCCAGGCTACATGGCAATGCGACGGGCCTTCCAAGTGGGCATGTGGTTAGTTAAGCATTCATGCAAAGCCGTCTTTCCCCCACAGCCAGCTTCAGCACTTTGACCTGGTGTTCCTCGAGAGAAGCTCTTGGATATCTTTATGGGCAAGTCCTTCACAGGGCAGGGATGCTCCACGCCACGGCTTATCATGCATAGAACCATGTCCCAGCGGATGGTGACCAGATCAAGGAGAATAGGATGCCCACGGGGTTGTCTGCTCCTCCTTGATATTCTGCCCCATCTGGTAGATGCATGTGTCTGGAGTAATAGCTGTAGCATCACCGCTGCGCTAATGTAATCGACAGCTAGTGCCATATCTGCCATCTCGTATCATGTCAAGACATGGAACCCATGGAGTGCAATGTGCAGATACCCTGCGGATCGGAACCCCCTCCTCTCGCCAGAAGGTCAAAGACTTTGTTGGGGGAAGAGATGTGAGCTCTTGCCGAGTCCCTGCGGATCGGACTGTAGGCGGTCTTTGTGTGCAATGAGCCGGTTGTCTGTGCACGCGTTGTGATGAAGCGGCAGCTTCAGGTGGGCTATCTAGCTTCACCCCTAGTCGTCTCTATATTCACCGCAACACGGCATAAACGCACGGGGTGTCTTGAGGGTTGACCTGAAGAGGGCTCAACAGGTCTCGGGCCTCGAACAACAAGAGAGAACTACGGTGGTACCTGCAAGTCTAGGGAGGTAGGCATCGGCGCTCATTGACACGAGCCTCATGCCGCCGGCTTAGAACACGGCACAGCATGGCGAATCTGTACTTCTCATTCTCCAGCAGTCTACCTGGCCGAACCAAGTAGCTTCTTCCCGGGGAAATAATAATCAATCGGCTTCTTCGAAAACCAACACAAACGAGTTTTGGTCATCTTCATAAAGATCGGGCAGACGATTATCCATAGACAGCCAGGCCCTTTTCTTCACCTGCCAGTGTGTGTCACAAGAGCTTCTAGCGTTACTCAAGCCGTGCTTTACGTGGCTGATCCCGTCTTGTACGAAAGAACCGACCCCAGAAACTACAGTGTTCCCAGGGGTAAATTCCAGAAACGACGTGGACTAACGAGCATAGAATGAAGCTCCATGTAGGGTGACCTCAAATGACCTTGACCTGCCCCAAGGACCCGAAGCTGCAACCAAAAATTCGTCATCCGATCCTACATACCTGCGTGTGACCATGCCGTGCCTCGCTGGCGTTATCAGTGGCTGAAGTTATTGAAACCTAGCGAGTTCGCCCACCATTTGGATTGGAGAAGCTGCAGTCAGACATCCTAGCAGATGCCAAAGTGCGGCACTGCCATGCTCTCTCCCACGAACCATTCCGGGTTCGTGGATTCCACTTCAATGCTCAAGAGACAGGTTTCCTTGGCGGTTCCATTTGCCCCAGGGCACGCTCTGTCGAGTTTTTGATAGCTGCCATACCTTACTGTACTATTCGCAGTACCTCGCAAGCTCGACTGTTCTCGGGCACTGCCCCGCCTATGTTTCTCAGCACTATCTCCCCTCGTCTTTTCTTCCACGGAAACACGAACCATCAGCTTGGGAAGCCTATTTTCCGGCTGTGGTAGTTTAACAACAACGCAAACTTTCCGGTCAAGACTGACTTGACGGTGCTGCACAACGTCCAACTCAAAGCCAGGGCCGACAGCACAGCTAATCAAACTGGCCGGGGGAACCAAATCTGGCTTTGGCCTGCTGCGGTCCATCCTGGACTTGTAACACCTACCACAACGTGCTACCTGGCTGCACACTCCGCGTCCACTATGACGGGTAATTCCATAGCTTTCTCCTCTCACCATTCTGTCATGAGTCAGCCGTTCATTCTCCATGTCAGGGCGGTGAGACCCTCCCTCGCCTCTTTCGAAATGGGGGAGTGTAAGGCAACACTTTCCTGACAGCATCGTCAGACAAGCCATCCGCCGCCATGGGATCACAGGTGCCTGGTCGGAACTCCCTCTGTGTCACAAAGAGGAGAAGTGGGCAGTCTACATTCAACCGACAAAGACGACGGCTCCTCAGTATCTAGGCAGATAGACGTGTCCTTTGAATGGATGGGAGTGTTTCTCCAGACGAGCCCGGCTTGGACTCCATTCACTCCACCTCCAAAATGTGCTTTTCGGGACATGGAATCAATGGAATAAAGCCCAAGATGCGTGGTGACCGACGTGGAGACATGATCCTGCAGCCTCAAACTATATGAGAGGAATATCTACATACGCCGTGTAACCTTGATCGGTCCGTCGCCCGCAAGCTTCATCAAATACAGTTCAATGACCGCTTCCCGCATGTCCCATGGGATGGCAAGCCCGGGAACGAGTCTTTCCGGCGCCATCCTTTGCGAAAAATGTCAGTGAATAGCGTCAATGGCCCGCGTTTGCCACGCCTAGCCTAGAAGTTGCTGCGACTGCTTACACCAACTTCTAAATCTACAGAGAACATGACAGAAAATCGTATACTGTTTCAATCCCCAGTTCGCACGACGCACCTCTTTCAACAGAAGAAACGGCGGCTATTGATCAGGCCCGGCACCTGTGGCAACTCCCCAGCAAAATCATGCTGCTTCGGTCAGTCATGCCAGCAGATTGGGCTGCATGCCCCCAGCCCTCAACAAGTCCCGGCTGCTAGGACCCAGCTTCTGGCTGAACATGAGATTGAGCACAGCTAGTAGAAAACCGGTAGGGTGGAATCTCTTGGCAACGGAACGCCTATGCCATGCTTGCTCATTGAACAGTGTCCTACACGCAACCACACCATCATGTATCTCCACGCATCTATACAGTTCGAGGGATCGAGACCACGGTCTAGGTACGCCTTTTGGCCCCGTGGTAGTAGTCATCCGCCCTCTCCCGTCCATTAAATAGCTGGGGCAGTTTGCCTCGATCTCATGGGTCTCGACACCTCAAACACCTCTAACATAGCTTTGGCGTAATATGCATCTATATAGGCTAGCATCTACACCAAGTCCATCAGCTCGATGCAATAGTAGCGGCCTTGATTGATGTTGGACCCGAGGCAACTTTGGTCGGCCTATCGCCAGTACCAAGGGGGCAAAACCTCACACCCATCACAACGCAATGCGCACCTCACGGCACCACCGGGCGGAACATGGATGGAAGAACCACACATCGGGCATTAAATGAGACGGGGTGTTCCGGCTGTCTTACAATCTGCCGCCATCCTATGTGCATTGCCCTTCTTGGCCTTGTGCAGAGTTGCAGGTCGCGTAGTTGTGGGTGCGATGCTGCTGCAGGTATCATCATACCGCTCATGACTGAAATTAACCTTCCCACTCGACCCAATCGCAACCCATTTCACGGCTTGCCCCCTGCTGTGCCTCGACATGTTGATTCCCAGTGACAGCGACAGCCGGATACGCGAGCACGACACTCCCTGCCCACCCATATGCACGTATGAACAAATCTGGGTGCCATCTTTGATGCAGGTTTCCACCTTTGTGGTTATTCTGGTTGCTTGCAAGGCTGCTGCTGCTGTGCTTCCATGTATAATGCGTACCGACCTGCTCATTTCGGCGGGCTCTTTGCAGGTGGGCATTGGGAGAGCCCGGGGGGAGGGTTACCACTTGAAACATGCACATCACCTCACCGGATCTGCCAGCTGCAAGGCATCGGGGTTGCTGAAATTTAAGAGTATGCAGCAGTGCCGAGACTGAATACGAGCCATGGGCAAGCATGACAACGTTTCGTGCATTGATAGAAACACGGCAGTTCGTAGGTACATGCGTGTAGTCTAGGGTAGGTTTATAGGCGTGTGTGGGAAGAAGACAGCTCACAGGCGATTTGAGTGGGGCCAGTCACCAACCAGCCTTCTGAAGGGGGTTTCAACTGCCATCATCATCAACGACGCCGCGGAACGCGGTCTCTCATCACACAGAAAAGAAATCATGAGGGAGAGGGTAACCTTTTTTCATCCCACGGACACTGGGGTTCTCCCAGAGAACCTTAAACGTGACAAGGGAGGGCTGGAGGCCCCCGTATTTGAGACAACTCGAGAGGACCGCCTCACCCTTGGCCTGGACGAGCTGCCGGCCGAGGTAGCTTCTGTCCTCAATGGCTTTTCGTCTCTGCATGTGGCGTGGAATAGCCCAGTGGCATATCGAACCCTCGAGCCGTTCGCAGCGCGGTTGTCTCCGGGACTTCATGTCTTATTTGACCCAGCTGTTGCCGGGACGCCTGACAAGTTAGTGGACGCTTAAACAGGCCTTCTATCAGACCTGGACGACTGACATGACCATTTTAGGTCCGATTTATGTTCTCTACTCCAAGTGTTCAGTCCTCGAGATTGTTCAGTGGATGAGGTAAGAGAGTTTTTATAACATTCATTCGGGCTCTGGGCTTGGTGCCTTTGGACTAAACGAAGTTAATCATTCCCAAGGCCATCTCTACAACAATAACTGGCCCAGAGGGGTCTCCCCAACCGAAGCAATTCTTTCAACCGCTCGAGGAACTCTCAAATTTCGCCAAATGGCTGAGCTCTGAAGTTTGTGGAGCTGAAGATGATGCCTGCCAATCGCGGGCTCAGAGGCTTCTGTCTGCTGCGGGCCTGGACATCACTTACGACGCAGCATCCAAGACCGTAAAGGTGTCAGCATTCTGGCCACTCAAGAAGCAGCCTGTCTCTGTCCCGTTTTCTCCTCATCGAAGAACCGAGGTTGGGATCCTGACTCTGGGGAACCCACCCAATCTTGCCCCAGACCATGTTGGTGTCTCTGGCATCTTGACTACGCTTGGGGACAAGAAACAACCCTCTCCTGCCCTGTTCGCCTTTCCAGCCCGTCACAAACTGAGCGATTCGTACTTCTCAACCGCTTTCCTGACCCCCACTGGTCTTCACCCAACCCTCCAGCTGAGTCTGAGCGGCAACCAGCCGCCCAAGGAGGATGCTGAGTGTAAACCATACGCCTACTTGACCCTGCCAAAGACCATTTTCGCAGATCGGTTCCAGCTCGACGGGGAGCTATTCATGGCCTCCAAGAATCTCACCGCGCTGCGTGCAACCACTCTGCCCGTCGATCTGGAGGCACCCGCTTACACGACGGGTGTCTGGGGCTCCAGCATCCTCTTAGAGCTTGCGCCGCCGACCTCGGCCGCGAACCAGGCCTGGACTGCCGAGGTGCCGCTGCATCTGCGCTACCTGAAGCCCTCCGAGACTGGGCTGGAGAGCATCGAGGTCCCCTACCCGGCGGTGTTCTGGGCGTGCTCGGCCGAGCAGGGCCCCGAGTTCTCGCAGAACCCCTTTGATCGCGCCCATGTTGGGTACGATACCTTGTTCGAGTCGGACACGGTGTTCTGGCATGTTGAGCCGCGGCCTGAGCAGGGAGACAGGCTGGTGAATACTATATCCGTGCCCGTCTTGAACGAGCACGGCTCGGCCCTGATCGGGGTTGGCACCTCGTTGGTTGTCGCGCTGGGATTCGGCTGGGTGCTCTGGAAGCTGTACAGCGCAGTCGCGCAGAACGGGTACCAGGCGACTTCTGAAGCCGCCGAGGAGAAGAAGAAGCGTTGATTTCTCTTTTTCTGGATATCATCATCACCCATTACGGGGGGTCTGGGTGGGTAAGCGGGATGGGTCTCGACATGTATCTGCCAATAGATTCTGTGGCCGCCATAAGTATTAATATATAATAACTCTGGAATATCGTGACGAATAGCATGTAGACACTGGTTCCAACAAAATGTTTCAAACCGTGGTTGAAATGTTGGTGTCGGGAATATGAAGCACGTGACCTTATATATCACTCTATTTTGTGGTGTTTTGGTAGCTCGCTGTCGTGAATCATCACGTCAACACCACCCCAGCGGCAAGCAATCTCCTCGTTGGTTAAATGTCTTCGCGGGCCGTTCCTTGACCTAGGGAGAAAGAAGCCCAGGTCTCCCCGATCTTTTGGGCTACGACGAGGGAAACTTCAATTGGAGGAGGAGGGATCGCGATGACGTCGTCTGCGCCTGGGCAGTATCCCGGGGCGACACCAGCGCCGGCGCCGGAAGCGCAGCACCAGCCGGCGCGCCACGAGGATCGCATACGCAGGAACGTAGCGTGCGTCAACTGCCGGAACTCAAAGGTACCCGTTTGCTTCGCGACCGCCGCGGGCACACCAGGTTTTGCTGACCGACCGCGTTGTAGGTCCGGTGTAGAACGAGCTCTGTGGCTGGCAACCCTTGCCAGCGCTGTGCCAAGCTGGAGATACCCTGTGTTGTTGATAAGTCTCATAAGAGGGTCACGAGACGGAGGTCTGTTCGATCCGGATTCGCGCTCTTTGAACCAGGCAGCTCCTGCTCGCTGGCCTGTCCATTCTGTCATCTGCAATGCCGGTGTAAGACGAGATGTGTGTGTATGTGCTGACTTGGCGCTGGCGTTTTCTAGTAAGCTGGAGCAGCTGGAGCAGGAGCTGAAAAGCATCAAGCAGGCTGTCAACACCAAAGCTGGTGGTGAAGGGTCGATACCTCCTCCGAGCCCGGTGGTGAATCTGTACGTCTCCCCGACGGAGCCTCGGGGTGAATCTATTGTCGTCACTTCACAAGAGACGGATACTTCTCCAGAGAAGGAGGCCACGTCGGTTAGGGTGTCAGATAGGCCTCTCAAGACCACACCAACGAAACCGCGGACGATCGGCGCCAAGGTGGTGGATGGGGTAGAGATCGATCACTATTTCGACAGGTATGTATGGCGCCTTGGCGACTAATCTATCATTATTGTACCTTTCTTTAAGGTATTGAATGTGCTGACTGGATTCGGCTGGATGTAAAGATACCTGCAGCACTTCCATGCTTTCCTCCCGGTGCTTCGAAAGAAGGACCCGGATGAGTGCTATGAGGAATGCCCGGTCCTGTTCTGGATTGTTATCTTGACGGCGTGCCGGCGTTATTGCCTGGACGAGCAACTTCACTCTACCCTGGTTGAGTCGGTCTCCAAGGACATCTGGGCTCTCGTGTCGAGCCCCATCATGAACCTCGAGGCCGTTCACGCCTTGCTCCTGATATGCGTCTACCCTCTCCCTACGATTCGCTTTGCGACCGACCCCTCGACGACGTTTGCAAGCCTTGCGCTGCACTTTTGCACGCAGCTCGGTTTGCACACGGGGAGAGGTTCGCATAGTGAGTTTTGTGCTGGGCAGAGACAGCATATCGCGTGTACTAGCGAGGAAGCATCGGTGACCTGGCTGTCGGCTTGCATACTTGCGGAACGGTAAGATGAATCGCACGGATTTCCTCCTAATGAGATACAATCGCACCATCTTCCAGTGCCGTTGCTTACATTCAATCAAAGATGTGCCTCGAGCATGGGTCTTCCTCCGCCCTCCATCCAGCTCAACGACGGACCAGCCCGGCAGGCTCTCAGCTCCCCTCAGTGGTCGGATGTGATTGCCATGTTCGAGATTCAGAAGTTTCTGAACCGCATGCACCTATCAATGGCTGCGTACATCACGTCAAATGGGTCAGTCGGGGAGAGCATAGTAGCAAACTGGGAAGACGACTTCGAGTCGCTCCAGGCCCTCGTCATCGCCGACTCAGAGGTATCCCGGTTCATGCTCCTGGCTGCCAAGCTGGAGATCCAGGTGTACTACTTCTCCTACCCAGCGGACCGGCCGGGCCCCAACCTCAACCTCAACTTCTGCCGCACCTTTGGCACGACCAAGTCCATCATACACACAGCCCTCGCCCTGGACGACTCGCCTAGCAAGTTCCTCGCCCACTCCCCCCACTGGGTCTTCCGCTCCATCATCGACGCCGCCTCCTTCATCATCGTCGCCCTCCACTCCCACAAACCCCCGGTAACCGTCTCCTCGCTGTCCCGGCACTCCGAGACCTCCCTGGTCGAGCAGGCCAAGGCGGCCGTCTTCAGATGCTCGGTCCGGGACGGCGACCTCCCCTGCCGGGGCGGCAGCCACTTCGACGCGTTCTGGACCGCCCGCGACATGATCCCCAAGATCGAGCCGGCCGTGCGGACGTGGCCGAACCGCCTGGGCGCGGGGCTGATCTTCTGGTGCTTCTGGCGGTTCACCACTGGGCTCAAGCAAGCCAAGGAGCAGTCCGACAGCGCGGTGAGAGCTGCTGCGCAGACCACAGGTGAGTTCTTTGCCACGGCCTCCTTCCATTCTTTTTTCAAGATTTCGACATGTTCAAGGGTAATCTGGGCTGATGTATTAACGTGTTTTTATTCTCTAGAGCCCGTAGGATCTGGTGAGGTGGCTGCCATCGCTGCGGTGCCGTCGGCCGCGGAGTCGACGTTGTTGGCGGCCGACGCCTTCCAGGATATAGACCTGTCGATGTTCCTGGATGATTTTGGGTGGAATGGTGGGGATGAGGCGGTGTTCATGGGTCTTCCTTGAAATAGACGGCTGATATCAAAGATAGCGTTTCTTGACCTTTTGAGTAGTCAAAATATTCCCTACTCGCCCATCTCGAGAGACTGTGGGTGTAGTTCTCTCCCCAATCGTTGAGGAGCCTCTTGCATCAGCCTTATAACTGAGATCATCAAAACATCACTGAAGATAGGCAAAGTGGTGTTGGGCACGGTCCTGATATATAAAATCCTCATGTTTGATTGAATCTACCTACCAAAAAGGCCCCGAGAAATCATAGTTCTACATATTAAAGGCCGGATTAGTGTGAAGATATGAACAATTTATGCCCTTCAAAAGTACCAAAACAAACGCCTGTTAATAAATTCATGAATCGTAAACACATTTCCCCATACAAGCAATCTTCCAGGACCGCCCAGTTATGCTTCGAAGTTTTTTTTCTTATTGGTTTTTCTGAAAGGAAATCGACGAGTGCGGTCTGGTGTTGTCAACTCGTTTAAGTGTAGAAGTCCTCATCCATGTCGTCACCAGCAATCTCCTCAGCGGCATCATCTTCGTCGTCGAACATATCGGCGTCTTCACCGTTGTCGCTATCGGAGTGGTTGGGAATAACAACAATTCTGTTATCATCGAGCTCAATGTGAGCGACCTCGCCATCGCGAATATTGTTTCGGAGGATAAGAATGGCAAGTTTGTTGAGGATTTCCTGCTCGATGAGACGCTGGAGAGGACGGGCACCGTATGCCGGAGAGTAACCAGAGGCACCGAGGTAGTCTTTGGCCTCATCAGAGACTTCGATCCGAACTTTGCGTCCATTGTCTTCCAATCGTTTCTGAATTTCGTTAATACGGATGTCGACAATTTTGCGAATCTCTTTTCGGGTGAGCCGGTTGAAGATGACAACTGAGTTGATACGGTTGAGGAACTCCGGAAGGAAATAGTTGCGGAGAGCATTCATAACCTGTTCCCGAGTGCTTGGGTCGATGCGACCTCCCTCGGAGGTTGAAGTTCGAGTAAGATACTCGGCACCCAAATTAGAGGTCATTACGACAATACAGTTCTTGGCGTCGACGACTCTGCCTTGGCCATCGGTAATGCGGCCATCGTCCATAAGTTGGAGCATGACGGTAAGAATCTCCTTGGCAGCCTTCTCGACTTCGTCGAACAGAAGAATAGAGAAAGGCCTGCGACGGAGGGCCTCAGTCAGTTGACCACCGGCATCGTGACCAACGTACCCGGGGGGGGCACCAATCATCCTGCTCAGAGAGTGTCGCTCTTGATATTCGGACATATCGAACCGAATCATAGCCTTGGGATCATCGAATAGGAACTCGGCCAGAGCCTTGGTCAGTAGGGTCTTACCAGTTCCAGAAGGACCGCAGAAAAGGAAACTAGGCGGCTGATTTGGATTGGCCAGACCAGAACGTTGCAGACGGATCGAGTTGGCAACGGCTTGGACTGCTTCCTTCTGGCCTACGACAACCTTGCTTAGGACCTTCTCCATGTTGATGAGCTTCTCCTTCTCAGAGGTGCGGAGTCGAGTGACGGGGATTCCGGTCCATCGAGCGACAATCTCGTTGATGTTATCAGCGGTAACAATGTCAGTAATCATTGCATTGCCGGCATCAGCGCCGGAAGCATTGAGGGCGGCATCAGCCGCAGCCTTGCGGGCCTCAAGCTCCTTGATAACTGCCTCTTGCTCAGGAATGGCACCATACTGCAAATCGGCAGCCTTGGCGTGATCACCTGAGTTGGTGGCATCTTCAAGACGCTTCAAGAAGTCATCAAGCTTGAGTTTTGCTTGGTGAATATCCTCACTGCGCTTGATTTCGTTTTGATACTTCTCTCGGAGAGGCTGCAGCTCCTCCTCGACATTCTTGGCATCCTTTCGTGCTTGCTGAAGTCGGGTCTGTGAGGCCTCATCCTTCTCCTTCTCCAGAGCGGCAATTTCAATCATCAGCTGCCTAAGCTTTCGCTCAAGAGAGTCAATGATTTCAGGCTGCGACTCGCGAGCGACCTGAACTGCAGCGGCGGCTTCATCGACTAGGTCAATAGCAGAGTCGGGAAGGCGTCGAGAAGTAAGGTAACGAGCAGCCAAGTTGGCGGCAGCAACCAGGGCACTATCCAGGATGGTCACGCGGTGGTGTCTGTCGTATCGCTCCTTGAGACCTCGAAGGATGGAAACGGTCTCGGGGATAGTGGGTTCCTTGACAAGAACTTGCTGGAATCGACGCTCAAAGGCAGCGTCCTTCTCAACGTACTTGCGGTATTCTGCCAAGGTGGTTGCACCAATACAGTGCAACTGCCCACGGGCAAGCATGGGTTTGAGTAGATTGGCAGCATCCATGCCACCCTCACCAGAAGATCCAGCGCCCATCAGAAGATGAATCTCATCAACGAAGAGAACGATCATCTCCTTGGCCTCCTCGATCTCCTTCAGAACAGCCTTCATACGCTCCTCAAACTCTCCCCGGTATTTGCTTCCAGCGACGAGAGCACCAACATCGAGGGACAGAAGCTTGCAGTGCTTGAGGTTGTCAGGAACATCGCGGTTGACGATTCGCTGAGCCAGACCTTCTACAACGGTGGTCTTTCCCACACCGGGCTCACCGATGAGAACGGGGTTGTTCTTGGTTCGTCGTGAGAGGATTCGAATGACTCGACGGATCTCTTCCTCTCGGCCAATGACAGGATCAATCTTCTTGTCCCTTGCCAGCTTGGTCATGTCGATGGTGAACTTGGCCAGGTTCTCGTTTTCCTCGTCGGTATCGGCCGTCTTGCTGTCAACCCGCTTAGTTCCTCGGATGGTTTGGACAGCCTCCTGAACAAGCTTCGGTTTGGGAACATTTGCCTCTCGTAGGGCTGCTTGAACAGCGCTGTCCTCAGCGAGGGCTGTGATTAGATGGTCGACACCAATATAGCTGTCCTTTTGCACCTTCTGCAGCTCCATGGCTTTTCGAAGGACAGCATGGAATGATGATGCCAGAGCCACTTGCTCTGGGGGAGGGTCTTGGCTGGGTAGTCTGACTAGACCTCTCTTGAGGACTCGGTCGAAGATTTGGGGGTCGCCCCGAGCCCGCTCGATGACTTGTCTGAAGAGGGTAACGCCGGGTGCAGGACCATTCTGTTGGTCCTTGGACTTGTCGACGGGAGGGTCTAGCAAGGAAACAGCCAGGTGGATTGGAACGAGCTGTGAGTGGCCATACTGCTCTGCGAGGGCCATGGCATCCTCAACGGCCTTCTGTGCCCGGTCTGTGAAGTCCATTCGCGCGGTCATGATGGCGGTTGGGAGTGGTAGACGGGTATAGTGGGTGAATAGGGAATGAGTAGAGGGTGAATTATAGAGAGAAAAGAACTTGTACGCTTGAAATTAGAGTTTAACAGCTCCTAATGATCGTACGATCAAGGGTGGAGGGGTTGTCGCAACTGCGGACTTGGTGTGTCTTTGTCCTTTCGAAGTGAATGAAATGAATGGTAAGAGAAGCAGGTTTTGAGCAGGGAGAGATTCATGCAATGATCATTATATCCTCAGCTCAGAGTGGGACCAGTCCGAGATGCCGACATTGCTTGAAGTTGCTGGCTCAATGCAGAAGCACCGCGCAGGTGCGAGAAGGTACTCAAGAACCTACCAGAAGCTATTGAGACGTCTGTGTGATGTCATTCGCTGGGGACCCAGCTATGGCGGGGAGCTGCGGCCCTGATTGGCCAGAAACAGGCTTATCGCGCATGAATCAGCAGCCTTGTGCGTTATCAGTGGATGACTCAGCCGCTACCCGAGACACGTTGTTCAGGCGCCAAGATTGTCACAACGCACAACGCACCGGCTGGTCACATGACCTCGCGCAAGTTCCCTTGGCCCCTGAGATTTTCCGTGAGGGCCACTGCTGGGTCGACAGGCGTTGTAACGACGACGACAACCACAACGATGAAGCCGGCTCCTGCATTCCGCCTGGGCCAATTGGCCGGTCTGCCAAGGTTATGTCTGCGCCAAAAGCATACACAGCACAGCGGGAAGCCCAGGCAGCCGACGAGTGGGTTTGTTGGGCCCGAAGGACATGGAGAGAAAATCTGGGTATTTGCGCACCGGAGGTCGGATCAGATCATCTATTCCTTCAAGGAGCAGCTGGATGTGAGTGGCTGCTATCATCGCATTAGGTCAGGTTCTTTTATGCTAATTGGAGCCTTCCAGGGTTACCACGACTTGAAGCAGCTGCCTTATAATGGAAAGAAGACCAAGCCTGCGAAGCTTCGAAAAGACTACTGGTCACCTATGGCGACGATCGAGTTTCCCCAAGGGCAGGGCGCTATCGGCCGAACTGTTTTCCAAAAGCTCCGTGAGCTCAAGCACCTGCACGAAGTTCAATGGCATGAGGATCTACGCTACAAGTCGGAAAAGGAGTACACGAAGCAGGATAAGAAGGTGGTCAAGGAGAAGCACGAGGCCGGTTTCCTGGAATACAAGCCCCTCCGTACGGTCAAACAGAGAGGCAAAGCTCTGAATGCTCAGAAGGGAAATGCCATTGCCGACATGGCCGTGGTTCTGGCTGGTGAGGGCGCAGGGAACAGAGTGCTCGTCAGCCAAGCCGAGGATGGCGCCAAAGACCTGGTCCAGGTCACCGTCAGCTGGGCCAATGACCAAGACAGAAATTTCGCAGAGGAGTGGTCGAGCAACGTCACCCACGATCTATTCGAGGAACCTTCATATGTGGCCGAGGCGGCTGCCTTACAAACAACCGGGGCCCAAGCCCAGCCCAGCCCAGCATAAGCCTTTTAGGAACTGGAGAAGCCCAGAGCAAGGTGTATACCAAAGCGTTCAAATCACATGTACAATTTATTTTTATTTGGCAGCGGTTTGCGACGTGGATCCGTCTTCAATGTTTTTGCTTTAGGCGGGCTGATGCCAATCGTTGTATCATTATGTATGACTATTAAAAAAAAACATAGAAAAGATGACGCTTCTTGATCTGTTCGAGTCTTGGCTCGGAGTTGAAATACTCCCGGAGTAATTAATCCTTCATACTTTCAAGGCGAACTGTTTCAAGTACTCGTAATGGGGAATATTCTCATCAACCACGGTACGGATCATCTTTGCAGCATCAGCACCATATTTGTCTCTCCATTCGGCATTCTCAGCCTCAACGGAGTTGATTTTCTGTTGCATGAGAGTCAGCATACGAACTGGAATTAGAGCCGCTTTCTTGCCGCCTGCAGCAATAAGAAAACATACCTGTGCATGGGTTCTCTTATTAAGGGCATATGCCTTAAGTGCATCGTTATGCCAGCCGTTCCATTTGGCGAACTTGACTGTGGCATAGTCTCTGTCTGCGTCATTCCACTTCAACATCTCCGGTGTGAAATCAATGTCTGTTTGTTCGCAGAAAGCCCGGATGGCGCCCTCTGGGTTGTCGAGCATGTCGTCAGCATCCAAGACTGTGAGGTTGTCTTTATCCACGATCCCCTCCTTGAGAAGGAAATCAAAGAGGCGGACGAGCTCCACGTAGCCAGCCTCGTTAGCTGAGAAGTAGTCCCACCCGGTGACCTCCCTCAGAGGAGGCAGGGTGCACCTGTGGTATGAGGGGATGGAGCGCCGAGGGTGGCGGATCAGGAATGTGAATTGGAACTTCTTCAGCACATCAATGGGAACGTTGGTTGGGTTCCCTTCCTCATTGCCGCCGCCGAAAGATGGGGCAATGCCGGTTGGCTTTCCATCGGACGCCTGGAGATAGTAGGCCATGTCCTTGATGAAAACGCGCTTACCCTGGTGTTTGTGTAAGCTATGTACCTTTACAAGGCAGACACATCACTCCTCGAGCTGTCACTTGAGAGCGAGGCCTGTTTGAATGACAATTGGAGTCAGTCATTCAGCGAGATGGAGTCGAACCTCTTTTTGAGCCCCAACCATGATATCTTCAAGCACATCGTCATATGTTGTGTTGGCCATGCCAGAGGCCTCGCGCTCGGCAGCATCAGTGTAGCGCTCGCTCAGGCGCTCTGGGCCGAAGTAGAAGGCGTCACCAAAGGGCTCGTGGACGCATTGAAGCGAGTCCCGACGAGTCATAAAAACCTGCAGGAACACAATTAGCTATCGATTGATCCACAACACGAAGGGGTGTAGAGGACCGTACTCGTTCAAACGCCGTCGAGCAAGCTCGGGGGTGAGTGGCGCAAAAGATTGGGCGAGAGGCCATATTGACTGTTGGATGATGGTCTGAGAAGAGATGAAAAGAGATAAAGAGAGGCACGCGAGCACAATGGCAGCTTTGGGGCAGCCAAAGACCCGATATTTATATCACATTTCCCCCACGCAGAGGCTCTCTGGAGTCGAGGTAGAAATTTGGGAAGGCTACATGGCCTGAAGTATAATTGTCCCGATAGCCGTCGACCTCTGTGGCGATTTACTATGGGAAACCTGGATGCAGGTTCTCACAGGTACTTCAGACAAGGTCTAGTCTCGAACATATGCGGGCGGTCCGATTGATCTCAAGCCACCAGTCCATTAGGTTCAGCATTGCTGGAGCAAATAGCCGTTTTGGTCGAGCGGCAGAGCCTGAGCCAAGTATAAATGCCCTGTTTCGCCGCTGCTAGGACCAATAGCCAGGGCCACATTTAAAAGAGGGTGTGCGGCGTCACTAGTAGCGTGGTCTGGAAGAACAACCCAATGGCCGTGTGTATGCATCCCATGTCATGCTGGAGGTGCTGCTAGAGGGTTGCAGTGTCGGCTCGTGTACAGTAGACACGGCCCAAAAGCTCAGAGCACGTATCCATATGATAGGTCGGGCTGTGATTGGCCAGGCCACGGCGGGATGGTTTAACTTTTCGCGGTGGAGTGGTGAGGAGTCGATGGAGCCCCACGTGGTGACGTAACTGGTTCGGCTTGCTTGTAAATTTTACAGCGGCCCAGAGCAGGCTGTCGGTCGATTCCCGACAGCCGCGGCGGCTTATCGATAGCCAAATAGCCGTTCAGCGTGCTGGACCGTTGCGCAAGAGCGTGGGCGAGACTCAACTGTCCGGGGCGAGACGTTCTGGATTGGAGTAGGAGCTTGCCGGTCCCTGGGCTAGATAGGCCGCCAGCTCCCGCAGTAGGGCTGATGGGTCTTGTTCATGTGCCGTGCCGTGGAATCTGAGGCTCCGGAAGGCGGGCCCTGCAGGCAAGCTGCGGCATCTCACGACAGGCTTATCGGGTTAGCTTTCTTGAGGCTGCATTGTAACACAGAGCATTGTGCCCAGGGGAGACTCTGCGAGTACAACTACAATAGGCAATCAACATAGTTGCAAAGGGATATAGTTGGTCTTCTACGGCCTCATTTCATTCCATTTCCAAATCCCAATGAGGAGCCTTTCCAAATAAACCAATGCGATTTTCCACCTGTGACGCTGTCCATGCCACCATCTCGCTGCTGGAGTCGGTTTTACCTGTTGTTGCTTTGCCCTGTGACTGCACGTGGGTGGCATGCATGAGCCAGGGCTGGACATAGGGTGGCAGAGGTAGGCATCATTACATATTGGGTCATCAATCTCGGTTCGGTATCACCAGCCTGTTGCATGTGCGTATGATACCCCAACATTGTGTTTTTCATTGATATCTCTCCCAACTACCCAACCACCTCCAACTCTCAGCAACATGGCTGATTTTGTCCAATGCCCCTTTTACCCGGCCCTCGGGATCCTGTTTCTTGTGCCCCTCGAACTCGACAAAGAATATGTACTGGAAAGGGTTGACGAGGCTGGGCCGGCTGTTGATGCTTGTGAGATTCAGGTTGAAAGCCTGGAAGCAGCCGAGAGCCTCGGCCAGAGCACCCGGTGACTCATGTGGTACTGTGAAGGAAACCAACGACTTGGTTCCCTTCTGACCATTTGCGTGTTTCCGAACCCCCCAGTCCGCCGTAGAAGCCGGGCTCTTGCCAATGATCAAGAACCGGGTTGTGTTATCATCTCGGTCCTCGATCCACTTGCCGAGGAGATCCAAGTTGTGGATCTGCGACGCCAATTGACTGGAGATAGCTGCCCAGGTACCGCTCTTGTCTTGGCTTACAATCTCTGCTGCTTTGCTCGTCGAGCTCACTTCGAAGATTTCGACCCCTTTCAGATAGGTTGAGATGAATGCGGTGCACTGCCCGAAGGCTTGTGGGTGAGAATACAGTCTCTGGATGTGCTTCAAGCTGGTCAAAGGTTTGGTCCTTGGCCGCGAAGGACTGGGGTCTGCAGCTGTGGGCGTCCGTGTACCAGAACCATCAAGCTGGTCCTCCAAGAGGGATCCTGCCTCCTTGTGACCGAGAAGACAGTGGTGGACGTTGACATAAACCTCTCCCTCAACTGTGATGTCAGGGTATACACCATTCCGATCAGCGAGGTTGTCCAAGGTGAAGACGACTGAGCCATTTGTAGAATTTTCAAAAGGTACCACCCCTGCGGTCACCTCGCCATTTTGAACACTTTTGAAAACATCTAGACAGGTCGGTGTTGATAAGCTGGGTGTTATTTCAGGATCATAGAGCTTCAAGGATTAAGTACCATCAATTGTGACTACAGGTTGGAAATCCCACTCCTGCTCTGAAAAGGCTAGCCGAACCGCCTCAAAGGAGCATACTCGTCAGTCACAGAAGTAGATTTCGGACTCTGAAAAGGGCAGACATACCTGGTGAGAATACGAGGCGATAGGGCCCAGGAAACTGACAGTGCGCTTGGCCATCTTCAAGATCAACCCCAGTTTACTAGGGCACACAATTCAATTGAAACGAAAGAAGATGCACAATGATTCCCTATTAGGCAGTATCACAGATGCCTAAGGCACTTCTGTTTCGTGAATTGTGGGTGGTTTTGGCCGGTTGGTTGCAAAGCGCTGCAGGCTTTCTTGCTGGGTGCGATATCGCTCACTGGATGAAGCTTGCAAAAAGCATACATGTGAATGGCCAAGCGTAATGGGGCCCTGAGACATCGCCCAATGTAGCGCACTAACATCATGCCGGCGGCGAAAGCTGCTTTCCTGATAATGCTATACATGCAAAAAGCTTGTTCTGCCTTCGACCTCCGATTTTAGCATCGTCAATGGGCAAATGCTGGTGATGCCATTTTCGGATTGCCCTGCATCGTGGAGCGATTTTCCATACTGCCAAGTCGGATGATAATCATGCTGTTATGCTACACTTGTCGATCGGAGTCTTGTATACATGCAAGAAGACCAGTGAAAACAAGGCGGAGAGGCGCCAACAGAGACGGCTGCTGCCCGAACTTGCCGATCACTTGTACACAAACACACATTTGCACGGAAATGTGAAATTACTCTGCTCATGGTTCTTTCAACTGAGGTGCAGCGTATCACACGTTCTGCGGTGTGGCTGTCATTCTACGGGGCAGATATTAGATTGAGATATGGGTAGATTGGTTAATACATCATTTAATTGTTGCATTCAACCAGATTACTATTATTCGCTATGTCATCGGGTCCTAGAAGGAAATGGAAAGACATCCAGTGACTCGACTCCACGTCTAATGTGGACGGCGGCGCTTGAACAAACGCATCCTGGGAACAATTTATTGGATAAGGAGGTCCCGCGGCTGCTCGTCGCTCCCCATTATCTCGCCACGAAACATGTAGCGCTCGCGGCGTATGTTGTCTGTCCTTGGTGAAACCGGGCCACCGCTCAGTGCCACATTCACAAATGACAGATGCTAGAGAAATGGTATTGCGGTCAATGCATACGGACTTGGCGATACATGCGGCATAAGCGGTGGTCAGGTTCCCGAACGCTACCTATCCAAGAAATGTCAACTGGCTGGGGAAGGATTGCCCGATTGACTCATGCCGGGATTCTCCTCTTAATATCGCATTGGAAAGCGAGGAACGGGCAAGGATCCTATCGTGTCGTGCAGCATCACCGTCCTGCCCAGCCTAGAGAGTAGCATCGAGGCTAGCACAGGTGACCGGCGACCTCAAGCTGCTTGTACAACCTGCATCTGGCTACGATTCGGCGACGGTGAGCGGCTAGCCCCCCTCTGTTGAAACGCCGCCTGTTTCATCTTTCTAGCTGGACTTGACGAATCACCTGGAAACTGGACCCCCAGGAAGCCAGGATAAGGTCAGCGGGGAGGGGAATCCACTTGGGAGGGTACATGTTTGCTTGGTATCGTGCGCACAGCCCAACGAGCAGGGCCCTATAATAGAGGAGGAATCAGAATTCATGCCAATGCCCTCTCGATGATTCCTTTGTTTGCCTGTTGCCGCTCGGGCGAGTAATCACTGGCTTTGCTTTAAGTCATGCTGAAACGCCATGTCTGATGATGCCAGCACATGCACGTCTAGAGCCTCACTCATACCAACTGCCCTGGCTGCCCAGCCAAGCCCAACCCAACAAAAACCCCTGGTGGGGGACTTTGTGTCAACACCTAGCGGACGGCTCTTCAGGTAGCGGTGCAATAGTCCAAAATAGGGTCAGGTCCGGCTGCGGCGCTCCTCTCAGAGGGCAAGTTTACCTCTCTCGGGAGCGGAGGTCCAGGTAGCCTGTACTTGGCTGCTGGTAGGCGGCGTGGTAGCCTGTTTCGCCGGACGCATCCGCAACCTCACACTTGCTTGGCAATGCGCCATCTGCACGAATTCCAAAGTCGCGCAAGCACTGCGTAGGAGGGACAAATGTGGCTACCCAGTCTGGCGACCGGCAGTGTTCATGACGGTGTCGTGGGTGCCATTGTGGTTCCTGCGCTCGTATTAAAACCGTGTGTTATGCTTCGTATATGAGTGGCACAGCACGCCCAGGATTTGATCACTTACAAAGCACATGCCCAGAGAAACAGGCCTTCCAATTAGATCCTCGCGGCCGGTTGGGTCTACGGCATCGCGCGTCCATCTGCCTGCCTGCATTTCCTGTTGGTCAACGTGGACGTCCCGCGTGGCGAGTTTCAGCACTTGCCCACCCGTTGAGACGGGTAGGTGGGAGGTTCTAGGGGTGTACTTGGGGTACCTGGCGCTGAGGTACCCTGCACCTGTAGCCCACTTGCTCCCCCTTTCCGTGCTGAATCACAGGCTTCATCCTTAGAAATTACAGGGGACCCTCTCCCAAGGGTCAGGGCGGCCGGTTCAAGCGCACATGTGAATTGGGTCTCTCACTGTCCTATCCCACACACAGGGATCTGTCTCATCCTCTGCTTTGTTTCGTATTTTCTGATAATCGTAGCGAGCCTCCCGCTCCCCTCCTTCCCACGTTCTCCCACATCGTCATCTTGACCGACGCTGCTGGCATTCTGTCGACAGCGAAGCTTCAGTGAGCTGTTGCAAGTCAAGTGCAGGAGAGGCCTGGTTGTTGTTTATTTTTAATACTCCCGAGGCCGTATCCAGCAGGCTGGGACGCCTTCAGACGACACATCGCAGCATCCCTACCGGTCACAAGAGCAAAGCCGGAACTACTCTCTTTAATAAATCGAAATAATTCAGCAGTGGCCTGCTCGCGAAGGCCGCCGACACAACTCCAAACATGCTCGCCTCCAAAGCATCCTTCCCGCCGGTAATCAACACCTCCAACATGCCTCCTGGTGGTGGCCCTCCCTCAGCACTCCCCACGCCACGACGACTGCCCGCGATCCAAAATGCTAGCCAGAATTTCGCCAGCCCGACCGAGTCCGAGTTCTCAGATCCCGAAGGTCCTGACTCCGTTAAGAACTGGGATGAGGACAAGGTCTGCGAATACTTGAGGAGTGTCAAGTGTGGCGAATATGAGAAACTGTTCCGGAAAAACAACATCAATGGCGAGAATCTTCTTGAGATGGACAAGGAAGTACTGAAAGAGATGGGCATTGACAAGGTTGGGGACCGAGTTCGGCTTTTCTTGGGCATCAAGAAGCTGCGAACCAAGGCATACGCGAACCAGAAGAAGAGGAATAGGGTGAGAAACCGAGCAGTTACACATCGTATCTCGTGGTGTTCAAACTAATCAGATAATACGCTCTGTATAGGATTCCTTCGGCGGCCTAGACACACATGTCACGTCTCCCGGCATGACGACCCGCCCCGCGATGTCTCGATCAGGCCCCAGCACGGCGACGATGAACAAGCGATTCTCAAGACAGATTGACTCCTCTATGAATTTCAACGACATTATGAAACAGGGCAATTCTCGGCCGTCCTCCCCTCTGCAGAGCGCGACTTTGCGCCAGCCACGACACCCTCAAGGTTCGGGTTACACACCTACTTCATCCAGGCACCAGGGCTCGTCCGGCGATGCCCAACCTGGCCATCTGGTACCGACCCATACAAGGAACAACTCCAGTATGGATGGTTCATCGCTGATGGCTGCCTTACCACAGAATCAAGATGTTATCCGAGTCATATCGACTGGAGGCGTTACCAAAGTGGTCAAGATTGCCGACTGCAACACCTGCGAAGAAGTCATGCGAGTGACGCTACGGAAGTTCGCCCTGCGAGAAGACCACGAGCGAAACTACTGCTTCTGGGTTCTTGCGGGTATCGAGCCAAACCCGCACCAATGCAGACGCCTTGGTGATACCGAGCTCTGGCGGATCATCAAGGACCAACGAAGACCAGAACGAAACCGCCTCATACTACGGAGAGTCCCCGCCGCCGAGCCTGGTGATGCCGAGCTGCAGCGCGCAGCAGCCATCGCCTTACAAGAAGAGCAGCAGAAACATTCACGGGCCCTTGAATCTGTAGACAAGCGAAGTCAGTGGAAGGTGCAGAAGGTACTAGGTGAGAAGTGGAATGAGCAGCTACAGCAGCCCCTGTCACCCCTATCATATCAAGATCGAGAACGCAATGTCAATAATGCAGCCATGGATCTGGAGCGCCCACCCTCCAGGGAGTCGCAGTATCCTGCGCGCCGAAATGCCAGCTTGCGGCAATTCGGTGGCCTGAGACCCCCAAGTGAGCTGATCGCGTCCGACTTGACATCATACTTCCCAGATCATACACGAGAGGACATTGACCGCACGGCTCGACTATCTATGAGACGTTCGACTCGCCTTAGCAAGGTCAACAGCCGTCTCAGCGTGGCCAGCAACCTTAGTTTCGCTTCCAGTGTCCAGGATGCGCCCCCCATCCCCACAATCGCTGATTCATGGCTACACGCTGGTAATCAGCTGGCCAAGGTTCGCACACGGGACTCGCAGGGTCGCTTGCCATCGATGTTTAACAGAGACTCGATCGCGTCATCCATGCTTGACACTCTTCAAGAAGAGGCATCCCTGGAGCCGGATCGTAAGTCTTATGTGTCATTTGGGGAGAGCGGATCTGATGGAAACGCCCCCATCGTCACTGATCCCGATGGCAACACGACAAGCACCAGTTTCTTTGATGGAGATTGTTCCACCAATTCTGGTTCTTTCCAGGAACTGAAGCAAGTCCTAACCGGCGATGGAGAAGATGTGGATGAGGAGCTCCAAAGCTTCCTTTCTGGAGAGTCATGGGATGACAACAAGTGGATGAAGGGTGCCCTGATTGGTCAGGGTTCTTTCGGCAGTGTCTACCTGGCTCTTCATGCTGTCACTGGAGAGCTTTTGGCTGTCAAGCAGGTTGAGGCACCAGCACCTGGTGCCAACAGCCAGAGCGATGCCCGCAAGAAGAGTATGATTGAGGCACTTAAACGTGAGATCAGCCTTCTGCGGGATCTTCGACACCCCAACATCGTGCAATACCTCGGATGTAGCTCCTCCTCCGAGCATCTCAACATTTTCCTTGAGTACGTTCCTGGTGGATCAGTGCAAACGATGCTCAACTCATACGGTGCCTTGCCAGAGCCCTTGGTGCGCAGTTTTGTTCGTCAAATCTTGACGGGTCTGTCGTATCTGCACAACCGTGACATCATCCACCGTGATATCAAGGGCGCCAACATTCTTGTTGACAACAAGGGAACAATCAAGATTTCCGACTTTGGCATCTCAAAGAAACTCGAGGCTACCAACATTTTGAACGGCGCTAATAACAATAAGCACCGTCCTTCGCTGCAGGGCTCGGTCTTTTGGATGGCGCCTGAGGTAGTCAAGCAGACTTCGTATACCCGCAAGGCAGACATTTGGTCCCTCGGCTGCCTAGTTGTGGAGATGATGACAGGAACACATCCCTTCCCAGACTGCAGCCAGCTGCAAGCCATTTTCAAAATTGGTGGGGGACGCGCTTCGCCAACAATTCCCGATAATGCAAGTGAGGAGGCTCAGCAATTCCTTGCTCAGACATTTGAAATCGACCACCAACTCCGCCCAAGTGCTGATGACCTCATGATCAGCTCTTTCCTGGCACCCATCACCTAAACAAACCATAAGAGAAGGAGATGTTTTCCTCCTTCCTCCCCATATTAAGCCAGCATATAACGGAGAGATGAGAGCATAATGAGGCAAGATTGATGATTGCAGTAGATTGAGTGGGGGGACATGATGATTGATTGATACCTTGAATCCCCCACTCATCGGGATGAAGTTATTTGTTTTTATTTTTCTACCTTCTTTGGCATTACAGTGTAGAGGCAGTTTGGTGTTAGCGAATGGCATGATGATTTGGTATGGGTGTAAATAGTAATACAGGGACGAGACATGCAATACACCAAAAGGGATCTTTGACTCATACTATCTACACCGCGACTTGCGTGAATCACACACTGAGAGGAAGCGTCGATTTTGCACACTCCTCCTGAGGACGAAAGGCAATCAATCGCTGTTTAAGGTGAGGGTACCCACTCGTTTTTTTTTCCACTTTTGACCACTGTGACAGGGGGTTAGTTGGTTGCCTTGTTTTGGTGATGCAAACCTTTTTTTCTGGGTCGCCCTCTAGCAGCTGAGCTTGCGAGCTTCTGCGAACAAGGCAGCAAAGGAAGGATGGACTATCTGCCAATTGACCCGCTTTCCGAAACCACCTGACAGTACAGAGGCGGAGTGAGGGAGTAAACACGGCTGTGGGAGGAACACGGAAAGTTACAGGCGTATTTGGGAGGCTTGGTTTTGCCTTTTCACCTTTGTAACTTGCATACAGTGAGACTCCCAAAAACAGCCCGGGGACCGCAACTCAGCGTGTGACCTTACATATGTTGGAGCTTGGCCACTAGCCTTTCTTCCTCCATACCCTCAGAGCACAGAAGATCACAAAACCACAAATACTTGAGATCAGCTGCCGGCCAATCTTGCTCGGAAGCTGCCTCCGTCTTGACCACTCCTAAATTGTTCTCCCTCATCTGGCATATACCCTGTATCTTTCTCTTCAGCCTCCAAGATGCTTGTGCACGAGGACAGCCAGCAGTCCCAGGGGAGCACCATGACGTTGATGGAAGAGAGACAAGAGATCATCTACTTTGCATACGGCTCGAACCTCTCCACTCGTCAGATGCTCAAGCGGTGCCCATCGTCTACACCTATCGGCCTGGGCCACCTCCCAGGCTGGAAATGGATCATCAACGAGCGAGGATACGCCAACATCGTCCGCGAAACACAGTCGGGTCCAAAAGCACCAGCCTCGTCTGGGGTTTTTGGTCTGTTATACCTGCTACCGCCACTGGACGAAGACTCCCTCGATAGGCACGAAGGGGTTCCCTGGGCATACCAGAAATTCAAGCTCGACATGTCCTGGGTCAAGGACGACCAGAAGAACGCGGTGGTCGGGCAGGATGTGACGGCATTGGTGTACATTGATCAGGAGAGAGTCACCGAGAGCGCTCCAAAGGAGGAGTACATTGCGAGAATGCACATCGGCATTGAGGATGCGATTGAGAACTGGGGGTTGGATGAGCAGTATGCCGAGTTCATGCGGCGGAAGCTGGTGGAGAAGAGCGAAAATTCTTTATGACTTGAGTGCTTTAGAGGACTTACCGGAGTTGGATCGATTGAGAGACGCTACTTGATGTTCTATTTAATCTTTTTTATTGTTGTATTGATTCTTTTACTCAGGTAGTGTTTTTGTCCCCTTCGTTTTTGTCCCGTATTCTAGGGGGAAAGGCGTTCTTGGGATTGATTCTCACCTCCATTAAACATTTTTACACTTTCCTTCTTTCTTTCGCATGAACCATTGGGCTGTTAGGTCGCCGGAAATTGATGCTACTGCTGTGCCTCGTTCAATGAGGGAGGGGCACAAGGCTGAAATTATTCCTTCCCTTGGCATCCCACTCTGAGATAGAAGTGGCAGGATGCTTACCCACGTAGAAGGTAGCATGAAGGTGCTTACATGGATGTAGGTGAGCATTAACGAGGCACCTTTGTCGGTAAGTGCAAGAACGGCAGAGAAGCCTAAGCGACCTTGATTCAATCCAACCCTTCTGAAAACGCCTCGTCATCAGGTTGCTCCTTCCCCCCTTACGGCAAAACATCCGGATATCGCGAGAGAAATGCCACCAGGGAATTACCTCTGTTCTCCCATCAATCAACACCAGCCTGCACCAAAGAGTGTGAAAGTGATCGCTACACGTTATCATCAAGCATTATTTCTGCCGCAGTTACATTACCGCCCACCCTTAGGCCAGTATTATTTCAGCATCCGATTTCAGCCAGCTTGGAAACGAGCAAAGAACGCAGGTGCTTTTTCTAGCATTCTTTCAGAAACAACATGGGCTTTCGAAGATCCCAGTTCTCGCCAGATGACCCACCAGCCAAAGACTCGTCACGCCCCAAGGCGAAAGGCGATGGTGATACAAATGCCCCTGCCCCTAGCCATCGGCATTCTTCCGTCCTCAATAGAGAGGGTTCCATATACAGCTTCTTCGGCGGCAACGAAGCTGCCAGGCAGGCCAATATACGCGAACAAGAGATAACTTTAAACGCCGCTTTCCGCTACTACCATCCCGCCATGCGCTGGGCGATCATCATGGCCGCGCCTATCATACTTGAAGGCTACGACACATCGCTGATGCCCAACTTTTTTTCAAACAGAGCTTTTATCGCCCATTACGGGACCACGACAGAGAAATCCCCGGGTCAAAAGGTGATTCCAGCATGGTGGCAGTCCCTGATCACCGCTGCTGCTACAATCGGTCAACTTTTGGGTCTACTTATTGCGCCAAAGATTCTCGACAGGGTTGGATACCGCGTGTCCAATCTTGAGGGTCTATTGTGGGCTGCTCTCTGCTTAGTGGTCGTATTCGCCTCATCGTTCTGCGGTGGTGAGAACGGTAAATTGATCGTCTATCTCACCGGGGAGTTCCTCATCGGTATGCCCTGGGGGCTATTTCAGTCCCTGGCTCTCCCCTACGTCTCCGACATCACGCCTTTGAAGCTGAGGGCACAGGCTGCTACCATGATCAACATCTACTGGCTCATCGGGCAGCTTCTCTGCAGCGGCATCCTGCGTGGTTTCATTGTCATAGGGAAAGACATCTGGGCCGTTCGGATTCCCATACTTCTACAATATGGCTGGATCATTCCTCTGATATAGGTTATCTGGCATGCTCCCGATAGCCCGTTGTACCTCGCTCGGCAGGAGAGATATGCAGACGCCGCAACTGTTCTGAAGTTCCTCAACCGGGATCCGTTCTTTGACGCCGAAGGATCCCTGGATGCAATTCGCCAGGTCAACGAGCATGAAAAGGCTTTCTCCCAAGACATGGGCTACATGGCATGTTTCAACAAGTCAAACCGCCGACGGACTGAGATAGCTGTGATGGTGTGTCTGACTCAACAGCTAGTTGGAACGTGTTTGATAACATACGGAGTTAAGTTGTTGGAACAATCCGGGCTCAGCGAGGCCAACTCTATGGAAATTTCTATGGTCATGTACTGCCTCTGCATTCTATCGACCCTGTTTTCCATGCTGGTGCAGCGACGATTTGGTCGGAGAACTTTGTGGCTGTGGGGTCTAGGTTTTGAGGTCGTTTGTCTGCTGGTCATTGGAATCACTGGGCACTTTGAGAAGCATCCGAAGTTTCACTGGCTGATTGCTGGCTTTTTGGTTCTCTTTGCGATCATCTACAACCTGACAATTGGGCCGCTATGTTTCACAATTGTTGCTGAAACGCCTTCGACTCGTCTCAAAACTACGACAAACTCACTCTCTCGTGCTGCGTACATTATACTCTCGATTGGGAACCAGTTCCTCGTTCCGTATCTACTTAGTCCAAGGCCAGTGGGGGTAGGCCTCGGACCGCGAGCAGCCCTTGTGTGGGCGGGAACGGCTACAGCTTGCCTGATCTGGGCCTTTTTCAGGTTGCCTGAGATGAAGGACCGTACACCGGCTGAGGTTGACATCTTGTTTGAGGACAATCTGCCAACACGACACTGGAAACATACGAAGCTGGACTAGGGAAGAGAGGGACGATGGCTTTTAAGAAAAGGCAGTTCCGTGCTATTCTCGAGCTTTCCAAACTCACAACAGGTGTTGGAAGTACGTTATAGAACAGCACGTTCCAAATATTTGGTATTGGGAAGGGGCGAGTGGTGCGAGAAAGGGAGCTCATCCTTTGGGCATTGCTGTGTGTGGGAGATTGCGGCCTTCATGCCCTTGAGTGCTGCATTAAGATTCATTTACACAAGACTGTTTGTGGCTACATACTGTTATCGTGGGGTATCGGTTTCGGTGGCACTACAATCAACTGTTTATTCATTCACTCATTCATACCCATGAAAAGTTTGTTGCCACTTGGTGTTTTGCTTAATTGGCTACGTGATTGATGTAGCATTGTCTGCAGTGGTGGGATATTCCTAGAAAGGCGCGCGACCGCCTGGTGGAATTCGGCTTAATCCTTGACACAGCGCTGGGGCTCATATTGAGTGGCGAGGAAATTCTATACCCCTCGCAGAACAACGCAGCTGACCAGCAGGTGTGTCCGCTTAATGTACATCTCGTTCCTGATCAAGACCTTCCCCGCGCGGAGCCGATGCCGCTCAGGCCACCATTACGGGAAAAAGTCAAAAGCAACCTCACACCATGAATACCAAGGCAGCATAGTTTGCATTATATCACACACTCTCATTTCACATTTCATTCGTTGCGTGTGATCCAACCTCCAGTCCCCAATTGGCGACCAATTGAGAGACCCAGCGCACCAAACTCCTGGCTCGTGGCACACTGAATAACAAACCGGGAGATAAAGAACAGAAGAAGACGATATCATCTGATTCACTCTCGCATTTTAGTGAGACAGAATGGATCGATTCAACCTAGTTCCAGGTCCAACCCAGGAAGGTAAGTAAAGTGAAACTAGACTGAAAGGCCAAGAGAAAGAAATCAAGGGCATAAAGAAAATTACGAGAACTATAAGTCTGTCTACTGTCCCAAGAGGGAGTTTCTTTCCGGTTTACAGAGAGTCGTTCGCCCACGTGGTGTTGCGTGATCAAGATGAGCAGCTTCCTGACTTACACCGCTATAGTGCTTGTCGCCTCGCCGGGTTTGGCGGTCGGCGTTTCGGGCGGCATCGGACGCCTGCCGGCCATGGGTTGGAATTCGTGGAATGAGTACGCGTGCGATATCAGCGAGGGGGTGTTTCTGGAGACGGGCGAGCTGATGGTCTCGCTGGGGCTGAGGGATCTGGGGTATGAGTATGTTAATATCGATGATTGCTGGAGCGACAAGGAGAAGAAGCGGGACGAGGAGACGAAGCGGATCGTGGTGGATTCGGAGAAGTTTCCGAGGGGGATCTCATATGTTGCCGATGAGATTCATAAGCTGGGGCTTAAGGTGGGAATCTACAGCGATGCGGGTGAGAAGAGTGCTCTGCCATGTTTATCACCACGAGCTATGGGATTAATTCAGCTAACATGCGACCGTCTTAGGAACTCTGACTTGCGGAGGATATGAAGGGTCTCTTGGGTACGAAGATATTGACGCTGCTACGTGGGCAGAATGGGGCATTGACTGTATGTTACTTCACTTGTCGGAAGGCGTCTGTCGCAAGACTAACAGAATATCCAGATCTCAAATATGACAACTGCAATGTTCCGCCTGAATGGGCAGATCAGTATCCTTACAACCCAGCCCTGACGAGCAATCCGGTGCCACCACGGGGATACGACTATGCCAGGTCCAACACAAGCGTGCGGTTCAGCAGAATGCGCGATGCCTTGCAACAGCAGAGCCGGCCTATCCAGTACTCTCTATGCGCTTGGGGCCACGCTCATGTCGAGCGCTGGGGCCATGAGACTGGCCACAGCTGGCGGATGTGGGGAGATATTCTTCCTCAATGGGCTGGCAGGGTTGGTTTTTCATGGGGCATCATGCCCATCGTCAACCAGGCGGCGAGGCACTGGGAGGACTCGAGTTTCTGGAGCCACAACGACTGGGACATGCTGGAGGTGGGCAACGGGGACCTGACGTTTGAGGAGAACCGGAGCCACTTCGCGCTCTGGGCGGCGCTGAAGAGCCCGCTCATCATCGGGACGCCGCTCAAGGGCATCGACGGGAAGGTGCTGGGAATCCTCAGCAACAAGGAGCTCATTGACTTCAGCCAAGACACGCACTACTCAGACTCGGCGCGGCCGTTCGGCTTGGAGGGGCCGGTGCCGCCTACGGTGGACGACACGGCCCATCCGCCCAGCCACTGGGTGGGCATCTCGGTCAAGGGCATCCATGTCTTCTTGTTGAACACGGATGCGGAGGAGGCCGTCCTGGCGGTTGAGTTTGACAAGACGCCCGGACTCAACAAGCAGCGGGTCTACCTGGTGCACGATATGTGGACAGGGGAGGACCTGGGAGTCTTTCTGGACGGCTTTGCTCTAAGCGTCAAGGCTCATGATACTGCTGCGTTGCGGTTTACAACCCCCCAAGGTGAGAAGAATGGTCCATATCGTTGAGGTGATCTTGCTGACTTTTGCTACTGCAGGGAATCATCCAGATGCGAACTGGGCACCGAGGAAACCTGAGCGGTCTGAGGGTGGTGATTAGGTGAGCGTGGTTGTTATAGGTTCTTGCTGGCCAAGGTAGGGATTGGTTGATAGGGGCTAACAAGTGGCGTCTGCAAGGCACCAACACGCAGGCACCTTCAGACGCTAGGATATGTATATTGGATTGATAGCTAAACATGTGTCGGGGAATTAAGGGATCGACTATTTCATTAGGCACCAGCACGTCTCCTGCACGATGAGATATTAGCAACCCAACTTCTCTCCGGGTTTCTATTGATCCCTAGGTGTAGGTTAGGCAGTAAAATTATGCCACTGACCAGACCAGGGCCAACTCTGTTTTTAGTGTTGACCCGATGTCCCCCTGAAAGACTGGGCTGGTGGCTAGGCAGGCGGTATTAAGGACCTGAGGAGGTGTGTGATCCGACGCTGGGGCAAGGTAGCCGGTACTTTGTGGTCGTTATAGCGGGAATGTTAATGGCTCCGAGCATCGCCTCCAGGAGGCACCACCGTTTCCACTTGTTGCTCTTCGACTCCTTCGGACAATCGTTTCAAAACGAGTCCGATTTCAATTCGCCAAAAGCGTCCAATGCACAGCGTCCCGCCTGCCCTTTGCTCCGTTGCATCTGGGTTTCGAATCTCAGCAATGTCTTGAACTGCCCGCCCACTGTACAGCATTAGAATTTGCCAACCCCCCTGTAGATCTGGGACACACAGCTTCTTGGCCCACAACGGACCGCCTACGTCAGCCGGACAACGCCCTTCAAACCACCACCAACCTGGTCGCATCTCGACGTCTCCCATCCATTGGCGCAACCTCGAGTCGCCCGAACCATGGCTTCGTTCGGCCAGCAGGCGGCTCCTCGAGGGCCGTCACGACACCCTCCCCATGGCGGGTATGCCCCCCCTCAGATGGCCTCTGCCGCTGCTGGTGCGCCCGCGGGCACCTTCGCCTCCGGGACCAAGATCCAGGTCGGCGGCCACCGAGTAGTCATACAGAAATACCTCTCAGAGGGCGGCTTCGCGCACGTGTACCTCGTCAAGATGCCACAGCCCGTCGACGGCACCGACCTTGCCGTCCTCAAGCGAGTCGCCGTGCCCGATAAGGAGGCCCTGCGGGGCATGCGCACCGAGGTCGAGACGATGAAGAGGCTAAAGGGCCACCGCATGATCGTCACGTACATCGACTCGCACGCCTCCGAGCTCAAGGGGGGCGGCTACGAGGTGTTCCTCCTCATGGAGTACTGCAGCGGTGGAGGCCTGATCGACTTCATGAACACCCGCCTCCAGCACCGCCTGACCGAGCCCGAGATCCTCAACATCTTCTGCGATATCGCCGAGGGGGTCGCCTGCATGCACTACCTGAAGCCCCCTCTGCTGCACCGGGACCTGAAGATCGAGAACGTCCTCATCACCAGCAAGGGGTCGGCTAAGCGTTTCAAGCTGTGTGATTTCGGGTCCGCCTCACCGCCCAAGCCAGCTCCAACGACTGTGGCCGAGTGTCGATTGATGGACGAGGATGTGCAGAAGCATACCACCCTCCAGTATCGAAGTCCTGAGATGGTTGATGTCTACCGGAAGCAGCCCATGGATGAGAAGTCTGACATATGGGCGCTCGGTGTCTTCCTTTATAAGCTTTGCTACTATACCACGCCCTTTGAGGACCAGGGGCAATTAGCCATCCTGAACGCCAGTTATAGATTCCCGAGTTCCCCTCCATTTTCTGATAGATTGAAGAGACTTATCGGTACGAGGACTCGACCATTGCCTATTTGCGATCTTGGCTAATAACTTACCTTGGTAGCGTCGATGTTGAGAGAACAAATGCAGTCACGACCGAATATATACCAGATCCTGAAGGAGGCATGTGAGATGCAGGGCCGCAAAGTACCTATTCAAGATGTTCGTACCTCTTTGGCCTTGTACGTTGGGAAGAGATTGATTGCTGACTCTTGGAAAGATTTACTCAGGGCGATCCCATTCCGAAACCCGAAACCTGGAGAAGCCTTTACCGAAAGAACCAACGTCGTCAGGATCACCTGCTGTTGGTGCTGTTTGGTCGCCACCGGTCGAAGAAAAACCAAAACTGCCCGATATTACTCCCATGAGAAGAGGACGGCCTACTGCATCCCCTGCTCCAGGGCCAAAGTCAAACGCTCCCCGTGTTGGTGGAGGTGATCCTTTTGCTGCTCTGGATTCGACGGCAGCTGCACCAGCTGCACCAGCTGGCACGTCCTCGCCTGATAATTTCTCGTCAAGGTTCCCTTCCCTCGACCAGTTTTCTTTACTTCATGATCAGGGATCCAAATTTGATTTCGGTGACGACCCCAACTCTCCTCAAACGCAGGCACCTGCTGTGGGAGAAGCGAGCAACAAGATCACGGATCGCTTGGCAGATGAGGCGTTTGCATCCAATAGACCTAGTCCTCCAACACCCAAGGTCATTTCCAGGCCTGCTTCTGCTAGTCCGGCCCAACTCAACCCCAGACCTACTCCGCAACAGCTGGAGTCGGCGAAACCAAGAGTCCCCATCCAACCCAAGCCTGAGATAAGTCGGGCTCAGTCCATTATTAGCAGCAACCCGGAGTTACAAGCGATATCTACCAATTCATCTGCCAAGTATGTGTCCACCGGCACCTCCACTGATGACCTGCCTTTTGATCCTCAGGCCAGGCTTCCATACAGATCAACACCGATTCAGACTGAGCAGTCTCGCCGCTCATTGAGTCGTTCTAGGCAACCTGATCTGGCAGCTGAGCAAGGCCACCCTGGTGATGTTCGTACGAGTTCGAACTCTCGATTGACATCCAACTTTTCCTCACATATTCGACATCCTTCACAGTCTCGGCAGGTGCTGGAAAGTAGCCAACCTCCCCCGGATATTGAGGTGGCCCCGCGGAAGAACAGTCTCCATGTTAGCCGCTCTCGTCCACAGAGTGTGAATTATGAATCCAGTACCACCATTGACTATCTACGCGAGAGAGAGTCTATACCTCGCTCTCAAAACCGCCTGGCGCAGCCTTCCCCTAGAGGCTCGCCAAGGATTCCATCTCCAAACTTGATTTCCACGGAAGATGAGCCGAGAGCCGAGAAAAACGACCTGGACTTTCTCAGGAGCATGGAAGATTCCGAAACCAAGACCTCAAACAAGCGTTCCAGCCTGTCATCACTCTCTGGATCCAAGCAGATGATTGCAAGCCGGTTCGGCGAGGCCTTCAAACGGTTCGAAACGACCCCAACACCTCCTCCTCCTGCTGGAAGGCGCGACCTGACACCGATTGCTGGATCTGAGGCTACGGATGGTCGAAGTGATGATGGGAAGTTTGACGACGATTACGAATCGATGACTCCGGAAGCGCGGCGGGAAATGGAGAGACGAAAACTTGAGGAGGAGGAGCAGAGGGTCGAAGCTGCGCAGGCTGAGTACCGTAGACGCGTAGCGGATGGTGGCTCTGCGCCGGAGTCTGCAGCACTTCCCAGAAGCATCGGAGGAGTCCCACGTGCGAAGAGCATCCAAAACCGAGTGCAGAATCTTCTCAACGAAGACCAGCGCACATCCACCACCGTGCAGAAGACTGCGGAAGGCTATGGCAAGTACTCGGACGCGGCTACTGCAGCGAGCAAGGTCGAGAGGCAGCCCCCCGAGATCCCGCGGAAGCCCGTGGTGCCCTCCAAACCTACAGGAAGAGGCCCAGCCTCCCCGGTTATTCCCACGATGCCAAAACCACAATTGAAGCCAGTGGCTCCCAAGAAGCCGGGCCACTTGAATAGTATTCCAACTGGAAATCGGCCTCCTTCCCCTCCAAAGAGGAGTCAAACGGCGGCTTCAGAACAGCTTATTGCCTTTGACCTGCCTGGCCAGCCAGCGCTCGAGATGTCAGGTGACGACAAGGACAATTATATTCGAGACTTCTCCCAGAGATTTCCCAGCGTCAGTGCCATGGAGGGTGCTGGGCCTAGACAGTGAGAGGCGTAGAGGAACAACCTAGATGAGGGACATGGTAACATCATATAGACGCAAATCGAGCAAGCTTTGCCCATGGAATTGGAATATGTACTTAGACATAGTCAGTGGTTTATCAGCCGTGCATTTTCAGGCCCATGGCCGCCTAGCTTACGTTCAAATGCATTGTGCCCGATCTGATCTGTTTTGCTCTTCAGATGCCATAGATGGACAGAGTTGGCAAGCAGGTATATACATCTGAGAAAAGGATATACTACCACCCATTGGTTATAGAAATTATACAATTCACTTTATTACAAAAGCAGGAACTTTTATTTCATTTTACGAGATTCCGATACCTCGATGGCAAGACCTTCGAACTTAAGGTAGATCCTGGTCATCCTGAGGCATGCATGGTGGCGGGGCCTGTGCATATAACGGGTTATCTTATCAGCTCCATCGATAACTATTTTTTTTACCAGCAGGCTTCATACCATCTGAAGCAACCGACCTACCTGGGAAAAGAAAAAACATATACAGCCACCCCAACACAGCAATTGAGATGGCAAAACGCAAGAGACAGAACCCTCCCAAGGTTGAGGCCCCCTCGGAGGCCCCGGCGACGAATAAGAAGCAGAAACCTGAGACTATAGCACCTACGAAGACTGCCGAACCAACGCCGACCTCTTCAGCACCCTCAGCAACGGAAACCCTCCAAATAGTGGTGGGATCGTACGACCGAGTCCTGCACGGCCTGACGGCGACCGTCGGGGCGAAGAATACGGAAAAGAAGAAGAATAATAAGAAACTGGAGTACGTCGCCGACTTCGCCGATACCTTCCTGCTCACGGCGCACACCTCGCCGATCCGCTGCGTGGCCGTGTCCCCCGCCTCGGCCCCCGCGCCGGGTCAGATGCAGAAGGTGTTCCTGGCGTCGGGAAGCGCGGACGAGAAGATCAACCTCTACGAGCTGTCGGCGCACCCGCCCAAGAAGGAGGGCGAGGACCTGCTGGCGACGATCGCGCCCCGGCCCATCCTCGAGAACCCGCGGAACAAGGAGCTGGGCGCGCTGCTGCACCACACGTCGACGGTCACGGCGCTGCGGTTCCCCACGCGGTCGAAGCTGCTCTCGGCGAGCGACGACTCGACGATCGCGGTGACGCGGACGAGGGACTGGTCGCTGCTGAGCTCGATCAAGGCGCCCAAGCCGAACGTGTTCGGGCGGCCGAGCGGTGACACTGCCGTCTTTGGGGGCGCGCCGTCTGGCGTGAACGACTTTGCCATCCACCCGAGTATGAAGCTGATGATCAGTGTCAGCAAGGGGGAGCGCAGCATGAGGCTCTGGAATCTCATGACGGGGAAGAAGGCCGGTGTGCTCAACTTTGAGCGCAGCCTGCTGCAAGAGGTTGGAGAAGGCAGACACTCGACTGGGGAGGGATTGAAGGTCACGTGGGGGAGTGTGGACGGCGCGGACGAGTTCGCGGTTGGGTTCAGCCGCGACATCGTCGTGTTTGGCATGGACAGCACGCCCAAGTGCAGGGTGATGCCGGACGCGAAGACCAAGATTCACAAGTTCGAGTACCTGACTCTGGATGACGAGGAGGAGACGACGACCGTGATTGCGGTCGCGACAGAGGATGGCCGGATCGCCTTCTTCTCCACTGCCGCCGCACACATTACTAAACCGACGGACGACAAGGCCGAGCTAAGCGCCGCCCGTCTGATTGGGCACGTCGGAGGCAAGGACGACAAGGTGTCCGGGCGCATCAAGGAGTTCTCCCTCGTGAGGAGCGAGACCGACGCGGATCTCCTCTACATCATTGGCGGCAGCAGCGACGGGGTGGTCAGGCTGTGGACGGCGAGCCGCGCAGAGCTCAAGAGGGCGACCGAGAAGCCGGCGCTCTCGGGCCCAATTGGCAAGCTGGTGGCGTTGTATGAAACCCAGAACCGCATTACCTGCATGGCGGCCTACTTAATGATACCCTTGCCCGAAGGAGCTGAGGAGAGTGAGTACGAGGTGGATGACTCCGAGGACTCGGAGGCGGATTCAGAGGACGATGGAGAAAGTACATAATTGGCTCAAAAACATGTTAGGCCTTACCACCGGCGTTCATTTGCCACTGTCAATTGATTGAATTCCAAGGGCAAAGAGTAAATGACTGATCCAAGAGCCAAAGTAAATGATTTCACGTCGGACAGGCCGTGGTATGTGGACGTTGGTATGCAGGTGGAGGAATGGAGGCTGATTATTAGGCTGGTCGAGTGGGCGGTGCATGAAGGGGTCTCGACTTGGATATTGACTTTGGTCAATACCAGCGAGGAGCACAATGAGAGCAACATCGAGATGGACACCTGGGCAGTTTCATTATTTACCCGCCACGGAAGCTATTATTGCTCCTGCGGAATACTACGTACATGGATTTTGCATATTTTCTCGTACCCCAGATTCGGCGCGTAGCCTCCTGGCGTGCCACCTTCTATGTGTGTCACCCACCCTGTGTGCTGGACAAGTGCCAGCGACCCCTCGTTCACATGAAGAGCGTGACCACTTGCTGGGTGGACCAAGTGGCTAGGCCTGCCGATCGTCCCGTTCTAGCCCTGAAATTCTGGGGTAAGCTTTGGAACGGTTTTGGTTTTCCTGGTAAGTTTTCGGGCGCTTACGCGCGCTCCGGAAAAGAGGGTATGAAAGCTTGCACTTACATCTGCGTGGGAAACACCTAGCTTTTTGGAGGGACGCTACCAAGATGGATCGGGGATCTGTTCGGCAGCGGGGTTGGACGTGGTGTTGAAGCCCGCCCGGGTGAATGCATGTCCCCGACGCAGGGAAGGGCATGGAGCTCGCTTTCTCGATCTGCGGGCTCGGGTTCAGGCAAAGTTCAGTGCCCAGCCCCCGAACTCCATTTTAGTTGTCTAGCAACAGCGAACCCGAGTGTGGGGTAATGGCTAAGCCCGCGCACCAAGCGAGGGAAAAATGACAAAAGAGGAGCTGCCATACCATCATCGTGTAGCATCTGGGTCGGGGTAGCAGGGCAGGGGTGCCCTTGCTGCCATTGCTCACATGCATCTGGTTCAGAGGCAACGGAAAGGGTGACTCTGGACCATAGCTGGCTCGGGGTTTAGACTTTGGCCCAGGCGTCTGTTGTGTTCGGAACGGGCGGACGGTGATGGCCGTGAGCCTTTCGAGCGCCGGTGGTGGTGCGGCTGCTGTCAAATCCGATGGCCGGGCTTGTCGTATGGGCTGGCCACAAATCGTATCAGATTAGCAGGAAGGGGCAGTGATTTGCGACGCAAAGCAGACCACTCGGGCGCAGAGTAGGGAGATCCGAATCGCGGCCCTAGTCGGTTGCAATCTGCAGCAGCCCATATTCGGAAAAAAGAATTTCAAGGGGATGGGATCTGTTGATGCCTCGTGTCTCTAAGAGATGAATACCTACATTAGGTACCGTAGGTTGGGTCACATCAACAGCAGCGATGCCTGAGGGCTGCTTACAGGTACTGGACCTAGTGAAGCCACAATGTCACCGCACCAGTGGACTCGCTGAACGGCTGGCGCTAGGGGCCAGCCAATAGGGCCAGCGTTATTTCTCCTTGGGACACCACTAGCGATGCTCCACGATGTACATGCAGATTGCCTGATGTACAACTTCTGCAATTGAGCGTGACCTCTGCAGATATCGCCTGTGCACATCGCTTGTGCATGCTGCTTAAAGGGGACCCCTGTGCTCTCGCCTGCCATGCCCACGTAGCACTAGCTGCCGACCTACCCTCCCAGGATGGTATTACTCACAGCTTGTCGCAGACTAGGTTGCGACGGGACGGGGTTGCTAATTAAGTGTTCTAGCCAGTTCAGCTGATTTGGGAGCATGTGATGGAACTGAGCTACCGTCGACTCATGCTGGTACCTCGCTAGAGGTACTACCGATGCTCGTAGTGGCCGCAGCTCAGCAATGGACTAGACCCCGTCCACTTTACTGTCTGGGGCTTAATTAATAATAGGCCGGTCCTCGCAGGTTCGTGTTTTTCGTCTCTCGCTCGGAACTGTTGGGTATATCTTCAAGCATCCGCCTCCTGCGCCGTTTCCCGAATCCCCCAACCGAACAATTGTGCCCAATCGTACTCGGAAGTCATCTCACAGAGCTCCCCAGGAAGAACCCTTGTCTGGGCTGAGCTGACCAGGGACCGGACTTCTATTTCTGCTAGCGTTGCCGCCACGACAGCCGTGTCTTAGAGTCGAGCTTCTTGCGACCCGGTTGGAAGTTGATTGACTCAGACCTGATTCTGAAAGTCCCATACTTAATTCATCCATCCCCCAGCTTTGCGGTGTCCATTGACCAAAGCCAGACTCTCGCGGGAACAAGGTACGACAGCATCTATACTTTGCCCTGCCGCCCCTCCCGAACTTGGAACTGACATGTGAAAAGGACTGTTTCCGCTTTTTCTACGATACACTTACCTGCCCACCTCCGCATTCCAGCAGATTCCACTCCTTTGGAAGTTTGACTGTCAATCTACGATGTCAGAAGACGGACCACCTCTCTTTCGGCCTATCCCACGGCGGCCTTTCCCGGTCAACATCAACCTCACGACCGCAACACCACCAGAGGACGACGAGGATGACAGCACTGGGCTTCCCCCATCCAAGTCGAACCTCGACCTTTTCAGATCTCGTTTCCTCAATGTAGGGTACAAAACACCTACAGAAGCCGGCTCCTCCATCAGCCGCCCTCCGTCCTACATGAATCTCACATCCTCGACCCTCTATGGCATTTACTCGCCCACCACCACTTCTCGCGCTTTCCATGACAGGGACGAGGATGATACTCCCTGGGGTACAGGGGCGCAGACCCCGATCAGAAGACCCACCCTCGATGATGTGACGTACGAGCTCATGAAGGAGAGATCGCATCTTGGCCGAAGACCATCCGTCTACCGAACAGTTGATACTACGATCCCCCACGCCGCGACCCCGGCCTCGGCGTCGCATGCACCGATTTCAACGACGAGGCGTGCTGCCTTGCTTCTCGCCCTCGGCGTTGGATACGGCATGGTCTTGACTCGATTGCAGGACAACAGCCAGTGGCCCAGCCTCCCCGCAGGCATGATCCAGCCCAGACAGGACATGTACTATCTTGCTTTCTGGGGCATTTCTGGTGTCGTCCTCGGATCCCTCCTCCCTTGGATCGACAATGTGTGGGAAAGCACTTTTGGCCGTGAGGTGGAAGATGATGCGAGCACTGTGGATGCTGCCTCTTCAGCAGAGCTCGATGCTTCGACGGACTGGACCCTGGTGATGCGCGCGATTGGAGCCTTTGTTGGTATTGTTTTCGCTATTGTGAGTCCCTCAGCTCTAGATATCCCCTTACCTTTTCAGACTAAGCGGGAACTAACAATCATACTTCTAGCGCAAATTGACTTGGACTTCAAGTCTTCAGGCGTCTCTCGCTCTCGCCCTCGTCAATCCGCTTCTGTGGTGGATCATTGATCGCTCAAAGGCCGGCTTCATGCTCTCCACGTTCGTTGCTGTGCTGGGCTCGGCTGTATTCTTGGGCGTCAACCCAGACATGATGCCCGCCCCCTCGGGACTTTTCCACCCCGGTGCGGGTGCAAGCGCAGGAAACAGCAGCTACGCCATCGATTCCGAACTCTACTCAGCTCTCAGCGGGATTGCCAGCCAAGAAACCGTCGAGGCCGGCGTCTGGATGCTGAGCGTACTGTTCTGCAGTAGCATCTGCTTCGGCAACATTGGCCGCCGCCTCGTGTCCGAGAAGACCGGTGTTGGCAAGGGCCGATGGGCCGGTACGCAATAAGGGCAAGGACGTTTCCTGTACACTCTCCACCTAGTTGGGTGGGATTTTTATTTTTATTTTTATGTAAGGTATACACATATTCAGGGCTTTGTGGACTGGCGCGACATATCGTCAGATGTAACATGCGGATTTCAACAACCGGGGGGAAATTGATCGGAGTTTTGATGGTGCCACGATAGGCAAGGCTACGAGCCAGGGGGCCGGCCTTTGATTTGGTTTTGTATTTTGGACTTAGGATTTTAGTTTCACATGACTTGATGAAATGGTAGCCCGCGCGAACAAGCGCTGCACCCAGTATAGGGAGAACCCTTCGGGAAATTTGGTATATTGATTTTTCATCAGACCCCGTGAGCTTGTTTGTTTTCGATTACACTTGGGTGCTATCGACTGGCCGTGAGTGCTGTGTTCCTGCCAGCTCCTTGCCTTTTACTCTGGGATAGATAGTATGGCGTCCTGTAGCTCCTGGGATTTGGTCTTGACGCTGTCCCCGAATTCGATGTTCGGTTGGCCCATGATGGCCATCATGGAGGGCGTGGTGACGATCTTGTTGATTGTGAGCGTCCGGGTGAGGACGTCGGTGAACGACATCTGGGCCCTCTCCTCATTGTCCGTGGCTAGAAGAAAGAGTAAACGAGGATCTGGTTAGAATTTTTTTTTTATATAATCCCATATTGACCAATTGAGAGAATACTAAATCTGTATCTAACGGGGCAAACCAGGACTACCGACTTACCGTCTTCGTGAGGCGGGATCTGATCCGGGTGCTTCAGCGGCCTGCCCGTCCGGATGTTTTCCAGCTCCGTCATGATGTAGTGGCTTCGCTTGACAAAGTCCCAGAGCTGGAGGAGGGCTGGGTGCGGGTTCGGAGGGGTCCATTGCGGATGCTGCTCCAGGGCGGAGGCGAGCGAGTCGAGCCGGGCGGTGATATCGGCACGGGAGGACTCGTCTGGGACTGGTACCATCGTTGCTGGTTGGTTGGCTGTGCAAAAATTGAATCTTTAATCTCCTAGAGTTGACGAGGAATTTGGGTTTGGCCTGGAGTTTGAGAGGAGGCCGAGTTTGCGAATCTACTGAGACTAATGGATCTAGGACGGAAAGAGAGCTTCCAAACAACCAAGCCGAGCTGAGGTTTCAGGATCGATGCGGATGATCTTCAATTCTTGATCCCCCCTCCTTTGGGCTTTTATCCAAGCGGCCCCTGGACATGGCCGTTACGTACGCGGTTTGGGACACTAGAAGCGATGGGATGGAGATCAATGGCTCATTTGGCGCCTGATCTGTTGGTGGTTTGGTGGCAGCTGAGTGCTGAACAAACGCTCTGAGGCTGGCGGTTACAGGGGGAGAGACGGGTAGGTAGGTACAGGCAGTGGAGGCACGCGCTATATACTAGAACCCACAGCAAGTCTAGCTGTCAGTCGGCTTGTTTTCTCATTCATCTCTTAAACCATGATGCCCATTTCGTGAGGCCAGCGTGAAGACCTCGTGCAATCTCAGTCACGTCTGTTTGGTATCACACGGACCATGCAGCCCCGGACGGGTGCAGACTGCTTGCCCTGTCTTGGCAGAAACCTTGTGTGACGTAGGCGGGCGGCCGATTGATGAGAATGGCGATATTGTCGGCACACTTGGCGGCTCACCACAGCCAAGCAGCCACCCATGGACGCGGGCGCCTATTTATGCACATTATCTCACGGATTAATGTTCAAAGCGCTTGATTATTTGCCTTTGGATACTACACCGAGGCGTTGGCTGGCCACTCGCCGGGTACGCTCTGCTCTTGATCTGCGCGTTCCGCTGCTGCACGGAGTGGCGACCACGGGCGTGAGATCAGCATCCAACCAGAGGCCCAGCAACCACCGCAAGTCCCCTGTTTTGCATCGCAGCCTCATGCTACCAAGTCAACGCGTGAACTGTGAGTCGCCGGTCTGTGGCAAAACATACCCTTCAGCCAGGGGGCTGTCAGCGTTTCAGATGTGCTTCGGATTGCCACCACACCAACGTCTGATTGACGTGAGTAGGAGCGAGTATATAACCAAGTCTGCTCCTCGCTGGGTTAGGCTGCCTTGGAGTCCCAAGATATTCTTCACTCAAACATAATTGCTTTCCATTCAAACCTGGTGTTGATCATCAGTAGCTGATTACGATATCGCTTAATACTTCTCCCATATTCTTTTACTTACACAGAATTGCTGGGCAATTTCGACTCTATTGTTTAATCTGTACCACTTCCCCCAACTGACTGACCTTGACTTCTACTCTCCATTCTAGCCAGTCTCACGAAGGTCAATCAACTCATTTCATCATGTGGTCATTCAAGAAACTCATGGGCTTCAACACCGAGAAGGGCATTTCCCTCCCCGTGGAGCAAACCAACCAGGGAAGCGCTGCGAAGCAATCCCACAACAGCGGCGACTGCATCCAGGGCCGAAGCGTCATCACGGCCGCTCCCTGCGAGGACGACGAGGCCTCACACTACTCCGTCGCCCAAATGTTCGCGAGACGCGACGGGTACTCCAGGATCCCCCTGGGAGACGACGACGCAGAGGACGAGGACCAGAACATCAAGGCCAGAGATGTGCCACGAGATATCACCCCCGCCTTCAACCCGTTCCCCTTTTTGGGCGGCAACAGGAACCAGATGGAGGGCTACGCGTCTGTGCCCCAGGTCTATGACGACCAGGCTGGAGATGCCGTCAAGGCCAGGGCCGGCGATGCTCCTTACGGCATGGTCGATGAGGAGAGCGACAGCGATGACGACCGGTCCTCGCAGGGTGACCACACCCAGGACAACCGAGAAATCGGCAGCACCTGGGGGGAGAGCACCACTTATTCCTACTCTCGCTAAGCTCGAGTAGCTTTAATGGCCACCGGAAGATACGGGCATGACTACACTATTTTTGCAACCTCCCCCTTTCCTTTGTTTTTAGAGGACGACGTAGGAGGAGAAATGTAATCTATACCCAACACCAGGGCGTTTGGATGGATAGGTTGTACACTTGCATGCCTATAAAAATTAGGTGGAGAGCCTGGAGCTTTGATATGAGGAAACGGATTTATGAATACAAACCGCTTGAGAGTAGATCTCTTTATACATTATGTTCGTTTCGTTTCGTGCATGTATTGAAGTTATTTAGTGAAATAGGTAACTTTTCTTTGAATTTGCGAGGAGCATGGGAACTGGCGCTATCCTCCACTCAAACAACTGTTGTAACAAGTCAATGCCTGCAAAAGCAGTCTTAAAGGCAAGCGAGTCTATGTAGGGGAGTCAGCGTGGATAGGATCTAACTCACCTGCTCGAGGCTGCATCTGTTGGTCGTATTCACCATCCGCGGCAGATAGGAGCTAACTCATCTGCTCGAGGCAGCCCAAGGCTACGGCTGTTGATTACATTCACGAGGGCCAGGGTGGATGGGATCAGACCTGCTCAAGGCCGCCTGAGGCTGTAACTGTTGATAGGTACATAGCAATAGAAGTCCCTACCTCAATATCACGACGCCACTTAGACCAATAGCCAGTCTTTATTTAAAAACTAACCAATTGCCAGTCAGTGTCTCAAATCATATGATGCTTTGACATCCCATTATAGAAACGAATCTAGAAGCTGCGCTCCAGCTACTGCCTTCACACATCATCAAGCGAAGCTTGATCAAATCATGTGCTCATGGATGCGAGAGTGAGTTGAAAAGAGAATCCATTGTTTGCGCAGCGTAAGTGCGATAGGATAGATTAGATAAGATAAGCTAACGGCAAACTATTTCCCACTAAAAGGACGAACCACATCCCGAAGTAGGACTTCACTAAGCGGCTAAACGGATTTGCTTGAGGGGTCGAGATGGTTCCAAGAGCTGAATAATTACTTTTGGCTAGCTTCAGCCGTGTTGGTATGTGTTGTGCGGCTGTCACCGTGGTTTTAGTCGATTTCATTGATCCGTTGGGGAGCAGCTAGTTCGGGAGGGGCCTATAATAAGCCACCCCCGTTCCTCGTACCTCATCAAGAGTTAGGAATGCAGGTGTAGCGCCGATGGCACCGGCTATGTCTCCTCCCCAGATCGATGGCCAGCACCAGAGATCACAGTTTTTCCCGTTGAATCCGCTCGCTTAGCACATTACACGCAGCCAAGGACCCGGATACCTCGTCCAGCTAGTAAATTTCACCCATCCGGAAGACACAGAATCCGAGACTAGACCGCCCTGCCCCCCCGTCCAGTTTGCCCTTTCTCTGGTGCAGAAGTGAGAAAGGCGCCGTGCAGGTGCCACACGGGAACGAGTTGATGATGCCATCACCAGCACAACCACCCACATCTCCTGCCCATCCTTGCCTCGTGCTGTCCTTCCTCACCCGTTCTCGAGCGTGCTGGTTCAACAAAGAATCAATTCTATGACTTCATTGGGCGCCTCCGGCTTTTGGGTTTCCCCTGCGCCTTATCGCAGCTGCCAAATTCCCAGGCTGGGCTACAAGCAAGGTACCGCGGCCGCCAGCACCATTTCGATGACGTGCGCTGTAGTTCCAAAGTACAGGACCCCCAGGCGGCTCTCCACTTAATCCACTGCCACTACCGACCAGGTCGAAAACCTCTGACGCCTACACTTTTCCCTCAAAGCTCCGCCATTGCTCTTAACGAGGCCCATGACATTCTCTCCACGCTGCTGCGGCGCGCCCTGAGTCCCCTCTTGTCCGCCGGATCGGTCTCGCATCCAGCTAGCATCCAATTGCCCAAGAGATCCAGCCCGTCCATGACTCTGGATTGGTAAGATCTCCTGGTGTATGACGATCTTATCCTATCCTTCCCTTCATCCCCCTCCCTATCTCAACTCCCCCCTTCGAACTTGCTCTCTGTATATTCCTCTCCTTGCCTGCTTAGACCGTCGTAAAACGCACCCATTCCCACGAGCATGTTCGCCAACCGATTTGGGCTCATATCCTCCTAGTAAATATCCTGGCCCTCTGCGCTACAATCCGAATCGACGTCTTGCCCAGACTCATGCGTGAGCGCTTCCCAGCAGCTGGTCCTCGCATCTTGGACTCCGCCGCATGGTCCATGTGCCTGCAACAACGTCGTAACCGTCACCACCCGCCGCTTCATAGACCCCCTCGCCGCAAAACGAGACAACAAGGAGTGTCCGTCACAGGCTGGCCTCGGGGAACACTCGCTACGGCGCCGCTCTGCCCCCGCGACGTAGCTGGCTACACCATCTTTGATCTTTTTTGAAGGGGCTGTCTACTTAACTTGCACATAATTATCTAGGTACATCTCTGCCTTGACTGTCTATCTGCCAAACTTCAAGACTGAATCACACCAGTCCCTCCGCGAGGTTCATGTCACCCAGTCAGCCAGAAGTGGCCGCGGCTCGTCCTCTGACTGGTCCCCGAGAGTCGCAGGGCCAAGAAGGGGCGATTCCACCCGCCACCACCAGACCCGAACAGCGAGCGCAGGCCAGGGACATCGTGCGACTCTTCCAATGCCGGCTTTGTTCCTTTCCGTTGCGAGATCCAGTCACCCTCCCGTGCGGTCGGAGCATATGCAAGCAATGTCTCCCCCAATCCCACCTCCGCCTCCATATCTCATATCCGGCCGCGCCTGAGCGACTGCAGGGTTTCCAATGCCCCTTCACCGATTGTGGCCGAGAACATGCCCTCGGAGATTGTGGGCTGGACGTCGTCCTCAGCAAAACGACTGAGCTGGTTAAAGACAATATGGCGCGCGGGAAGGCCGAGGCTGCAAGGGTCAAGATGTCGACTCGCATCGCTGTGCGCGATGAGTGGGAAATAGCTGGCATTCCCTCTCTTCGCTCGCCATCGCCCACGTCCGAGATCTTGATTGGAGGCAGGCTGGTTGCTGCATGGAGCATGGCTGAGAACGGGCAGCTCGACTTTGACGCCGAGGTGGTATACCACGGCATGGATGGGGAATCGGACGACGGCAACTTTGCCGAGTTCGAGTTGGAAGCCCTGCACCAAGTACAAGAAGTTGCGCGGACTGAGATGGATTGCCAGATATGCTATGCTCTCTTCTTCGATCCGCTGACCACACCTTGTGGCCATACTTTCTGCCGATCATGCCTGCACCGCATTCTCGACCATTCACTCTACTGTCCAATTTGTCGTCGCAAGCTGGCGATGAATCCGTTACTGAACCGAATAGCGTGCCCCGCCAATGAGCGACTCGACCTGATCATCGAAACGTTTTGGAAGGAAGAATTGCATGCCCGCCAAAGCATCCTGGAGGCGGAGGAGATTGGACGGCATGAGTCTTTAGATGTCCCTCTCTTCGTCTGCACACTGTCCTTCCCCATGGTCCCAACATTCTTACATATATTTGAACCAAGGTATCGTCTCATGATCCGCCGGGCTGTGGAAGGTAACCGTATGTTCGGCATGGTTCTCCCAAAACGCGCGCGCTTTTCGAGCGACCGAGAATTCCACGAGTTGGGTACACTTCTCCGCATTGTCAACGTTCAGTATTATCCTGATGGGCGAAGTTTGATCGAAACGATGGGCATATCTCGCTTCCGGGTGGTTGAGCACGGATTGCTCGACGGTTACACCATCGGGAAGACAGACCGGATTGATGATGTCAGTCTCGAAGAGGAGGAGGCCCTGGAAGCAAGAGAAGTTACACCGGCTACTTCGCCCCAGTCTGAATCTACGACAAGTGAGCACGGATCTCCCGATCTGGCTACGCAAACTCAAGCCCCTTTAGCTCTTGAGAACCAAGAAGATATCGCCAGGTTTCCGACAAAGCAGTTGCTTGAATACGCCCTCGACTTTGTGGCACGAATGAGAGCGAACAGCGTTCCCTGGCTGACGCAGCGCATGTTGGAATTATATGGAGAGTGTCCCGACGACCCCACCATCTTCCCGTGGTGGCTGGCGAGCATGTTGCCGGTCCGAGAACTCGAAAAATACAAACTGTTAGAGACGTCAAGTGTGAGGGAAAGGCTCAAAATCTGCTGCCGGTGGATTATGGAATGGGAACAATCCAGATGGTGAGTTGTTTGCCCCAAAAGAGTACCCCTTTTGTTACCTACCCCTTTCCATGACATCATCGCCACAAGACTGTGTTTTTGTGATTGCCTATTATTGCCCTTTCCCATGCCCCCAGATCCGTCATTGTTATATGATCTGATCTCTGACACTCGTCAGACGAATCGGCCGTCGCCAACTCTATCGTCGCTCGATCAAGGGACTGCCAAACGGTCCTGCGCTACAACCAGGGTGATGTTATGGTGATATTGACAGGTTACTTAGGTCTTTCCGAGATTGCACTATTCTATAACGCGGTTCCCCTCATTCCACCTTCCTCCTTCAACTTCGATTGCGAAGACTACATCGTCAGCAGATGTGTATGGTGGCCTTGAACAACACACAATTCGCCACGTCCCCGGTCCTTGCACCTTCGCTCCTCCCAACCCCCTTACCATCTTCACAACTATGTTCCTCCATTTAACGAAAGAATCGTTTTCTGAATCAGAGAAAAGCACGCAGAATCGCCGATGCTGCGTTACAAAGTTATGCTTGCTCATATTAAGGGCGAAGTAGCCCACCGTTTTCGTTTTCTATTCCTCTAGATACCAGCTTCCATAAATCTCTTCCTCAGCGGCCGTTGTCTTTTTTGTTCAGTATTGAAATGGGCAGACGGACTACTGGTCTAACAATACCTATTCAATTACATAAACACTATCTCCCCTTTCCATTGTGATCGCTTTGTTGTGCTTATTGGCATGACCACTCCTCCCCTCCTTTCTGGATATCACCTCCACAGATGACGGACGTTCAAAAACAGTGATTGATAACTTTGTCAAGGTTCTGAAAACATTCAAACGCGGGGTCACATGATGTTGAACTGAACTCGGTCATTGGTGACCTTTCTATATTTATTACATTCAAATCTTATTATTCTTGACAGGAGATAGAGTACAATGATGGGGGATGCCCCATACTTTGAATATATTAAGCAAAATGAGTCTAATCCCTCCAGCACTTGGGGTCGCACTATGGTCATCTGCAATGGATGGCTTCCAGTTTGTACTGATATCTACTGAGTTTGAGCACGTTGAATCATCCCACTGTAAGCAACTACCATTTCGCCGAAGTGCTAGCTTCAGCCGGAGTGTCTTCCCACCCCCCTTGATCAACCATGCCGTTGGTGTCAGCCGCAGCCGAAGTATCACCCCAGGTAGAGGGGAATGACCCAGGCATAGCGCTGCCCTGCGGAGCCACATTGTTGTCTTCGTTCTCATTATTCCCACCCCAGCCATCATTGTTGTTGTCATCGTTTTCAGTCGCCTCTTGGGCAGGTTCCGATGCTCCCCAATCGTCATTACCAGACGGGGCTGCATCCCATCCACTGGTGCCTCCGTCGGCACCGCCTGAAGCCTCCGGAGCAGCTGTATCCCCCCAATCCGCGTTTCCATCCTGCGCATTGTTGTCATTGTTCTGAGACCAGGGATCCGGGTTCGTCTGCGGTGGAGACCCGGCTTGTGACTGTGCCCCATCTGTGTTTCCGTGATACCATGACGTTCGCCCGTTGTTACTTCCACCACTAGGCTCAGCTTCCTTGGCATCCTGCTGGCTGCCAGGTGGCGAGATTCGTTTACCCCAGTCTGCAAAGATTGAGGTTCTGTTGTTATTGTTCTGATGGCTAGTTAGCTCAGACCCCTTTGCGAAGGAGACTTTCTTCTTTTGTCTTGCCTTTTCTGACGCCTGCCCTGCATTATGGCCTGAACCGGCTTTGGCAAGCGCGTTCTTCTGAGCGTTCAGCTCCGCGGAGTCATGCCAAGCGCCTCTGCTATTGAAAGCACCGAGATTTGCAAGTGCTGGGTTGAAGTTCTCATAGCCCATGGCTGGAGGGGGATACGCGGCGTGCCAGGCATTCACCGGCGGCATCCCTTGTGTAATCGGCACATTGTTGAAATCACCTGCCTCTGGTTTCTTTGGAGGCAGATTATTGAAGCCGTAATAATATGGGTTTTGCGTCGGGTGAGGCATACCAACGGGCAAGGGACGCTTGGTAGAATCACGCTTTGGATAAAGTGAGCGAGTAGGATTCCCGCCATAAACGGGTCCTTGATACACTCGGATTATGTTGTGCTCGGCGTCATAGAAGGCGTTTGGTGGTGGATCTTCGGGTGTCTCAATGACACGTTCGGTCTGTACGACCTCGGCGCGAACAGGAGCAACATAATTTGGACGTCGGGGGTGTGGAAGAGGATTAGCTTCTGGATAATTTCTCTTATCAGAGCGGTCTGCGTTGGCCGGCTTTGCAGTCTTTGGAGCTTCTTCTTCTTTGGCGCTCCGCTTCTTCTTCTCAGGTTTGTTGTCCTCTTCTTCACTCTCATCGCTACTTTTCTTAGACTTCGAAGTCTTCTTGGCTCTCCGACTCTTCTCCTTCTCTTTCCGGATCTTCTTCTTCTTCCTCTTCGCTTCTCCCTCAGACTCTGAGCTGCTTTCTGCTGAGGATACCGATGTCTCTGTGTCAGATTCTGGAATGGGCTCCTCCTTCTTGGTGACGCGCTTTCTGAGTTTCTTTTTCTTCACTTTGCTCGAACTGTTAGTCTCTGATCCAGAATCGTCTTGGCTCTCAGAATCGGACGAAATCTCCGCAAGTCGACTTCTCCGAAGGCTTGCTCGGCGCCGCCTCAACTTCCTGCGGGCGCCACTACTCTGACTGGACTCACATTTAGGGGGGGGTGGCTCATAGTCGCTGTCTGTACTTTCGCCCTCCTCAGATGTCGACTCCACATCCGTCGAGCCCTCCGAGCTCGTCCCGGGTGATTCTGTCGACGATTGAGCTGAGGCAGAGGCCTCCGAGGACGAGCCCTCCGTGGCAGAATCCGAAGCCGAAGAGGCTTCCTCGGATTCTGAGCTAGGGTCGACGATCTGAACCCTCTTCTTTAGCGCAGATTTCAGAGGAACCTGCTCTTGGAAACGAACTTTCTTGACCTCTCTCCGAGGCAGGTCCCCGTTGGGCTGCGTGCGTGGGTATGTTATCTTCACGGTGTCCTCGCCGGACTCGTCGTCGGTGGAGAGTTCAACTCGAAGGAGGCCCCGTCGGCGCGGCTTCTTCTTCTTCTTCTTGGGGATTGGTCCCAGGGCAGATTCGATGGTGGTTCCCACAACCCACTCATAGAAGGTCGAAGGGTACTTATTCTTTTTTGTCATTTTTGCTCAGCAATACAATTGTAATCAAGACGATGACAGAGGCTTTAAAACAAAGTTGGTTCAAAGCGATGGAACAAGTAGCCTTGAAATATAGCAACACGGTCGAGGTTAGGTTGAGTTGATGATGAGGAGGAGGGTGAAAGAAAGATGAGCAGAGAGGGTGGCTGGTTCAAGGTACAAGACGTGTGGCGGCCGGTTTTCCAGCTTCGTTCTCGGGTGCTGCTGAGAAGGTGTTCAGCTGTCCACAGACGCAGCACCAAGCACGCCCAAGGCGCCTCCAACAACGCAAAAAGATCGCAATCAGCGTGTAAGCCTATGTCAATGGCAATGGCAATGGCAATGAAATTTAGAGTTGAAAAATAAATTCGTCGGTTAGAAAAGCGAGTTCTTGTTCACTTTCATCCCAAGTTATATGTAGGCACGGGGACCTTTGTTACAGTCGGACTGAACAGGTTACATGCGCCTCGCGTTAAATACCGACATGTGAATGGTTCCAAGATCTGAAACACCAATCACACTTTGAACTTAACAGAGCATTATAATAGATCGTGCCTGCCTAGGTTCTCTTCCTGAGAGATTGAGGGAAGTTGCATTTGAAGATTGTGGGCATCAGAGGGGCAAGTACCTACTGCCTTGGAATTACTTGGCACCTAACGTATGGTGACAGGCAGCAATTGTTCTTCAAAAGCTTGCGTCACTGATAAAGATAAAGATGTACCCAGCACAGGCCATAATTTCGACTCCAAGCGTCCAGTCACTGCTTCAGGCCACCCACTCGGTGCTGAAAGGGCCGGTTTCTTCTCACTCACCAAAACCTACGGATTGATACGATTGACTTGTTCACGTCTGAATTCATTCGGTGAGGATTCTGTCGGATTCGAATTTCTGAGTATCTCAAGGAGCAAATCAAGCAGCAAGTCTGTAGTTACACCAATCCTTCCCCATAGCCCCTTTTCGCCTTTCTCAACTCCACTGCCACCAGGTGTATACTCAATTCGCAAATCAGTACTGTCGTTTTAACATGGCCACTTTTGCCCGAGAGAATCCCTTCAACTGGTCAGTCTTTTCATGCAATGATTGAGCGAGGATGTATATGCACTTACGAAGTGTGTTATGAAGAGTCGTCAGACTAGTTGGGGAGGCGCACAGCGTAGAACCACCCTTCGTCTGTGACATACCAGCGGCAGTCACCCATATGATCGATAGAAAACCGGTTGCGCTGGGTCCAGTTACCATCAAGCTCCCGGACATAGTAAAAACGGGATGGGTCATCATCAGCAGGCTTGAAGTCCTGCGGCTCAAAGAGCCTGTTTTGATGCGCAAACTGGTTTTGCCGCAAGATCTCCTCTCCTTGAGTCCGACCCAGCCCAGGAAATTCAGGGGCAGGGACAGGGTTACCTGCAATGATCGGAGGCTGGCCTCCAATGACGGCCTGGCCCGCTGGGATGAAAGCCTGCTGAACCTGAGGTCCCGCAGTCATCATAGGCTGGCCATTAAGCATGACCGGCTGCTGAACATAGCCAGCCTGGGGCTGGACGACATAGGTAGGCTGTTGAACGGGCACGCCATTGACTGGTTGTGACTAAATATGCAATGACGAGTTAGCAAATGGCCATTTCAGAAGTTGCTTCATAAAGAGAAAGGGGTATCGAGAGTGTCAGGTTGTGGGGAAGAGAATGGTTATGGAGGTATCGAGAGTGTTAGATTGTGGGGAAGAGAAAGGTGATGGAGGTATCAAGAATATCAGATTGTAGGGAAGAGGCAGGTGATGCAAAGGGTCAGAGTGTAAGAGAGATATTGTCATGCGCAAGGACTCATCCAGGCAAGTCGACGGAACAAAGCCACCGAACACACGTCAACTGATCGACTGACATAATAATAATAAGGGCGGTTCATCGGATACTGTTGTGGCATTGGGACATTGGCGAGCATAGTGGTGTTGACAGGGGCACAATTGATAAACGAAGAAGAAGGGTAACGGACAGCGACATTGCCGACGGGAACAACGCCCCCGTCAAAGCGTGGAACATAGAGATGGTTCATGGGCCCCATGCTGGTGTCTGGGACGGGCGGCTGGAAGTTGAGTCCCATGGGAGGAGGGCAGGTGTTCTGGTAGTCGGCGGCCATGGCGGTGGTCTTTTGCTGCACTAGATAGCTCTGCTGAGTTGGAGGATAGATGTAAGTTACTGGCTGTAGGTGAGTGTGAGCACGGTCTGCATGTTGAGTCAAGTTGGGAGTGAGATTGGGAGTGAGGGCTACCTGAACAGTCGCGTTCTGCGCTTGTTGTTGCTGCTGAGGGAAACTGACGCTCTGGCTTGCGTTGGTCGAAGTGAACCACTGGCCTGGACCGAGACTGGAAGGAGGCACCAAGGCAGGAAAGCTGGTCGGTTGAGTAGGAGTGGCAGCGGCTTCTGTTGCAGGAGCTGGTGCCTTATTGTCGGCGATGTTGGCTTGGAGGTTGTTGAGTTTGGCTGCAGCCTGGGCCGTTTCGCCAGCGGTTGTTGTTTGGAAATGCACGTGTCGACTTGACGGGTCGGCACTAGGTGTCTTCACGCGTCGGGGAGTCTTGGGAGATTTGTGCCCTGCTCCTGGATCAGGCATCTCTTGGGGGTGATATGAGAGAGAAAAGAAAGTGCAGAGAGAGAAGAGGTGGTTTTTGGGTTGAAGAGGAGTGAGTGGTGGAGGAAGAGGTGGAGGATAGGTGAGAGGGAAGGAGGAGTGGCTGGTAGGGAAAAGGGCGGAGAGGGAGAGACGGGGTGGAGGCCAGAGCAAGAAGGCATCAGTCTGAGAGCAAGGTGAGGGTTTGCTCAGATTTGTTTCAGTTCCTGCCAACAATCACATGCAATCTGAGGCGTCGAAGCTGGGCAGTTGTGGACAATCACATTCGGTTGGCTAGGGCTAATCCGCCAGAAGATGGGATGGGCATCATACCGCACAAATCTGGCCGGGACAATGGATCGAACATCAGAGTTTTCTCTTTTCAGCAGCAGGCAATCACCTACCGTGCGTTGCAGTGCCCAGCAGTTGTTGCCAGTTGGAACCCAAGCCGCGTGTTCGGGGAGCTCAGCGACCGCGTCCAATGGATCCTCGTACCGAGCCCAAGCCCATTGGAAACAAGGTAGACACATCTTGGGTAGCTTTTCGTTGAATTGCGTTGATCGGTGTTGTTGAGAGACAGTTTTCGATATCAAAAATCAGAGAAAGATGGAAAGGAGAAGGAAGGAGGGATCGTGCTGACTAGAATTCGAAGCATGAGATCACTGAAAGGGGAGAAATTCTGATACAGTAGCAAGATGCGTCTTCAGAGAGTCTAATGCTCTTTTTACAAAATAAAGCACTTACCTTTTGGTATGCTGTCCTATTTTCCCGCATCTCACCAAGCACCGCTACAGAAGGATGAACAGGCTCTCGTACACACTTTAGGGATATGCAGCATCTGCCTTGCTGTTGAACAGCTGATACGGGTAGAGCAAGAAAGGCCGTCCTGTACCGCATCCTATAGCTATAGCGTCTTTACCAGAATACACGAAGGGTATGAATCCAACACTTAATCAATGACCATTGCCATTGCCAATGACCTCGAAAGCCCAAAGCCCGCCCCTTTTTCTCAACATCCGCTTTGCCCACACTTTGCTCAGACATAAGGCGGTAAAACATGAAATCCCGTAGCCTTCATTGGCGCGAATATCTCATCTTCACAAACCTGACCGCCTTTTGAGTCTATTGTTCCCAGAAAGGAGCGTGCTTCCTCAATGCCTTACCGAGCCCACGCTCTCGGTCCTTCTCGTCATCTGATCGTTCTGCGAGCAACGCATCGACAAGTGCAAGCTGCTCCTCAGTGAGATCCCCGTCTGTATCTCTGCTCTCGTGCCTCTCGATCAGAGTCTTCACCCGAGCGTATACGCCGTAAGCTTCGACCTTCTAAGCCTGATCATAGCAATGAGAGGTCAGCCATGTTTCTAATGTCGGTGCATTTGCGCTTCACTCACCCGAGCCAAAACTGGCATTTTCCGCCGATGGAAAAATTCTCTCATCTCTCTCAACTGGTCCTTCCTCTTGAACGGCTTCCAGGTACCCGGGCTCCCGTTGCCCTCGATGGAGGGCTGCATCGGCTCTATAGCCTTGAAGACTACGCCGCAATCTCTGCCCCCCGGCGCGGGATCCTCAAGACGCATGCACTTCAGCCTTTCCAAGATTTCTGCCGCCTCGAGCCGATCTCCCGGTACCCCGTGCTCCATGATCCAATCCAGCCTCTGGCGCATGCAGTACAACAGGTAATCCGTCTCCTTCCCATCTTGAGCATCCCAGGATTCGAACATGGAGAGAACAGTCTGGATGTCGGTATGGTAAGGTAGCGGCTCAAAAGATAAGAGGAGGCTCCCATTCCCTGCGAGGCGGAACATGATGATGCTACAGTTCACTCGGGCCTGCCCCTTTTTACCTCGTCGCCATCCTCGCTTTGTTGCCACGACCTTTCGGACGACTTCGGAGGAATCCATAGTCGGGAATTCTAAGCTTCAAATTAGTACCAGAGTCCTACTCATAAGAAAAACAGCTTCATAAGCCAGTTTTGACACACCAGAGGCTACCAGCTGGACGCCAGTCTCTTGCAATCGTAGAAATGATATTTGCAGGTTCAGGGTAAAAGATGATCGTCGATCGCGACGATTGTTATGATATGAGTGGGAAATGATAGCCAGCTAAGGAAAATTCCACCTTCTGTTATGATTCTTCACAGACAAAGCCCAGCCCGTTGCCGAGTCAGGAACGGCTGTTTACAGATGTCTAGGTCCGTTCAGCTGGGAAAACATTGTCGACTGCCCACGCCCGAACTTGCACATCACATACTAAGTTAGCTTTATAGTGCCTGCCACTTACAGAAGCCCAGCTTCTGACTGTCTCCTTCTTTCTACCTCTCCCTGCCCAACTGGTAGAACACCAAGCAATCGTCGATCCGATGACGGCTCAGCAGTCAAACTCGTACCTCAAAGACAATGATAGATTCTCTTCAGCAGTGAACAAGAACCTAAGTCACATTTGGCTGTTCCTCTTTCACATCAGTCATACAATAAAACACCCAAGGTCAGACACACCATAGCACCTTCACCGAAGTGTGATCATCGTTTAAAGAATGCAACAAATCCTTGCATTTTGAATCAGACGCCCCAAAGCCCTCCATGGTCTATGCTCGCTGCCCGGGTGGTTTTGTTTAGCCTAAAATAATGTACAGTTTACACGTTGGACTTTTTAGTTCCATTGGAAGTAGAGATCGTCAACCCTCGTCATTTCAGTCCTCCTCATCACATCCCTCCCCCCCTCTTTCAGCTCCTCAATAAGGCTGTAATAATCAGCATATACAATGAGATTGGGAAATAAAACAAGATTGGCTTCGGTTCTCCCTTCGGCCCGCCACCTTTGGGAACGTCCCTCGCTATCGCTCTCCGTCTCTTTCGTTTGGTTTGATGTGGGATTGAATTTTCTCCCCGCATGGTAGTTGGTGGGCATTATTTTTTCTATATTGGCACAGTCTCCATAAGACATGCCTCTGGTGAAACATATTAAAAGAAACTCATAAAATATTACAGAGAGTCCGATGTGTCGACGTGTGCTTGTTCTGGAATGGGGAAGAATGTACGACGAACGACCTAGAACTCCGAATTAGTATGCATGCTAAGACGAGCCAATTGAAACATCTCAAAGATGCTAAAAGGACGAGAGGACATAGACACTTACCGTCCAGACAGCAGCCACCGAAGCAACCAGACCACCGGAAATCATCATGGGGCGGACACCCCGCGTGCTCTTGAAGATCATGCCGCTCAAACCACCAGCGACCACCGAGTTGGCGGCATCGTGCTTTCCTCGGAAAGACCCAATGAGAGAGTTGATGCAGTTGTACACAATCGCAACGACACCGGCCGAGTTGCCGAGGAAGGGCCCTCTCCGGGTAACTGCGTTGAGAACTGAGTTGAGCTGCAGCTTCGGCGCCTGGCCCGCTGACCGCCTGAGGCCCTCCTGCAGACCCCAGGCGCCTCCTATCGACAGACCGGAGAGGTAAGTGATGCCGGTGCCGTAGCACAGGTCGTCTGTGAAGCCGCGCGAAGGGAGGACGGACTGGCCGCCGGGGAGATCGGAGAGGACGGAGTCCTCGAGGGTCAGGTACTCGAGGGAGTCCCTGTTGAGGCCGGCAAGAGGATGCAACTGTGACGGGTCGGCGAATGTGGACGACTGTAGGAAGCTTTCGACGCCCTGGTCCTGGTCCTGCGAAGGGTCATAGGACGGTGAGGGCGAGGAGTATGAAGTCTGGGTCTGGGTCTGCTGGGTGGGTTGGTGAGCAGGCTTGTTGCCGCCGGTAAAGGCGTTCCAGATCGACGACATGGCAGCGATATATGTGAGGTACCACCGAATTGGACTGGGCGTGTCGTTGGGATTGCAGAGGGATATGGGGACCGGGCCCTTTCGAGGTGCTTTGACGCTGGGGGGGGAAGTTGGCGATGATGATAACTGGCTCCAGATTGGGCGTTCGAAAAATTTCGGCGCAAGCCAGTTCGATGCGCTGAATTCTGACCCACCATCGGCCAGAATCTCCGACTTACCAAGTCCTTCTCCGGCTCATGGCTGAAGGGGACCGCACGTGACTCTGACGCTATGCCAATATGGGACTAGCTCCACAAACCTTTCTTTGCGATCACATAAATTGCTTCGCATCAGACCTCAAATTTTTCCTTTTCCTTTCTTCCTTCTACATCATCAGTAAGGGTTATTACTGCACCGTCAAGTGTTTTAATAATTTCTTATTACGGCGGCTCCGCGAAAGCGGCTTGCTGAGGGTTACTCATGATTCCCTGTGAGTTTCCTTCCGTTCCCGGCCTCCCAGAGTAAAGTGACCACCTTTCCTACCAGCCGCGAGAGTCTATTCGAAAGTCTCGTGACTGTGGGGTGGTCTCGACATTCTTCTCGAGAATGCACGTAGTAGTAATTCCACTCGTCGTAAGCCATCTAAGGCGAAACATGTCGGTCTGAAACCGAACGGACACGCTCAGTTGCAGAATTGCAAGTGCAAACACAGACGCATGCCGTGGCCTCGAAACCCGTGGTTTTGCAGATCTTGTCACTGCACGACAAGGTCGAGTTTTTACTGCTAAACGGACGATGGCCCCGATTTCCGTCATTGTGTTACGTCTAGTATGAGCTATGGTTCACCAAAGTCAGTCTGGAAGTGCAAAATCTATGCAATCAAAATTCGATAAATGTATTGATATGTGCAAAGCTATCTACTGCCTCTACATAAAAACCAATAAGAGATGAGACAATATTAACCAATCTGGTATCCAGTAGGTTTGAGAGGTATGTTCAGGGTCCGTATTTTTCCCAATCTGCTTTTTTAATGTCAAAATTCAAAAATGCCACCCAACAAATCACAACGCCCAACCATGGTTTTGATTTTTCCTTCCATAGCCATCCAATCACCAAAAGCGGCGCGAGAAATGCGCACCTAGTCGTGCCTTGACAGCAAAGGACGAGGTTCCCAATCAATGTCCTCATCTTCGATAGCTCGATCGTTGGACGAATCAATGTCGGAACTGTCTCCATCACTGCCAGACTTGTCATACATAAAGTACTGGGCAAAGACACCAAGGTCCAGGAGAAGGGTTACCAGTGCTCCCGCCAGCCAGCTGAGGTTAACCAGAATGTACTTGCCGTAGATCTTGGCAGCCTCGCCAGATTCGCAGGTTTCGTTCTGGCACTTCGGCTCATATGCGACGATAGAAAGAACATAGGTTAGGTTGCCCAGGCAGGCGAAGAGGAAGAATAGCATGCTAAGGCCGTCCGTAGTCTTGCGCCTCCAATTCAAGATGAGCTGGGGTAGTCTCGAAGCAATGTAGGATACTGCGCAGAGCCATCCGAAGAATTGACCCAGCGCATTGAACTCGAGAGGTTCGCTGCCCTTTGATGGCGAATCCCCATCACCACCGGTGGCCTTTTGCCCCAGAAACCAACCCAACACGCCGGCAGCGATGACCATAAGGATAATGGTAGTGTTCCAAATCAAAGTCTGGAGGATCGTGGGAGGAGAAGGCGGGGTAGGGGTAGTGGGAAAGTGTGGTACAGCTGGAGACAGCCCTGACCAGTCTGAACCTCTTCGTTCGTTTATTCCCAAAATTGGCGACGGGAGAAGAGATGTTCGTTCGTTCGGCTCGCCGTTGGGAAGAGTGTCGTTGCGCTTTGGAGGGACCGGCTCGTCACGCCACGTGAATCCGCGATAGTAGAAGCATTGAATCAGAAGCACAAGGTCCGCGATAGTATAGTAGAAGGCCAGGATGATCTGTACATGGCCATGTTAGTCCACAATGCCTGTCTGTACGGCCATGGGCCAAGAATGTATAGGGAATTGAGGAGAGAATCGTACCATGGTGGGGAGCACACCCTGCAGGATAGCGCCCAGAATGTTGAAGACATCACCCAGGAGCCATATTATGACGAATTGCACAGAGAGTGCGTCTGCGCTGCTCTTTTGGAAATTTTCGATGATCTGCGGGGAGAAAACGACGACTTGGGTCAGGTCAGCCAAATGTAACCATCAAGGGACAGGCAGGGAGACTGGACGAACCCCAGCAAGCGATTGAGACCGATCTAAGTGGGAAAATTAGTTAGGGCGCAGTACAATCAAATTGACAAGAACAAATAACCTACCCGCAGATGCCAGAGATGGCCTCAACATCGAGGTTGAGGTTCTGCGTAGGAGGAACCATGGCTGCGGTTTGGATGCCGAGGGGAGCCGCAGATGCTGCATGCGCTAAGGGGAAGATGCAGGACAGCCCCAGACGAGAGAAAGTGTGGGGGAGCTATAGCTGTCGCTCGGGGAGCCTGGAGAATTGCATCTACTGTAGTAGAACCGAGCTCAAGGGGTGGCTCGATATGTACTCCCAGGTTGGTCCGCAGAGGAAGAAAGGTGGAAGATGAATGAAAGTTCACCACCGCGGGAAGCCGAAATGGTGACAGACTTTTCAAGGATTGTGCCACACTCTCGTGGTTACGTAGGTAGGAATTGCATTTTTGCTGCCTCCCCTGGTCCCATGATGATCTAGAGCCTTCACGTACTAGTACCGTTACAGTATGTCCTACCCTGCAGCTCCCTGTCGCTCATAGCAGCATTCGTATCGATGCGTCAGAGACAAAGCTTAAATCCGGCAGGGGTGCGAGTCTTTCCGAAGGAATGATCAGACATGGGCGGCGATCGAACATGTGAGGATTACGGATCACGGATCCTGCATCAACCAGGACCCGACAATTCATCTAGTAGTTCATCAGTAATTTTCACATTTCTCCACGTGCTGGGGTGATCAACTATCCCCTTGATCCAATTATCATCTCTGAAGGCCTGACTCATTTTATTCTGAAACATATTTTCTGATGAAATCAAGTAAAAGATTCTGCTGACTGACTTGGGGAATGTGTTCTTTGAAATAATACATTCCAGCCTTGGTGAGGGCAAAGGGGCGTGTAGTTGCTATCTCACATCCTTCAACCTGGCCAAGGTCCCGTTCGTTTCCGGGACGCATTTTGTCATCCTCTATCACTTGAGCAACGGATTGGGCCGAACGAACATGGTATCTCTCGAGAGCTGTATCGAATTAAGCGACGCAGGCAGAATAGGCCAGGGACACATGTGGATGAACGTCTCCTGTGACTTCGAAGAATACAGTATGAATTCAATACATTCTACCTATGCCGAGTTTAGTCTACCTTCACCCTTTACACAAGAAACCGCCACCACGGCCATCTATATATTCCAAAGGCTCTTCATCCCAACTTTGCCAAAGGAAATGTCTGAAACAATGTCAGAACACTGCCCCCAGGTTGGCGCTTCCTGTGTGAGCTAAAAGGAGTCGACCAAACTGCTTCAAGAACAGAAAGCAGATAAATCCCAGGCTTGGGTGATCGATTCCGACGGCATCACCAGCACTTGTTGTGGACTGACCCACAACTGATTGTGTATTCGGGATTGATGATGGCGGTGTAGCTAAACCTTACATTCTTCGTTACAAAAGAAGTTTCAATAGTCCTGATTTCCGTTGTATCACGGTTTGGTGCATGGAAATACGACTCCGAACGACCGTTTCCAACGGAGATATCTTCAACTTGAGCAGTGTAAGTGTCTGCGTCGTACTTGTCATAGGGGAATCCTCATCCCACCATCAAGTTTTCTCCGCTGGCCATTCTCCTTGCAATGCCAATGGACTCTGTCAGTCGTGCTGAACCCAATATGAGAAGTAAATCCTCAACTACCCGGAGCTCAACTATTCAAAGAGGCATTGGGGCTAGCGACAACCATATACTCATTTCCGGGGAATATACCAGCCAAGTAGCAACCGGAGAACGAAAAACTCGGTGCCTAATACTTTCATCTCCATTCCTCAAGTTCTCATGCATATCATGTCGTGCACGTACATTGAAACTAGTGTTATTGTATACCAATCCACAACCAATTAGTTTGGTCATACAATTGGCCTTGGCCATGGTACGATTGGCTCTTATATGGCATCTTAGAACTTCTCATTCCTCACTTCTCTTTTCTCAACCATCCCATCCCCCATCCTTAACAGAATTACTTACCAGTATGGTAAACATTCGTTTTAGCTTCTACATCCTTGTAGGACTGAAAGTATGCGCTGCCTCTCAATTGTGCCGCTTGCCAAATGGACGCAGTGCCTACTCTAACTCCCCTTGCAATGCCGAAGCAGAACACAGCATGTGCTGTGAGAAATCAATAGGAACGGTTTGTCTTTCCAACAAACTTTGTCTGCTTTTAGATGGGAGATTGGTACGCAGCTCTTGCTCTGGCGATACTTGGGACACGACAGCGTGCGGCAGTCATTGTCAACATTCAGGTCAGCCCTCTTCCACCTCATATGCGTGGTCTACCTTCGATTGCTAACCAGAAACCAAATGGACAGATACGATAGGAGACGGCCTTGTCTCGTGTGTCAATGTGACCAACAGGGGCAATTCTTTTTGTTGCGAAACACCACCAATTGCTGTTACAGTACTGCTGAACGATTCGAACGAAGTGCTGCCCCTCAATCCATTGCCCTGGGCGAAGTATGACGCCAAATTAGACCGCTTTCGCTCGACAAACACGGAGGATACGAGTGGCACTAGAACCGCTACATCCTTGCCAGACTCATCGACATCTGGTAGCTCTTCAGACTCCGGAACGCCGGCGCTGTTGGTTTCGGAGAAAATTGGCATCGGCATAGGCTCGGCTCTCGGTGGCATTCTCGCTGCGTTCTTCGCATTCCTGTTGTGGAGGTTTTACCTGAAGAACAGGAAGAATCGGCAGGTCGAAGAATACTCGATTGCCCAGAAGCTCACCAAAAGGATCAGATATCATGCAACGTAGATATCAGCAAGCCTGCGCATCCCCAACCCCAAGAGTTGGCTCCCGAGGAGATTCAAAGGGTGGAATTGCCAGCTCAAGTGTAAAAACATCCTCGAGCTGCCATTTCTTTAGCCTAGCAGCATGTTCTTCTATTGGCAGACGGATCAGTCATCGGCGATTTGGTTGGAAACACAACATACATTTCCCCCCTCATGTTTTACTACCTGCTTTGTGTCCAACACAGATGATAAAACCAAATATCCACAGACAAAGATTGATTGCAATGCTTATATGGAGTGATATGAGATAGGGTACGGATGAGGACAACCCTGTCTAGATGCTTCATAGCCCAGACTCATATAAATTCTAGACTCCTCTCACGATGCATATACTTTATCGCCATGTAGTTGCGTAGCTCATCCGAGAATATCCCCCCTTATAGGGTCGTTCCTCACCGAGTTTCAAAGGTCTTATCGTACCCATGAGTCTCCCCAAGAATGAGGCTTTAAAGAATCGACTTCGCTCGCCATTCAATTCCATCCGGCATGCCACCTGTGGCCGTTTCAAGGGACAAACAAGGGGCGGTGAATCGTTGGAACCGTCAAGTCCTCATGTTCGCCAAGCAGTCCCAGAACCCTAATTAAAGGTCAAAAGTATTGATAATCTCTCCCTTCATGTCCTTCATCAACTCTGAGAAACAATCGTATCCGACACACAGGATTGATGTAGTAGTTGCAGCTTTCATATGTATGGACGAGATATGGTTTTGACCGAGCTGTCGATCGCTATAGACGCCCTTCCATTTCACTTCAGTAGGTATTAGATATAGAATACTCAATTCACCTCACCATACCCTCAGTTCAATTTGTTTGCTAAGTTGCTATCTACATATATGGCGTTCAGAAAGGTCCTTTCTCTGAGAGGTCTTTCCGCAACCTGGCACACTGCAACCCAGTTCGAGAGGGATATGGTATAAATGGTGTTGCCTATAGTCGGGGGGAAAATCCCATTGTTAGCAAGCTAGGATAGGAAAAGCAAGGAATGTCAGTGGGAAAAACTAACATCAGATACTCGGCTCTAGTGAAAACCTGTGTCTTCTCGGCAGCGCCAGTGTCCGTAACAAATTCGATTGTTATAGTGAAGAGGAAGAGATTGGGTCGTACATATCTAGGTTGACATTGACCACACGCATAATACTTTCTTGGCCCAAAGCTCACATTTTTGAATGCCCTCACACTTTCATGGTTGTAGGTTATTCTTTGGCGCTTCCTTGTGGTGCTTTGGGTCGGTTCACCGCTGTTCGCAATAAGGTCCTGCATTTGCTGGAGGAATGATGCCTCCAAGGTATCTATCGCCTTGCGTTTCTTGGCAGACACGGCGAACCATACATTACACCTGCAGCTACCATGCACGTTTAGTATTATACTTCAAAGCTCGTCTGAACTTGAAACGCCTTACCATATTCTGCCGCCTCCATCTACCTTTCTCGTTACGCTGACGCTGGAATAGCAAATGCGACAAGTCTCCTCCGGCATGATTATAGGTTGCTTTTCTATTAGAATCGCCATAAGTAAGGAGCTTCCGGGTCGCAAAAAGGAGGACTCGGATAAGATGCTCGATCGGTCTGTAGCCTCGGTGATTTCAAAGTCTCCCAAGGCAACTTCAGCAGACCCTGGTCCAGTCTGGAATCTTTGTCGAATGATGACATTTAGCATTGTAAAATCATACTCAGAAGGCACTGGAAATTTCCGGCCAAGGGCATCTTCACAGATGAGGGGGTCCTGGAAAAAGGACCATCGGACGTCCACCTTGCTTGCTATTGAAGCCTTGATGTCCAGCACGACAGAGTAAATTTGCTGGGTAGACACGCTAGATTCCTGTCAGAGTAGACTACAATATCATAACGTGCATTTCGTTCTTACCAGGCTTTCACCACAATTTCCTTCATAAATGCCCATGGAGACTGGGCCTCTCCGCTCAAGATGGAATGAACCTTGTTCAATATTGACATGGCGTTAAAATAAGCTGCTGTCTGGGCGGAGGTGTTATCCTGGACTCGACGTAATATTTGTTGTGTGTCGTCCAGCCTTTGGTGAATCCGGAGCCGTTCGGACTCTGCCTCTTCAGACGCAAGCATCATTGTCTCCAGGCTGTGCTCTGCGAGGAGGATGTTGATCGTTCCAAGATGAACACTGAGGTAGTTTTGCAATTTGCGAATCTCGTCACTTTGACCGAATCGAAACCGGAGTTTATCAAGCTCGCCTTGGAGCGATTTCTTTCCGCACCCGGGGCCGAGGGAAGTCTCGTATCTTCGAATCTTGCGCAGGAACTCCTCGAGAGGCCTTCGGCAGCTCAGTGCGGCAAATCGGATTGAGTCGATTGTAGGCGACGGCTTCTTCGACTGTAGCCTATCAAGGTGGGTGAGTGCCTTTTGAAGGCATTCCAGCTCCCTCTCGAGGTCTTGATATTCGGTCTTCGCACCCCCGATCTCTTTCAAGCACGAACATATGTCCTTAGCTAACGAACTGACGGCCAAGACATCCCTCGCGGAGATTCCAACTGACATGGCTGTCTTGCTTTATTCGACTCGAAGTGCTTTCATTGATGTGGTTCACCTGACGACCATTTCCCCTCGCTGTTGGCTCGGCATCGGGCAGTGTGGCGCAGTGAAGCCACTCATGCTTCAGGTTGTCTGCCTTAAGTTGCACTTTGGCACTTGATAGGTGCTCCTGAATTGCTACGCTGCTGCATGATGATCTCACTTACATGATGCTACCCTCCATCTGCTTATCTAACTATATACTTCAGAGGTTAAGGCTTCATTGATTGGCTAAATCAAATACAGCAAAGCACTCGCTAGTACTTCAGGTAGCAGATAATGTGTGTTGTAGAAAAACGAAGAGTGAGAGAGGATGAAGTTGGGGATGCGGAGTACAGGGTAAGGGGATTCAGACTGACAACCCACGATGACGATCGCTCCCGGCTTCGGACAATATCCCATCGGTGCTCTTACAAATCAAAGAACCACCTCTGAACCAGACGAATGGGTCCCTTATCGCTTCCGGAAAGGACCACACACAACACATGGCCTGGCACCCGGTAATAAACTCCATCGCTAGCAACGGATGCTGCTAGTGCCCATGAGCCAATTACTGGGGACAACTTACTCATCGGAAAATGTCCGCCGTCATAGCAAAACCGCAACTCCGCCATTGTGACCCCCAAGCGGCCTCGGCATGAACCCCGTAGATTCAACGTAGGTCCTACATCCCACGTACCAGCGTACCAAAGCCTAGCCTCCCTCTCCATAGCCCACCTCTGGAACATCTAGGACAGAGCAGCCAAGCTATCACAAATGACCAGTAGTCTTCCCCAACTGCCGGAGGTTGCCCTCCTGCAGAACGACGACTCGATGCTGTCTCGGAGGTTCGGGAGGGAGATTACCAATTACTATGCTGGCAGCAGCATCAACCGCATCTCGTTCCTGAGGGCCGACACCTCGTTCCTCCAGCAGGCGTCCAAGAGCCCCCGTGCTCGCTACTTCGCTCTGAACAACCTCGGCCCCGTTGTCGAGGACCAGGGCACCCTCGCTCTCTTCTCACTGGAGAACCTCAAGTCCCTGATAGGCTCAGATCCCTTCAAGCTCACCGAGGATGAGTCCATCAAGAACTTTGACTCAACCAAGAAGACGCCCCTGATTGTCTTTCTGGGCCTGCACGAGGGCCCCAACTCGGATGAGTTCACTACGACCAGCCACGGCACCGTCAAGGGCGAGCCCTACTTCGCCGTTGATGTCACACCCCGTGGCACCTACTCCGAGGCCGCCTCTGCCTTCCTGAAGTCTCAGGAAGAGAAGGGCTTCACCGTTCAAAGGAATGCCCGGGCCATGACCCTCCACGCCGAAGCTGGTACGTATAAAGCCCGGGAGTTGAGTGATATGAAGAAGCAGGAGAAGCTTGATGAAAGATGAAGAAAGAAAAAACTGACAAGATCCTGCCTTCCCAACCCCAAAGCCGCCATGTATGCCCAGGCCAGATCCATGGTCGACTGGAACACCCGCAACGGCTTCTGCGCCGGCTGCGGCAACCCCAACCTCTCCGTCCACGCCGGCTACAAGCGCGTCTGCCCGCCCACGGACCTGAAGGGTGCGCAGGAGGCCGTGACCCTCGACGACTGCCCAACCCGCCACGGCGTCTCCAACGTCTGCTTCCCCCGGACGGACCCCACCATGATCGCCGCCATCGTCTCCGCGGACGGCCAGAGGGTCCTCCTCGGCCGCCAGACGCGCTACCCGGCCCACCTCTACAGCACCCTCGCCGGCTTCCTCGAGCCGGGCGAGTCCTTCGAGGAGTGCGTCCGGCGCGAGGTCTGGGAGGAGGCGGGCGTCAAGGTCGGCCGCGTCGTCGTCCACTCCACCCAGCCGTGGCCCTACCCCTCGAGCCTCATGATCGGCGCCATCGGCCAGGCCGTCGCCGGCGGCGAGGCTATCGAGCTCAACGACAAGGAGCTCGACGTCGCCAAGTGGTTCCCCATCGAGGAGGTCCGCCAGGCCCTCCTCTCCGGCGCCGGCGCTCTAGATGCGCCTCCCCCTCCTGGGTACAAGGAGGGCGAGCTGCGTGTGCCCCCGCCCCAGGCCATTGCCAATAGGCTCCTCACGGCTGTGGCGGAGGGTTACCTTACTACTGCTCCCAAAATCTAGAAGAACAATCTTAGACTGAATAAACCTTTTCCATGAGACCAGCGAATGATACGGGGTGAAGATACCATGATAAATAGTACAGCCATTTCTGATCTCTCCATGTGTTTGATTCATCACACCGCCCCTTGTTCTATGTACGAGACATATATCCACTATGCTGCTTGCGGTTGCATATGCGCAAATGATACATCATCCATCAGAGGTGTCTGTACATGAGCCACAAGCCCACGATCATATCTCATTATCCAGACAGCATCGGCATTAATGACCTCCAATGCTTCTCTCACCTCCTTGCTTCTCTCCATAACTTCGGCCAGTAGAACCAATATTTCTTCAAACATAACGTCCGTCAGTTTGACGTATGTCACCATAGACTTCAAGAGCCCTACCACAGCTTCCCAAACCCGAACTGGAGAAGCGTGTTGCCCCAAGTCGCTGGATAGCACTGCGGACTGCTTCCTAGTTGACTTGACCAACTCGCCGGTTGATGTAGGTAGTAGGATATGACTCTCTGTTGGCGCTGACACGGATTGCTGGACAGATGTCGCTGAATGTGATCCGGTGGCCTGAACCTGACGTTTTACCTTTCTGCACCACTCACCGAGCCTCGCCGCCCACTCCGTCTCGAAGCGAGAGGCGAGGAAATCTCCGCCACTGGCACACATTTCGGACAGTGCATGGCATGCTTCTATGGAGATGAATGTCTCGGAATCGTAGAGCCTATCCACAACCACGGGCCAGATAGCATTGATGAGAGGAAGAAACGAATCTTCATCGGCTGCTAGAGCCGGAGATGATTTGGAGAGAATTTCAAGTAGAGCTCTTCTAAGTCGGGGAACTGGAGAGGTCAGGTAGTGCTGTGTCAGATTCGTAATGCGAAGCAGAAGCTGGTATGTCATGGAATTTGGGGGCTTCTCTTTGTCCGGTTCAGAACCTGGCATTTCTTCATCTTTTTCAGGCCCCTCGTCGCCCCATGGAGCAGTTGGGTGGCCACGTGTGGATTCACCTGTTCTCCTCTCCTCATCCTCCCGTAGCTTACGAGACTGCCGCCGTGAGATGAAATCTGCCAGGCCTTTGAGGCCGTCCACCTGCGGGCTTTTCTTGCTATGCTTGTGATCTGAGTGACTTTGACCATCAAGCAGAAGCATGTCCGAGACGACTGCCTGGTTCACAAGCTCCTGAAGAACGGAGAAAAGAGACTCCACGAAGTTAGTGTAGCCATGATAATTCTCCAACGCGGCAAAAATAGACTCAACCACGTCATCAAGGAACGGCACCAGACGAGGGCCAGCCAGACGGATCATCATGGTTAGAACATTGGTTGATGCGGGAGATATATCGAGAGTATTAAGACGTAGAGCGACCGAGTTGACCATATAGTCCACGTTCTCGACAATTAGTTCGGAAACGTTTGCATACTCGCAGCTCTGAGCCATGCTGTTGAGCGTCAATATCCCATGTTGCTGCAGACTTGGATTATCTGAACCGAGAAATGTGACAATAGGGAAAAGGACATCAATAAGTTCAGGGCGGAACGCCGATCCCGATCGTTTTGCTGCATATGCTGTGACTTCAAGAGCGGTCGCCTCCAGTCGCCAATCTATGCTAGAAGCCTGGGTATGCGCGTCCAGTGTCTGCACAGAGAAGGAGTATAATTCGCGGAAGACCAAATCGATGTCTTCGGCCTCGTCACCTTGATCAAATGAAGATAAATCAAACAGTTCCGAAGCGTCGGCCGAAGATTGGTGCGATGCCTTGACCAATTCAAAGCAAGCCCAGAAAGCAGCTACTTGGCTGACGGTGCCTGGGTTCTGTATGTATTCCAGAAAGCTCGTAGCTAACCCAGAAGAGGTCGTATTCGACCCGAGAACATTGAGTAGCCTCCCAATCTCAGCCCTAAGGCCTCTTTGGCTCTCTTGACTGAACACAATTGGTGGATAACTGGAGCCTTGAGAGCCTTCTACTACGAGACCGCTAGTCCCAGACAGTAGTTGGACATCTGTTCCTTGGATTGATGTCTGTGGCTTATTTGTATTCATTGCTGAGACAATAGTGTCGATCAACGCATTTCCCAGTGTGTCTTGAACGGTCGATGACTCAATGTCAAGGTCTTGGAGGAGCTTCATTCCCTTTGATAGGCTATGAACGGCCTTGCTTTTCATATCGTCGTCGCTGGCCTGCATAAGACGTGGTAGACTTGACAACCAGCCATAAACGGTCTCCTTCGCCTCGTCTGCGAGCTCCGGGTATATACTAATCAAGTCCCTGAGTGATGTTTCGGTGAAGGATGATTTCGCTTCAACGTCGTCAAGGATGATGGCGGTCTCAACCAAGACTCTCGAGCAATTCGACAAAGTATCGTGGCACTCATCTAGAAGAGTCATGCATAGACTTCGCAGCGTTTCTCTGACCTCCGGCTCGTCGTAAGACCGAAGTTTCATCATATTTGAAAGGGCGACCTTGACTTGATTGGCCGTGGCCGTCAACCAGGCCGGACTGAGAAGGGCAGCCTTATCTTCATTCTCGGCATCCTTGCGCTCGGCTTTAGCACGAATCGACCTTGTTTGCATATCTCCAAGCACACGAGTGAGTATTAACGCGGAAGTGGACAAGGATCGTACAAGGACGAGTTTTTTGTAGCGTGCTGGGGCTGACAGGACCTTTGTCAGTATGGAAATACACCCAGGGAGGAAGTTTGCCAAAGCTGCCTGTTCGCGTATTGCTGTGTATACGCCTTGGATTGCACGAAGTGATTCGATACTTATAGTGCTATTGGCCCCCTTGTCAACCCCATCGAGCATAACAGTGATGGCATGACCAAGGGCCGGGATTGCATCAGATTCTGCCAAACCTGCAGCGGCCGTGGGGGACTGTGCAGTGACCTGGAAAAGAGCTGTGAAGCCCCTGAAAGCTTCCAAGACCGTCTCTTCGTCGACATCTCGCTTATTCTTTGACCCCGGTATTCCGTCGATGATGAAGGTCAGGAGACTTAGGACTTGCTTGGCCATCTCGGGGGATATTTTAGACTTCCATCCATGGAGAATGAGGATGTTGAGTGATTTGACGCAATTCTCAATCAGCCTCGTTGAAAAGGTGTCTATTTGGCGAAATATGTGATAGAGAGGGAAGAATGTGTATTCAGCCAACTTCTCGTCGAGGGCCAAAGGGTTAGTGCGAATCTGGTCATTGAGGATACCCAACAGCTGGTCTGTCAAAGCAAGTAGTTCGGCTTGCGCCGCGTGCTCCTGGGCATTTCTAAGGGCCAGCTGGCTGATTTGAACGCAGCATGGCTTCAACTGCAAAAGGTCTTAGAGAATGGATACAGACAGACAATCAGACAGGGGAGCAGTGTGATCCTAACCTTCTGAAAGAGCTTATTTCTTTCATCATTGCGAGCCGCTGACTCCATGAAGAGCAATAAATAATGACGACCACCTTGATACTACGGTGCTATATCATCGTCTTGAGCAAATAATGAAGAGGATATCAAGGGCTGGGAATTCATCCCAAAAAGCAGTGATTTGGTGGTTGAATCTGAGGTAGGTGCTACCAGGCGAAATCTGACTAAGCTGTGAGGAAGCTTGATCAGGCAGCCAACCAAGAACTTACCCTAGAGCTACAGAGACCAAGAGGCATATGATGAGAAAACCATCTACATATCGCAATCGCTTGTCATGACCGGAGATTGCTAGGTCCGCCTCCTGCGAACGAACTGTCGTGACACACTATATCTAAATGCCTTCTAGTAAGACGGTCAACTCGTAGGAATCTAACAGCAACGAGTGATCCCTGACAGCCCAACCTGATCATCTTTGTGCAAGACGAGCGATCCTTGCAAGTCGGGCCTAGCAATCAGTTGCTGTAATAGTGAAATCGTGAGAGGTCGCTCCAGCTGTTGACATCGCGATCACTTTGCGCGAACTTGTATATTATGACTTGCGACCCCAGTCAATCAGTCGGTCAGCGTCGTGCAGAAGTGGATTCCTACTGCCCCGCGCGTAACTTGGATCCAACATGCTACTACAACTATAAATTTGGAGATAGGCCAAGTGCATTTCCACAACTCTGTCTTAACCACCAGCATTCATGATGGGTAGTCTGACGGAACCATTCTCCCTTACGGCCCACCCGTATCGCTCGCCAGCCGGCAAGAACTGTGCATATGAACTGGGAAAGAACACAGCACAGAATGCCCTCGTCTTCCTAGGCGGTCTTGGAGATGGACCCCACACGACACCCTATGTCCGCTTTATGGCACGATATCTGGAGACACAGCCAGATCTAGATTACTCCGTCTTTGAGATTCGTATGCGAAGCTCATTTGAACAATGGGGGACATCCAGCTTGCAGGAAGACGTTGAGGATGCCTCTGCTCTGGTCAAGTACCTGCGTGAGAAAGGCAGAAACAAGATTATCCTAATGGGGCATTCTACTGGCTGCCAGGTGCATATCATTTCCACCTCTCTTTTCTCTTGAACTCAAGGTCTGATGGTTCTTGATATCGACTGACAAGGTGGATAGGATTGCATGGAATATACAAACTACGCTCGCCACAACAATGAGCCGGTTGATGGGTTCATCCTGCAGGCACCGGTGTCGGACAGAGAGGGCCTCGAGGGCATGTTCCCCGAATGGCGGGACAGCCTCGCGGTGGCAGACCAGATGATCGCCGAAGGCAAGTCAGACTGGTGCATACCCAAGGACAAGGTGCCGCCAGTGTTCAACTGCCCCATGACGGCCTACAGACTTCGATCGTTGATCGCTAAAGGGTATGCGTTCCCTATATCACTCCCTACCGACTTATAGCTGGCAACTGTCACGCCATGACTGCGTCAATCTGAAGCCCATTTGGAGTACTGACTGTGGATTGTAGTGGTGATGATGACTACTTCTCAACCGACCTGGATGAGAAAGTAAAGGGATTCTGGGGGAGGTTCCAGAAACCCGTCCTGGTTTTGCATTCAGAGAAGGACGAGTTTGTCCCCGCACACATTGATCAAGCTGCGTTGAACAAGAGATACCAGGAGGCCAGTCCGATGGTGAGCCAACTGTCGGGGCTGATACCAAATACTGGTCACGCTGTACCGAACGAAGACGCAAGGCAGTGGCTGTCGGAAAAGGTTGCGGAGTTTCTACGCGCCCTGCAGTAAGTAGGACGCAGGATGAGATGCGAGGGAGATGGGACATACTTACCAATCATCCCGCAGTGACTCGGCGGTCGCAAGAGGAGAGGGAAAAGGATAGATATTTACTTACCAATCCATCCCGGAGTGAGTCACGTCTTGGGCGGGTGTGAGATGAGAGATGACTGCATGACGTAAACCTGGATGTTACCTACATGACATACGATGCATACGGATAGGGCCAGCCTGGTGATCCGTGTGTGTCAGGGGAGACACAAATGTGCGACAGCTGTGGCTGATAAGGCCGTTGCTCGTGCATCGTGGTGCGGTGAATGAATTATTAAGAATGCCAAGGGCGACCACCTCGTAAATACGTTGCCCCCAGGCCGTTTGTGCTGCGGGAGATTAGATCAAATGCATAATCTATCACAATTCACTTGACACTGGAAGCGGGGCGCAACGAGTTCGGTGGGCCGTACATAACGTTTGTACTGCTTTGCTGGGGGACATTGAAATCAATTCATCACAGGTCTTTCTATCCTATTATTTTGGGGCTGTGATGAGTCGTTCCCATTGATGATGGCTTATGATAAGCAACTCAATAGAGAATGCACACCGCATATCGTCCCCGATCATCGTATTGTTGCATTATTCTGGTTATCGTGAGTGATCAGCCTGGTGTCTCATTTCTTTTGTCCGGCCGTTGGTCTCAGCGCTCCAGCAGCCCCGCTCCTGATGATAGCGGCCCACTGGGGCCTGCATTCTCCGATACAGCCGGGCCTAACAGCGGATTGGGGCCTGTCCGGTGGCAACGGATGCAAGCTAGCGCCAAACCTGGCCGCTTGCAGGCAGGTGCAACAGGCAGAAAACCTCACCGACGACGACGCGGTCACGGCGCACCAGCTTGCCGCCATCGAGGCTGGCTAATTCCCTTGCCCATCCGCAGCTGACAAAGCATCCCATGGCGATGATCCACCTGGTTCTGCCGTCAAGACGTCGATTCACGGTCCGTCTTTCTCAGAGTCAGCGGCTTGGATTGTCCATCGCCAACACCTCAATTGAGCCGTCGTGAGCTCACCGGTTCGGCTGCTTATCGCCTCCACTAACCGCCGACCGACTCCAGCCCACCCTCCATCAGTCCGCGACCGCTACAAAGCCTTACCTGCGTCCACCTCCCCAGCGATTCGTAGGAGCTCGCTCGAATTGCCATGACAAGCTGAGGCTGGTTTATCGAATCCGCAACCCCTTCCAGCAGTCATGGACGGCTTCAGCGAGCAAAAGGTGCTCTACCACACCGGCTCATTGTCCGGTTATCGGCCTCTGCAAAACCTCGGAAGCGACTATCTCTCTGCGACACACTCGTTCCGCCAGCCACTCTGCGGCAACAAAGAAGGTTGGGGCCCTCTGAGCCCCTTCCGATACGACTTTACACCATGCTTCATTGATGTCTGGATTGCCTCTGTTTCAGCCTTTGGTCTGGTCTTTGGCCTGGGCGCTGTTTGGCTTCTCAAGAAGAGGCAGGAGGAATATTCTAGCAGCAAGAACTTCCATTTCTGGTTCAAACAGGTACGAGGCATTGCGCATGTTATCTGGACGAGGAATGGGGCAGAGCTAATTTCGTCTATTGTATGTATAGGTACTCCTTGCGCTTTTTGCCGCCGATGTGATCGTCCAGCTCGTCTTCCAAATCCTCAGCTATGGAGCCATTGCGTATGGCGACTTCCGAGTCTGGACCACCGCCCTCGAAATTGTTTCTCTTGGTGTTATATTCGCAGTCCAGTGGCTAGAGCATTCGCGATTGAGGCATGCCAATGGCGTTGTTCTCTTCTACTGGCTCCTCTTGATTATCGCCTCTGCTGTCAAATTGAGGTCATTGATCTCCCAGCAGCTCTACGCCAAGAACCTCAGCTATTTCATCACTTTTTGCGTCGGCGTCGGCGTCGCCATTGCTGCGTTTGCCGTTGAGTGGCTCTGGCCCCGCGACAACGGAATTACCGGCTACGAGGCCATTGTCGACGAGGATGAATGTCCTGTCGAGTATGCGACCGTTTTCTCCCGGCTGACTTTCGACTGGATGACACCAATGATGAGGTATGGATACAAGGCTTTCTTGACTGAAAATGACCTGTGGGCCTTGGCGAGACCGGATCAGACCAAGAACACGGGTTTCGCATTTGACAGTGCGTGGGAGAAGGAATTGGAAAAGAACCCAGAGAAGCCCTCTCTGACAATGACTCTGATCCGTGCTTTCGGTGGTCCATATGCTGTTGCCGGTTTTTTCAAAATCGGCAACGATATCGCCCAATACGTACAGCCTCAGCTACTGCGCCTTCTTATTTCATTCATTGGATCTTATAAGACCGAGAATCCCCAGCCAATAATCCAGGGTGTTGCTATTTCTTTGGGCATGTTTGCTTGCGGTCTTTTCCAGACAACCATGGTGCATCAATACTTCCAACGCTCGTTCGAGACTGGTATGCGAATCAAGGGAGGTCTCGCTTCCGCCATCTACAGGAAATCTCTGAAACTGTCAAACGAGGGTCGCGCCGCAAAGACCACTGGAGATATCGTCAACTACATGGCTGTTGATGCTCAGCGTCTTCAAGATGTCACGCAATTCGCTCAGCAGCTTTGGTCTGCTCCATTCCAAATTGTCATCTGCATGATCTCCCTATACCAGCTCGTCGGCTGGTCAATGATGGCGGGAATCGTTGTCATGATCTTCATGATGCCTATTCAAGGCTTTGTCTCCAAGGTCATGAGGACGATGCAGAAAACTCAGATGAAGAACAAGGATGCCAGAAGTCGTTTGATCAACGAGATCATCAACAATATGAAGAGTATCAAGCTCTACGCATGGGGCGGTGCGTTCATGAACAAGCTCAACTACGTCAGAAATGAGAAGGAGCTGAAGAATCTACGCAAGATCGCTGCTGCACAGGCTGTTGCCAACTTCACCTGGAACAGTGCTCCATTCTTTGTCTCATGCTCTACATTTGCCGTTTTTGTCCTTACGCAAGACCGACCTATGACGACAGAAATCGTGTTCCCTGCACTCGCACTCTTCAATCTCTTGACATTCCCCTTGGCTGTGCTGCCCATGGTCATCACGGCTCTTGTTGAAGCATCCGTGGCAGTGAACCGCATCCGCGACTTCCTGTGCGCCGAGGAAATTCAGTCTGATGCCGTCAACGTCAAGCCAGCCCCCCAGGAGCTTGGAGAGGAGACCGTCATCATCCGGGACGGTACTTTCTCCTGGAACCGCCACGAGGAGCGCCAGGCACTCGAAGACATCGAGTATACTGCATACAAGGGAGAGCTTTCTTGCATCGTTGGCCGAGTTGGTTCCGGAAAATCCTCATTGCTGTCCAGTATTCTTGGAGATCTTTGGAAGGTCAAGGGTTCCGTCGACGTTTGTGGAACTGTTGCATTTGCTTCTCAGCAGACTTGGATTTTGAACGCCACTGTGAAGGAAAACATCATTTTTGGATACCGATATGACCCTGACTTCTACGAGCAGACCGTCAAGGCTTGCGCTCTCATTGACGACTTTGCGCAGCTTCCTGATGGCGACGAGACCGTTGTTGGAGAGAGGGGTATTTCCCTCAGCGGTGGTCAGAAGGCCCGTGTTTCTCTGGCCCGAGCTGTTTACGCCAGGGCAGACATTTATCTTCTGGATGATGTTCTCTCCGCCGTCGACTCACACGTTGGTAAGCACATCATGCAGAACGTACTGGGACCTCGTGGTCTTCTTTCCACCAAGACTCGTATCCTTGCCACCAATGCTATTAGCGTTTTGAAGCAGGCAAGCTATATTACTCTGTTGAAAGACGGACGCATCATTGAGAAGGGAACCTACAAGCAGCTTATTGCTATGAAGGGCGACGTTTCTGAGATGTTGAGGACTGCTGGCCATGAGTCTGGCAGTGCATCTGGCAGTCCCAGTGGCTCAGCCAGCGAGACATCTACTGTTATCGAGGCATCTGATTCTACCCAGACAAAGGAGGAGATTGAGGAAAGCCAGGAGCGAGTTCCTGAAATGGCCCCCCTTAAGATAATTGCATCTGCGTCGGCCAAACCTCGAGCCAGTAGTATGGCCACCTTGCGCCGTGCCAGCACAGCTTCGTTCCGTGGCCCTAGAGGTAAGCTGACGGACGAGGAGCTGGCTGGTAGCAGGACAAAGCAGGCCAAGGAATTCGTCGAGCAAGGTAAAGTTAAGTGGCATGTCTATACCGAGTACGCAAAAAAGAACAACCTCTATGCAGTGGCTGTATTCATATTCTCTCTGCTTGCTTCGCAGACCGCAAACATTGGTAAGCCTTCTCCTCATTTGGGCTGAAGATTGAACATTTCTCACTTACACTCGCTTTAGGTGGCTCTGTTTGGCTTAAAGAATGGGCGGATATGAACGCCTCTAAAGGCACAAACGAAAATGTTGGATGGTTTATTGGCATTTACTTTGTCTTCGGCATTGGGTCATCCCTTTTGACAGTCATCCAAACTCTCATTCTTTGGATCTTCTGCTCCATCGAGGTTTGTGAACTCAACTTGCCTAGGCATGGCATCAAGGCTTCCCGGCTAACTTCCTCAACACAGGCTTCACGAAAGTTGCACGAGGAGATGGCAAACGCCATTTTCCGATCCCCGATGTCCTTCTTTGATACCACACCAACTGGTCGAATCCTCAACCGTTTTTCTAGGTACGTCGCATTCTTTTGCGTACATTTAATCTCATCTGAGCTCCGTTCTAACCAACCCTCTAGCGACATTTACAAGATCGATGAGGTATTGGCCCGAACCTTCCAGCAGTTGTTTGTAAATGCTGCCAAGTCTGGTTTCACACTGGTGGTGATCTGTATCGCGACACCCGCCTTCGCTGCCTTTATTATCCCACTTGGCCTCGCATACTACGGAATCCAACGTTATTATCTTCGTACGTCGCGAGAGCTCAAGCGCTTGGACAGCGTAAGCCGAAGCCCAGTCTACGCTCATTTCCAGGAGTCTCTTGGAGGTGTCTCCACAATCAG